GTTCAACAACTTAATAGCGGACTACGTGAAATACAGAGGGAAGATCTCATCCTCACGAGCAGCCCAAAAGTTGATCAAGACTGTGAAATCCAGAATCACAGACAGCGTTTTCGAGAACATATATGCTCATGTCTCACCACTGACTCGCGAAGGAGTTGTCCAGTATCTTATTGACTACGAAGCCCGCAACGGAGGCTTTACCACACCAGCTCTCATAGAGGCTAGCCAAGCAAGTTATTCCACTGCCGCTGCCCACTCCGGGGGTGGAAGCTACCGTGATCGACGCAACCGACCAAAATGCTCTGAGAACAACTGTATCTCGACTACCCACACCGCTGACAAGTGCTTCGCCAAACCTCACAATCGTGCTGCTCGAGACAAGTGGATCGCTCAGATGGAAGCAAAGAGAAACGGAACTCAGTCGTACAAGTCTCAGACACCAGCTCAAAACCCCAACGTATCTGGACTCCGTCAGCTGACACTTCCTACCGCCAACATGTCAATTGCATCCGATAATCCATTTGCTTCCCTTCACGTGTATCTTGATGACACCAATCTTGAGGATATCACAGCATCTGTATCTGTCAATTCTCTGTTCGAGTCATCCCACACTGTGTTCGACGAGGAATCTCCAGCCGCAAATGTAGTCAGTGAAAGTGGCGGTCAATGGGCCCTCTACGACACCGGAGCAAGTCATCATATGTTCAAGTCCAATACCTTGTTTTCAGAAGATTCACTAAGCAAAGTCGATGATTCCTCGAAAAGGCTGAAACTGGCAGGAGGAGAGGTCTCACTTGCAGTTCACTCCACCGGGACAGTTAAACTTAAATCTGGATCGGGCAAAATGTTTGAACTCAATAACAGTCTGTTTGTACCAGATCTCTCTCAAAACCTACTGGCAGGAGGTGCCATGCTTCGGAAAGGGGTTCAAATCATGATTCATCCGAACGATGTCAACTGCTTCTCCCTCGTCCTCAAAGGAGAAGCGCTGTTCAACGGTGTATTCGCCTCGAATAATCTGATGTATGTCGCCCTCGAACCGGTGAGTCTCAATCCCGACTCTACTGCTCTTGCGACATCTACTGAAGATTTGACTCGTCTTCATCATCGACGTCTAGGGCATCTGAACTGCAGGTACCTGAAAACAATGGGTGTTAATGAGAGCGTGGAAGGATTGGCGGAGGAAATAACTCAACTAGACTTCTGTGATACTTGCTCTCTGTCCAAGAACCATAAAATCCCCCACTCTTCCACCAGACCCAGAGCATCTCGCCATCTTGAAAACGTACATGTAGATCTAAGCGGTATCATCAGAACCAAAGGATTGAAAAATGAAATGTATTATGCTCTCTTTTGTGACGATTACTCATCCTATCGCCACATATACTTTATGAAAAGCAAGACGAAAGAAGAAGTCTATGACGTATTCATGTCGTACCTAGCACTTGCAGAGAGACAGACCTGCAAGATGTTGAAGCAATTCACTCTCGACAGAGGAGGTGAATTCCTGAATGATCTCCTAGGTGTTGAATTCAAGAAACGTGGCATTACTCTTCACTTGACAGCCGCCCACTCTCCTGAAGAAAATGGAGTATCAGAGCGAGGTAACAGAACAATAAGCACAAAAGCAAGATCAATTATGCTAGAATCAGGCACACCTCTTCGCTTTTGGGTACAGGCGTGTAACACGGCTGTTTTTCTAACTAACAGAACCATTACAGCTGCTCTTGATAACAATCGAACGCCTTTTGAAGCTTGGCATTTCAGAAAACCCTCAGTTGAACATCTAAGAGTGTTCGGCTGCCTTTCGTTTTCACTTATTCGAAAGGAATTAAGGGGGTCCAAGTTCGGTGCTGTGAGCTCGCGTGGGGTTCTTATGGGGTTCGAGGAGGACAACTTTAACTATCACATTTATGACTTAGCTTCCCAGAAACTTCTCATCACCCATCACGCAACTTTCAACGAGAACTCATTCCCGTTTCGTGAAAGCATCTCGAATATCCCACACAGCTCTCCAGTAGTTTCTAGTGATTCCACAGTCAATGCTCGTTTCTTTGACAATGATAGTGAAGAGGAACAAGACGAAATCACAGACTTACCTCCATCCGTTGCACCAACCACCGTGACGCCTTCATCTCGTGATCAAGCTGAAAACTCAAACCCTATCATAGCTCCTGTCGGTGAGAATGAATCAATTCAAACAACAACGGTCAGACGTTCCGACAGAAAGAAGAACCCGGTCAAGTACACGGCTGTTGCGGTTTGTGACACTCTCATTGATTCTTTTATCACAGCAGCCTGGGAATCAGCCCTTCGATTCGACCTTGGGATCCCCTTCGGCAATATGATAGCCATCTCGGACGATTCCCCTAAATCCTACTCCAAGGCAGTCTCCGGCCCAGAAGGTGATAGCTGGCTAAAAGCATGTCGAAAGGAGATTCAGGCTATGCACGATAAGAAGGTATGGAAATTAGTTGAAAGGCCATCGAACACAAATGTGATTCGTGGACTGTGGCTGTTCAGGAAGAAGCCTACCTCTGATCCAAGCAACCCTGTCAAGTTCAAGGCAAGGTTTGTGGCCATGGGTAACACTCAAGTTGAAGGTGAAGATTACTTCGAGACCTTTGCGCCCACAGGGAAGCCCTCATCCCTCAGAATTCTCCTAGCTCTGGCTGCTATCTTTGGGTGGGAAGTGCACCAGATGGATGCCGTCACAGCCTTCTTAAACTGTGATCTTTTCGAAACCATATATGTGGAACAGCCGGAAGGATTCAGACAGCCTGGTGAAGAGAGTAAAGTGTGTCTTCTCCTCAAATCTCTCTACGGCCTCAAACAAGCTCCTAAATATTGGCAAGACGACGTCGAAGAATTCCTCATCAGTGTCGGCTTTGCTCAGTGTGAGGTGGACCACTGTATTTATATCCGCAGACGGGAGGAAAGCTTCACGGTAGTGTACGTTCACGTTGATGATTTGGCCATTACTGGCAATGATATCTTCACTTTCAAAACCGAAATCTCCACTCGCTGGGAGATGGAAGACCTTGGAATAGCGTCTACTGTAGTTGGTATTGAAATCAAGAGGGAAGCTCAGTTCACGTATTCCATCTGCCAAGCCAAATATGCACACAAGATCCTTGAACGCTTTGAATCGACTGAGGTAAAGCCTGCAAGCACTCCGTTCCCGTCTTCACTTAAGTTATACAAACCAGATTTGGAAGAAATTGAAGACTTCAAGAGCCGAAACCTCCCGTATCGCAGTGTGGTGGGATCCCTTATGTACTTGTCTCAGTGCACTCGCCCCGATTTAGCTCATGCTGTGGGCACCCTCTCACAACATCTCGACTGGCCTGGTTTCCAACATTGGGATGCGGCTCGCCACGTTCTTCAATACCTCAAAGGAACGGTCAACGTCGGTATTGTTTACTCCAGAGACTCCTACGCAACCATCCTGAAGGGTCTCAAGAGCGAATTGTGCCCTCAAGCCTTGTGCGATGCCGACTGGGCTGGCGACAAAGACACCCGCAGATCGACTACAGGTTATGTCTTTATGCTTGCGAACGGTCCCATCTCATGGAAGAGTAGGCTCCAACCTACTGTCGCGCTGTCGTCAACCGAAGCGGAATACCGGGCGATAACAGAAGCCGGACAAGAGCTAGTATGGCTACGTACGATGATGTCCAAACTTGGCTACGAGGATCCTAACCCGACAGTTCTTGAAAGTGACAACAAAGGTGCCATTCATCTCACCAACAAAACCGTTTTTCATGGCAGAACCAAGCACATTGAAATTCACTATCACTGGATTCGAGAAGTAGTCAAATCAGGTAAAATTTCATTGCAGCATTGCCCAACTCACCTCATGATTGCCGATCTACTTACGAAGCCTCTAGGATCAGCTCAATTCATCAAACTTCGAAAACTACTGGGCATCAGAAACATAGCATGATGAACTTGAGGGGGTGTGTTGTGGTAAAAGTGCTCAAGAGGTCAAGTCCATCATGTGTTATAGAAGGTACAGGTGATAGCTGGGGAGAAGTTTGAAGAAGGCGGTATGGAGTTGTTTCATTGGGTGATTAAGAAGAACAAGTTAGATTGATCCCAAAGCGTAAAGCTACATTTCATTCTTGTCCTAATTAGTCTATGCTCATGTGTTCGTGTTGTGTGTGTGTTTTGTATCTTTCCTCTTTGGGATTAGCTCTTAAAAAAATTTGTCGTCGAGATTTCTCTTATAACCCTTGCCACTCTCGAACTTCGGTTTCTTCCCCATCGCGTGGAAACTGAAGTTCTTAGTGAGCACATTTTTCTCTTCCTCTTTTAATTCCTTTTCTCTCGATATTCAAACCTGGATTGTACTCACTCTTTACGATAGAACTTCCTACCACTCTATCGTATCCTGCATTCTGCAGGTAAGGCGTCGATTTTCTCCGCCCTCTCTTTACTACCTTACGAGTTCTTTAAAACTCATACAATACCTGTTCTGTCCAGGTGAATATTTCTTTTCTTATTTCTCTCTTTACTACCTTACGAGTTCTTTAAAACTCATACAATACCTGTTCTGTCCAGCATTCTGCAGGTATCATACTTCTTTCCGCGTTGAACCTCTGTCCGCGTGAACTCATTTCAACAAGTAACTTTAGTAGGCCATTTGTCTTCTCCGAGCCACTTGACTCCGTCATCGTTGCTTGACGAACTTATCTCACTGATCATGGACATGATTGATGAATCGTCAGAGCATGAGTTGGAATCTTCGTAACATGATGTTCTTTGGTAGGTAAACGAGTGTGGATTTCATCAAAAAAGGTTTGTGAGAAGATGGGGTGAATGTTATGTACAGGTGGAGAACAGAAAACACGTACATGAGTATTTTTGTTCTTTTTATCTGCTTACAACCTTTTTGAACAAAGAAAACTTTGTAGTGAAATTTGTACATGGGAGAGATGAGACTGAGTAGAAACGAGACAAAGAGGGCACAGGAAAGATTGCAAAGGAAAGTAGGGAACCTACTCTTTCTTTTCTTTTCCTTTTCCTTTATAATCTTTCTTTCCTGACTCTGGCCTTTTGTAGTTGGCGTTGAAGTTTCGCCCCTTGTAGTTTCCGTACAAACTCGGTCCTTTGGCGTATGGAGTGACTCTCTGAGGTCTTGAAGACGAGCTGGCCTGGGAATTGGCTTGGTACGAAGTTTGGGATGTTGGTAAATCTGTTGTTATGTCTGAATATGGGTTTTTACCGAATTTGGGGCCTCCAGTTCTGTAAGGGTTATCAGAGGTCACTAGATCGTTTTGGGATCTGGCTGAATAGTAGATTTCGTCTAGTAAGCCTGTGGGTTCTAGAGCCGGGTTTGGGACGCTTGCCCCCGGGTTTCTGATTGCGAAAACCGCTTTCCTTACTGTGAGATCATATCGGAAAGCCACTACCCAGCTACGTTGCTGCTTGAAGATTGTCATGACCCTCTTCTTGTGGATTTCCATGGAGTCTGCGAAACCGATGTATTTGCAGACTTCTCTACAGGTGGTGATGAGGTTATCCATGTTTTCGGTCCAGTCGTAGCGAGACTGAGTCCATTCACTTGGGACAGGGTGTCCTCTGTACTTATCGTTGTCTTTGTCGGATTTTTTGTACTCTGTGTGTGTATTGCTCGCCGCTTGCTGCCAAGATTTGTTAAACACTGTGAGGGGTAGGGAACCTTGTAATGCTTGCATGTTCTTGTGGAAATAAATTGGCAGACTGAATGAGCTTGCGTCTGGGGCTTTCGTGAGATCAAAGGATAGACCACCTTCTACGAGTGCAGATGAGGAGTTGGGGCTGTGTGTCTTGTCTGTATGAGAGTCGGTGAGATCTATCGCCGACTTCTCTTGACTTTTGATCAAATTAATTATCGTCTGCAATTCCTCTTTCATCTTTTTGATCTCTTCCAGCCTAGCGTATGCTTCTTTGAGTTTTTTCTTCCTGGTTTCTTCGTCGAAATCGAACGGAGAGTCTTTGGAAGGGGTAGCTTGGTTGGGTCCTTGTGTTTGGTTTTCTTCAACACGCTGGATCTTCTTGATTTTAGGGAGTTTGGGGGGTGCTGCTCCGAAATATTCGCAGAAATTGTGTTCCATTCTAGAAATTGAATCTTCAATGTTATCGCGCTTTTTGGAGTGGCTTTTTTTGTGTCGACGATGGTTGCTCTTCCGAGTTTTTCTCTGGTTGTTCTGGATCATTTTTACATGTTATGCTCAGTTTTAGCCACCAACTTTTTAGATTTTTGAGATGAAGTGTCTCTTACCTTTCCCTTTTTGCTTGTTCCCCTGGTTGGACGTGATTGTCTTTTCAGGTGGGTTGGCTTCTTTTCCTACGTTCAGGAGGGACAAGGTGGGAGGGGTTGGTTTGTGTCAGTGTCGTTGGTTGTTGAGTTAATCTCTCTCGAGATCGCTTTATGACTAGCTGGGTGGAGCTTGTGAGCTCACCTTTGGCACCTGTGCCGCTAGAATTTGCCGACTGACTTGTTTCCTTGTTTTTGTCGGTCTCTGTCCCTTTATTTTTGTCCATTTCCGCATTTCCTGTGGTGTTGGTGGCCGATGAACCGTTCACCGCTGGGTCGTTGTTGCCGTTTCCTGAGGGGGTGAGTGCTGACATTCGCGATGTGATGTTTCCCAAGTTGATATTTGACATTTTGCGGTTTGTCGAAAGGATGGGTCTTGGTTTGCTTGTGTAGGAGTGAGGGATCCGAAGGCGTAGAGACGAAGGGGGACTGACTAAGTGGAGTATGTACGAAAAGGGGAAATTTAAAAATCGAAATAAACGGATAAAAACAGGGATTCTACACAAAGAAAAGATAAGGGGAGAATCAAAAAATTTTTGAGAAGGAAGCCTTTAGCTGGTTTCTTCAAATGGTTGAGCTTTTTTTGAAAAATTTTTCTTTATAGATTGAGCAGCTAAGGTATTTCTTTTTACAATAGTAGAGTTTAGTGATCACTCGAAAAAGTCTTTTTGGCTTATATTGTAAAGGAGGATTTCTAATCGAAATTTTTTTGACTTGAAATGGTAAAAGGATATAAACTGATGGAAACGGATGAAGGGAAGAAACTCTCTTCTTCTCGTTCGTGTCCTCGTCTATAAAGTCCTCTAGAAAAACTTGCACCCATTTTGACAGGGTTGGTTGCTATCTAAACGGGATGGGCCCTGACTGGGCAATTCTCACATTGGTCTAGAAGCGTCTTAACCTAGGTAATATTAATATCTGAATTGGCAGTTTTCCAGACCTGCTACGTCGTGGTATGGTAGAGGATTTGTCAACAAGGTCTTGCCGTCGCATTACCCGTAATCGTGGACAACACCTACCTCCGTTGTGCCTCCTATGGAAAGCTACCATCAAATATCAAAGCCACCACAAATCAAGGTTTGCAAGAGAGGTAAATTACCTTCACACCATGTACATATTTTTTGGCTGAACAATTCAAGCTTACCATAATAATCATTACAGCCAGGTCATTGATCAGTTATGCTGAGATGATTTAAACATAGTTCATGCAAAGAAGAGACTGCCACACAAGAACAAGAAGACATACAGCTATTTTCATGAATTGGAGATTACCACAAGTGATTGGGCAAACAACTCAATATTAAAGCAAACATGGACACACTTTGATAATCTCTGGAACTTCTTCACCAATACCAGATATCTTTGGCAGAAATTGTGAAGAGGAACCTGAAGTTGATGAGGGTGATGAATTACCCCTGAAGAACTATCTATGTGGTTCTGACAAGATGAAGACAGACCACTATGGCATTCAGAATACTGAAGCAAATCTAGTACTCTGGTGGAATTTAAGTATCCTAAACTTTTAAGGACCTCACGTGATACTGATCTTGAATGTAATTTTACTTTCAATAGGCCAATGAAAAATTGTAATGTGTGTTGGCTCTTATGGCTAAGGATTACCTAGCATCAACAGGTTCATTGTGCGTGGCAGCACTTGGTGGCAGAGATGATTGTCTCCTGTGCTTCCAACATGTGCTTGTGTAGATGTGGCAGCCTGATTTTTTGGACTATTGAAAGCCTGGTATTGAGCAGGATTTGGTTAAGGGAGGGTGTAGAGCTTGGTACTGTTTTTGACAAGCTTACAAAGGTACTCAAAGCCATGGGAATACTTATGACTTAATCTTAATATTTTCCTTTTTTTTGACCTCCCTTATTTGTTTCTTTTCCTGGTTTCAACCCTTGTTTGTTATTTTCTTATTCATCAATCTCATTAATACCTTTTATTCATTTTAATAACTTCTTAACTATAATTCATGTCTTTTTTCAATCAAATGATTTTTTTGCTTGGTCACACTTGATTGGGCATGTTGTGCCTGTTAAACAGCAGGGAAGAGCAAAGATTTTGACTGCAGCATTGCTCTTTGGGTGTTGTAAGTGTTGCACTACCAAGCTTAGGAAATATGCATTTTTTGAGGAGCTACACCGTTCTGGATCAGCCTGTTTCAGTGCACAGCGTAGCTTACCCGGTGTTGTTTTGTGTCACATCATTTCAAGTCATTCTGGAAGAAATTTTGTACCAAGTGGTAGTCCATGCTGTGATATATGAATGTGTGGGATATGTGGGCAGGATGCTGGATCTCAAGTACTGGTGATTTTGCCTGCTGGAGAACCATAGCTGTCTTTAGGGTAGACTAAGACTACAGGGAGACAGCCCATATAAACTTTCTAAGCCACAGCTCATGAATTTGTTTTTGGGCTGATATATTCTGATCTCATAGTTGGAAGACTATCAGTGTGTTGTTCCCTGGACACCCATAGATCTTTCACCCAGTACAAACATGTATCCTACCATTGAGCAGTGCTCATCCCTTGTGCCCAATTAGTCTTTTAAATTGATTTTGCCATAAGAGGAAGTTCTGATGCAGTCAATTCATTCTTCATATCACTGTGCTCTCCTAGCACAAAATGTGCAAAGTTACAAGTATATGGGTAGACAATTTTTCTATATTTTTCTATATTTCTTCTTCTTACCAGATTCTTAAGCTTAGATCAGATTGTGTTGGTTCACCTCTTTGTTTGTGCAGATATGTTGGAGGTCCATTCATTGCCACATTCCCTGTCTTTCCGTCAGCTGAGATTAGCTTCAAGTTGTGATGCTTGCTGTCTGGTATTTCTTTCCTGATTTGCATCAACTCATGTTCTACACACAGTTTCCTTCTAGTACAACACTCAAACTGTTTTTCAAAGTGCTAAACACTAACCAAACAATACCACTGAAGAGACTGGTATCCCTTAGAAATACGGCCATCTAGTCAAAGCTAAGTATTTGGTTGACTTTTGGATGCAAAAGGATTCTTTCTCAGTGAGACTTAATGTCTCATTATCATTCCTTAATTTTGTTTCAGAGGAATGTTTTCCATGAAATCATTCACGAAATCATTCATGAAAGAGTACACCTTGAATACGGGACTCATTATGGCCCCGTCTGCAAGCATAGGCACACCAGTGTACCGACTCCCGAGTCGATTGACAACGGCCGGGTCAACGACAGTCAATACAAATCCTTGGCAGTGGTCGCCATCGTTTGTTTAACTTTGGATTACATAATTCCGTCTTGACCTTCAACTTCACATCATTCCACATTCTCATCTCACATGTCTCCAATTAAACTTCCCAGAGCTTTGGGGCCCGGTGTTACCAACGGCTATCAGTTAGCAGGCGCGGATGACGATTTGGATGAGCTCGACTTGCTCCATATGGAAACAGCAGGTCCGGATTCAAGCAAGTTGACCAACAATGCCTCAAAGTCATCACCTATAACGGGAACATACGACACTTCACCCACCCTCTATGAGGTAGCAAAGGAAGAAGCGAGACACATGACAGACGTGCAACTGGACCCTGATCCAGTCGAACACTCTGGACCTCACCTTTCTCGGCATCAACCCCCGAAGCACGTCAAACGGGTATTGCTTGTTGGTTGTGGCGCTCTCCTGGGTCTTGCTTACTTGATCATGTTTACTTCCACCAAAGGCACCCGCTATGGTGAACTGCCTCCCTTGTACTTCTATCGCACAACTCCGGATAGCTGATATATTTTGCATTGCGTCGATCATTGACGATTTGCAGATCACAATGTCAAGCTCAATGTGATTCTCATGATCTCTGACGGCTTTGGACCAGCTTCTGAAACTTTTGCTCGCGGCTTTGTTCAACACGTTTCCAATCTTAGCTTGGCCCAGCGGAACTCACTCTCGAGATGGACCTTCCCTGACGGCGCACCCAACCAGTTTGAGGCCGATACGATGTCGCATCTTCCCCTAGATCCATTACTAGTAGGAAGCTCTAGAGTATATCACTCAAATCGAGCCATGTGGAAGTGGGCAATCCATCTGATACTTTGCTACAAATCTGTTGTGTCCCTCGATCCATATTTGCTTTAGACTCGGAGTAGCAATTCACTGGTCACCGACTCAGCTGCAGGGGCTACTGCTTTTGCCTGTGGCATCAAAACGTACAATGGTGCATTCCATCTGATTGGACCTATGTCATCCTACTTATAACTCTCTAACGATTAACTTCTGTATGAGCAGGTGCTATCTCGGTTGAGCCGGTAACACAAAAACCCTGTGGTACTGTCTTGGAAGCAGCCAAACATCGCGGGTATCTAACCGGCCTGGTCACTACTTCAGTAAGCGACCCAGCATTATGAATGTTTCTATTGGCTTCCCGAGGTTTTAACATATTTCTTCCTCCCTCAAGAGAATTACTCATGCAACCCCAGCTGCCTGGTATTCACATGTAGTATCACGTGATATGGAAAGTCAGATAGCCCCGTTCTTGATTGGGCAAGGTCCGCTAGGATCGACTGTCGACCTGGCATTCGGTGGTGGTCGAGGATTCTTCATGCCCAAGTCATTTGCAGGGTCAAGTCGTTCAGATGAGGAGGACCTATTGGACTTGGCCAAGACAAAACACAATTTCAACCTTCTCAACGACACTCGAGCTTTTGAAGAGCAATGGAGAGGAGGAGATGGTGAAATTCGGACACCTGTACTTGCTCTCTTCAATGACAACCACATGCATTACGAGATCGATCGGGTCTCACTTGACTCCACTGGATTGCGAGAGCCATCATTGAGGAATATGTAAGTAGAGCTGAAGACACATAGTTTCTCACTTTGTGATTTATCTCTCATCCAAAGTCTCGATGCTTTACCCTTACCAGGTCTTTAGCAGCTCTGCAGACACTTTCTAGGCAAGCTCATAGCCAATCGGCCCACGGCTTCTTCATGATGATCGAGGGAGCTCGCATAGGTCAGTCAGAGCTTTTTCTCTCGGCCGTCTCTTGTCTATACACGATGACTTCTGATATATGTTCTGTTGATTAGATATGGCGGCGCATTCAAATGATCCTATCGGGCACTTGTATGATATTTTGGCATATCAAGAAACAGTCCGAACCGTAAAAACATGGGTAGACGGTAAGCCAAACTTTCCTGTCAAGTTCTACTCAGTTTGAAACCAAACACGGTGGCTCATCAATTAAAGTACTTTCACCCACGTGAACTGTGCGTAACATCAGAGGCCAACAAAGCAGGCTGGCCAACACTCATGATATCTGTTTCAGATCATGAAACCGGTGGCCTTGCTCTGGGCCGTCAATTAACATCTGCCTATCCTGAATACGCTTGGTATCCTGAAGTTCTAGTGAATGTCACTCATTCCACTGCGTGGTTGGGTGACCTAATCCGGAATCAAACACATCCAGTCTCGAGACAGTTTCTAGTCGAGACTGTATTGAGAGACAGTCTAGGAATTCAAGATGCATCAGACAAGGAGATCGAAAACATCATTCAAATGTCTCCCGGTGGCAATTATGATTATGCCTTGAGTGACATGGTGTCTCGACGCGCTCAACTTGGCTGGTCTACTCACGGTCATTCAGCTGTTGACGTAAATCTTTATGCTTGGCCACCCGAATTGACGGAACCACTTCGTGGGAATGTGGAGAACACATACGTAAGACAATGTTTTTGCAATTCAATCACTGTCAAAAGTGGGATATATGCTGATCCACGAAGATGGTCGATGTCCTTCGATGTCGGAATAACAGATCGGAAAGTTTATCACGGATGCAATGAAGATTGATCTGGGAGTGGTGACAAGGGATTTGAATAGGTTTGCTTTTCGCGTTAATGGTGCATACTTCATGAAGCTGATAATGTGATCCTATCTGGATCAACTCCACAGGTTGGCAAAATCATGGCACATTACTTCGGACAGTGATACAACCAAAGATCAACTCAAAACCAAACACTACTCCGTGAGCGTTTTTTTCAAGTCTCCGTGGTGTTTTCGCTCAAAAAGACTTGTCACCCTTGCTGACATTTGATTAATTGTTTTCTCTAGCATGAATTTTAGAGCATCAATGAGTTTTCGTCATGTCTTGTAAGTGCAGCATTATCCCGATAAAGCATCTCATCATCGGGGTCCACCTTGTAATATTTATTACCCAAGATAGATTTATCTTTCGGTCAGAAGTTCATCACGAGTTTAGTCTTCCGTTTCCTTTTTTTATGTTGGCGTGCAAATTAAAAAAACTATACTGCTTCATGTAATGAGTCTGCATATTTGTAAACCGTCTTTTTTTGTCCTTTTTTTCCCTCATGTAATAAAAGATGGACCCAAGCTCGTCGTTCTACAGGAAAACAGCGATCTTGGTAGACTCTATCATTAAGAACAACACTATGCTGACAGAATTCAAAAACCGCGATCTTCTTGGTCCCAAATCACTTGTCACAGTCTGCCCGAGTGATACTGCCTGAAAGAGCGAGGCGCCTTGAGTGCAGCTGATCATCGTTTTTCACCCCAGCATGTGAACGTTGCACTGTCGTATCGACTGGTTTGAAAGGAGACTCAGCGTGGGTACAATTACGGAGCCGCGTTTGAATCGCGGTCTTCCAGACAATCAAAATTTGAGTCCACACATTTGTTGATGGCTCGGCCTCACAGAGGTGGGAGTCGCAATGTTCAATTTGCCTAGATGATCAAATATCTTGTGGATGTTGTCGAGAAATTGCTTTGTATTCCTCTCATCTTTTTTACGACAAATTCCATTTCTATCCATTCGGATCGGTGGATATGTCATGATCCTTCAGGTTCAATAAATACCAGAATAATCAAGCTGCATACGAGAGGAAAACAGTCATGACTGCGAACGGAACAGGTATACTTGGAAGGCATCTCAAGCTATTCACAAGCCAGCTCTTATGCCTTCCACCATCTAAGAGCAACTATCAAGCAATGGCTATTTTTTTACAAATCAACAATTGATCCAAACCGGGGCTCTGCAAGTTCAGGATCTCAGTCCCTGATGAATAAATTTGGCCCTTGGACCGGGTGATCACAACGCGGTGAGTCAAGGTTATGTCGAGTGCGGGTTGTTATTACATGTGGTTTTGTTGTATGTAAACAGGAAAGTGTCGTTGAGTAGTTGATCGATCATCGTCTGAGTACCTGCCCCTGTGACACTCTTCATCATCTATTCCGACTTCATTATGCTTGTTCGACAAAAAACTTGCTGTCTATCACGATCGCCAATCGATGTACGATTAATTCCTAGCAATTAAACTCGACTCCCATCTATCTTAGGAAATGTTTCCAGTCACCCCTAGTCGTTCGAAACGAGTGAAGTACACTTATGGTAAAGGCATTGCACGTCCCCGGCCATCGCTAGGCTTTAGCCAATTCGACTTCGCCTCTGAGGACGTCCCTGATACGAATGCTCAAGAACTTCTTCAAGTACCACACCAGTCTAGTTCTGGAACCAAGCAGGAACAAGCATGTCAAGTTCCAAAATTTCAAAACCTACCCGACACGAGATCCCCGCAAGCTGAGGCCATCAAGGACCCTGCTAAAAGAATCTTGCCTTTGCGGTCACGACGCCTACCACCCGATCATCCGGACGAGGACGTTATCGACACGATTTCTGGAAATTCACCTGTCGTGCATAATCCGTCTGGCTCTGATTTCGAGCAACAACAAGTCTGCCAACTTCCAAAAACCAAAAATCAACGTATCACGAGTCCCTTGCATGATGATACCATTCAAGGGCCCGCTAGGAAAATTTTACCTCTGCGATCACGCCGGCTACCACCCGATTATCTGGATGATGACACTGGAAAATCTGCTCGAGAATCATCTCCTGCCCCTGTATCGGGACTTCCAGGAAGTCACGCGGAACCCAGAGAACGTGTTGGGCCTCACCATTCTAAGAAGCAATCAAAGACCGATTCCTTCGGGAGGAATGTTGTGGCAAGAACATCTCTGAAACGCAGCATCAGTCTAGGAGATCACGATCAGGCGCTATCAAATGCATTGCGCACGGGGCACACAGTTTGTTGCACCAACTTTCTCGTTTATGTGCATTTGTCTCGTTATTGGGAGGTTGATTTGTGTTTGTTGTGTGCTGTTTGTTGTGCGGCAGGCTTCCAAGCCTTTGCAGCCTGAATCATCACTGCAATCAATGCGACGAGATGCCCGTCGTACGACCTTTCCTGCTGCAAAATCATCTCATACAAACTCCACTACCTCCAAAACAACAAAGCCAATTTCCCGCACCATCTCTTCTATATCGCTCGAGTTTCCGATGTCCTCGAATTCGAATTCTCCTGAGAGGAAATCCACCAGACTTCTCCGCTCTAGGAAAGCCCCGCGGATTTCGAATGAGAATTCCATCGACGTGCATGCTGATGCGCCCAAGGACCTTTCTGATATCTTTTCTGTCCTCGAAAGTGAAACAACGCGTGTAGTCCATGGCCGTGTTTCTTCCAAAAGGCCACATTTGTCTCGGATGATGATGCGTAGTCAGTCGTCTAGCGGTATATTATCTCCTCCGCGCAGTCCGATACGCTCTTCCGTCTTGGATTCGACTAAAATGACACCCTCAAAACATGTTCCTCCCTCATGGGGTGCAGCTTCTGATATTGACCCATCCCAGCCTTCCACGCAACCTCTTACAGGGAACGCAGCGCGGACCCTTGCTCGGCATGTTTCCTCGGATATCCTTGGTTTACCTAGGCCGGCTGAAACCATAAATTGTGTAAACCTGACTGCTAATTTGGGTCCGAGTGGCTGTGTCCAGAAAACGTATGGTGCTCAACGTACATTCAAAGAAGATGAAGATGAAGTTAGCATGCTTTTACCAATCGAATCCGACGGCCCTCCATCATCTTATGTGCAGCGGCGAACTTCCGCTGCTGAATCCATGCATCTTCTCACAGCATCCCAAATGAAGCCTCGAGAAACATATTCAGATCTACGAAAGAAATGGGGAGTTGATGAAGACGAAGAGGAAGCTGAGAGCCAACCTGATCTACGTACAATCTCACATCAGAGAGCAGCGGGATCTTCCAAACGCTTTGTAGATGAACTCTCTTACCTCTTTGAAGGCTTGTCTGGTGATCAAGAAAGTGATCTCGAATTCAAGCGAGTTGGTGCTCTAGAGCTCATTCGGAAATTTATCGATCCAGGATTCGTCAAGGATCTCAAGACGAATGGAATGATAGAACAGTTTTATGAAGTTCTCCGATCAGCAGGAGCTGGGGATGGTGATGCTATACTCGATCTCACTTTACTTGTGTTCATTGCGGTCTTATGTTGTGAACATCAAAGTTTTCTTGAGCCTATTCTGCGGATCGTGCCCAAGGACTCGACCGATCCACTTTCGACTCAATCGGATTGTCTGAAGGTTCTTTCAAAGATCATTGATAGCGAGGAAGCTGGTGTTAGAGCTAGTGGCGCTCAGATCGGTAAACGAGAATCTAAATCGGTCAGTCTCTTTATAAGATCCGCTTCTAAACGTGGTCTGCAAATTGAACTTGATGTCGATTTCTCAGCTCGCAGATATCACAAAAATTGTCAAAGACACTTCGGTAGCAAAGCGGTTGAATAATTGCGTCAGTCCATTATGTGTTTGCAATTGGCTCACATAAATTCACTCATGCCTGATGTGATCCACATATCCATCCAAATGATCTTTCCTGTAGACCAACTCTGTCGTCTTGGCTCTATTCAGCGTGGCTTCCATCTCAGCATTTCTACCGCGCCCCGGGCTTTTACCACAGCGTGCAATCATACAGTCGGGTGCTTATCATGCCGTCCTAGCACGCTTGTTGGCCGATGCGTGCATCCTAGAAGGTCGCCTGGAAGCCTATGTGAATGGATCTGTAAGCTGACCAGTATTTGTGTCCCATTGTGACGCTGGCAAAGCAGAAAGACTAACCCTATCGCTTTGTGCAGGATTTATTACCACCCCAGGCCCTCATAGCTGTTTACCGCGTCAACCGTTGCATGGATGTCATTGAGGCGTGCACGATTTGCGAAGAGGATGGAATAATGGTCTTGGAGCGCGATCAAAGCTCGTTAGCAGCTTGTTTTACTTCGTTACTGCCACTGTTTCACGTACTGGCTACTCAACGCGAGGAATGTGCAGCCTCACAAGGACTTGATGTCCTGATCGGATGCTTGCGTACTATGGTGAACGTGACTAATCACAACGAAGCCTGGGCTAATCTATTGACGACGCCCATTCTACTTCAAACACTTTGCGGCACTTTGAATCTTTGTCGACAAGGCTACCAGAAGTTTATGAGCAAGGTTGATCCTTCTCCTCAACCACTACATACAGCATCCGAGTCACCAGTTGAAAAAGATAAAAAAACATCTGAAGGGTTCAATCGTGTCGCGCAAGAAATTGTTTTCGATCTGATCTGTGTCACGCTGGGACTACTTGCCAATCTCGTCGAGCAATGTTCGAACGGCAAGCAACTAATAAGGACTGTTTGTGAGTCTCTCAAATACGATATAACTCTGAATCCCATCTGATATTGCATATCTCACATTGATACTTTGAGGATGTCTTAGTCATTCACGATTTCCGACTGGTTCTGACCAGAAAATGCTGTATAAAGTGTCAATGTGGGAACTCAGTCAGTGCGTTTGAAGAGCTGGTGGGACTCTACCTTTATCCACCTTGCAAGGCCCCTGTGAGCACTTTGATTCGATTTCTTGAATATTTCCCAACGCACATACCTTAAGTGTCTTGTTCCATCAGCTTGAAATTGATTTATTATTTTTTCAATTCGATCCTTCAGGCAGAAGCAGACTTTGTACGCACTTCAGTCTGCTTGCTGCTTAATATTTGTATCAACATCGAATCTGAGGACGAAGTGAACACCCTGCGTCAGGCAGTGGAGTCAAATCACAATAGACAAGGCTCGACTCACCAGGTTGCAAAATCAATGAAATCATTGATGATCGATATGAGCAATGCTCAAGAAATACAACCGGAAGATGAATGATTGTAGAGGCTGATAGATGATAACTGGGAGTTCGATTGTCGAAAGATGAAGATGAACATAATCACGTTCCTCACGCTTGAATAGATCGCAAGTTTTTTTCTACTACTGTTCGGGGTCTTTTTCGCTTGTCTTGATCACCAGGGTTGGTTATATGTATTCGATTCTTGAAAGATTGATGGACAATTAATGGACTGTGGATATATACTCTGTGGATGGCGCTTTGGCACAGTATATTTGACTTGTTTTTCGTTTTTCGGTGCACATAGAGTATCTGTATCATATTACCTTTGAATCTTTGGAACAGACGGAGAAACATTTCTAATAACAAAGAAACCAGAGTCTTGTTGGATTAATATGACACCAAGGTTTGTGAAGTGATTGCGCTTGGTTGTAGCTCACCATCGACTACTGTCTGGCCCTTAAGCTGACAAACATGATAGCACCAAGATGCTCCAAGCTAAACTATGAGTTTTTATCTCAACTATAGCCTGTACATGAAGCTTACCACCTGGTTGCGCGCCGGAGGTTAGCTGCATTTCTCAACAAATTTGTATATAAGAATGACTTGTTGCGATTACCTGATATTCCATTGCTGGACTCAAAGCATGTCACCAAGCAAGTGGACTGTAAAGTCGTGTGACTAAGAGCCAACATTTCAGTACATGTGACAAACAAAGGCTACATTTCTAACATTCTTGTGACATATGGAAGATCTGATCTCAAGGAAATGGAAAATCAGTGTGAGATCAGGATCCTAATGATACCTAAACTCCTTCAACATTTGTTCATTGTCATCCAAACTGTCATCAATCATCCACACTTCTGTTCCAGGAGTGGCGTGTTTATAGATATGGAGAGTGGACAAGTGTGGCCTTTCCATCGTGGATGCCTCAAAGCAGAAAGGTGAAATCCTTGACCAGCGCCTTTGATTGTCAACGTTTCAAGCCACCCATTTTGTCATGTAAAGATTGACAAACAAGCTGTTCCAATTGGTAAAGAAAACTTATAATAGCAGAAGATAAGTTACATAAGCACAAAGCAACACAACATAGATATTCTAAAAGAAAGAGTCGATCCCAAGAAATAAAAATATGAGCTAATGTATTAATTGCGGTCAGTCCACGGCCTGGTTTATGGTCGAGCAAAGTTTTGAAATTTAAAAGTCAGGCGGATTCGCAATTCACTTCCATTCACATGATCTTGACGACATCGTTGGTTCCCCCACACCATCCAAAACCGAAGGTACATATTTTCTTAAATATATACACACATACATGATTTAAGATTCGACGCCTTTTGACTTGATGCCATTCAACTTTTTCTTATTCACATTCACATTTTTATCCTTCTTCTTATTTCCATAGATTTTTCCTTCCTCACTAGTCCTGATCAGCTCCTCAATCATCTGTCTTCCTTCTTCCACACGTTTTAACCAAGGCCTCATCCTTTTCTCTTCAACCCATGCCAAAAATTCGGCTTCTTCTTGTTCAGCTCGATATGCAAAATACTCTTCTAATCCCATCGCAGCTTCTTGTTCTGTCAATGGCGGGAAGGGTCTTGAGGGGTTATACAGGTTGGCCAACCAGCCTGGTGGTATGGACGCAGGTTGAGACGAGCTAAAGTATTCTTCCAAAAGTGCTGTGGCTTCAGCTTCATCAACAGCTCCTGGAACTGGAGCTGTGTCGCGCTTGGGTGAAAGGGGTAGAGGCGATCTGATGGTTGTAGGATTTTGCTTGGGGATTTTTGCTGAAGGAGCTGGTGTACGCGTTGGTTTGGGAGCAACAGGCAGGATCCCAGTATACAGTTGCGGAGCCTTAGGATCGTAGCCGTTGGTTGACTGATGCAATTGGATATGCACAGAGGATGATGGGCCGGGACCATGGTGAGACTCGTAATTTGAGTGATCGCCTGCTGCGTGGGAGTTTGAGAGAGGGTTTTTGCTCTGCCGCTCTGGATTAGACGGAATCGATTCTTGTGTTTTGCTAGGGGCAGCTTTGCGAGTCTTCGAAGCCTTTGCTGGGACAGAGACTGGCTTGGACACCAAGTCCTGCACATCGTCAACTGAAATAGTGATTTGAACGCAGTCTGATTAGATTAATGTTCATCTTTTTCGGATTGTTTTGGAGGTGTCTCGGTTAAAGATAAGTCAGAAGCTACAAGCTTACCGGGCTTAGGCTTGGTCTTACGATTTTTTGGTTGAGTGTGCGAAGACTCTGTGTTTTGATCCTCATCAACTTCAGGGAGCACATTCACCAAATTTGTAGCAATTTTCACAACACTGGTTTGGTTCTCGTTGATACCTGATGAGTTGGAAGTCGCCCTGGTGCGTGTTCGTGACGCAGGTGCGCTAGTGTGATTCACGGGACCGCGTGTGTTGGGAGCAGTAGATGGTGGTCTGGAGGTTGATCGAGAAAGCTTATTAGTTTGCGACAAAGATACTGGAGGCTTCAACGAAATTTCTATCGGATCAGGTGATGATAGAATGTGACTAGCGGACACAGATGTTTTATGGGCAGCGCGGGGATGTTTTTGACGAGATGGGGCTGGGATAGGAGGGCTGGATTCACGAGCACCAGCAGGCGATTGATCTCGGGTTGGGCTAGTGACAGTGGAGGAAGCGATTCCTTTTCTAGCAGGGCGTGATGATTTCCTGCATTCCGCTAAATGTCAGACTTGCTGAACTTCGGAATTTCAAGGGAAGATAAAAGCCTTCAATCCATAGGATTACATGCTTACCCAGACGCGCTGGTCACGGAAGTGCCTTTCTTCGAGACACCGCGCGAGCTCCGGAGATCGAGGGGGGCAGCAGTCGATTCAGGAATCGCGTCATCCTGAACACTACTAGCGGGTTTTCTTGTGGCGGGAGTCTTTTTAGCCGTGCTGTTAGAAGCTTTTCTACTTGATTCAGGCTTGGCCTTGGTCTCTGGGGGTGGTATAGCAGTAAAGAAGATACATGGTCCCTTTTTAAGGTGAATAGAGCTAAGAAAACGAAGCAGAACCGCGTCAGGGATCAGTGGGAAAATATATCATTGTCTGATTTTCACTCACACGGGATCATCGCCCGCTTCCCAATCTGACACGGTTCGGCGACAATAGCAACATGACGTGGTATCATCTATCTCAAGTTTACGGCCTTTCTTGAATGAATTCGGCGCAAAATGAAAGCCGGCGCGGGCCAACTGTCGAAAGCAGACAAGTCAGCCTCTTTCGGGGTATTTTCAGTGAAAGCTATGGATTACATCGATTCTCGTAGGTAGGCCTTCAAGACCTTCGTGCCTCCATTGACCAGCCTTTCCGCAAAACGTGGCTAACCGAGCTTCGATCATCGTCTGTCCTCTAGGAAACCATGAGGCAGTCGGACCCCAAGGTTGATGAATAAGATCAGGCCACGCAGGTACTTGTGTGTCACGCTGACGGTCTAGAATTGCGATCCGTGCGAAGGGACAATTTGGAGCTGGGGATGATGGAGATGGTCAATTTGGGTGCTGTCTTGGCGGTCCGGTATGGACAAGTTGTAGGCCGAAGTAAATGCTAACCCCATTCGAGATGGACCAACCATGGATCATCGCTTGCGACCCAATCTTTGGTTGCCTCGCCACACATCCAACAAGTCGTCCTATCTGGCTCCGATTCAACAGGATCGTGAAAGTATCCAGCTGAAGCGAGGATTTCAGGGGTAAGACTGAATGAATCAGGATGAGGCCAGCGTAGGGCTTTCGGGGTGGTTTTCTTGCACTTGAATGACACTGCTCGAGCGGAATGTGAGCAGAGCTCTGGACGATTTGCAGGCCGATCTACGAGGTCCATCTAGATATTGTGAGTTTCGATCGGATGGAAGACGAAGACTGAGGATTGAAGTTTTGAAGTGTTGAAATGTCGCGAAAGGAAGGCAGAGTAAATGTGTAAATCGAGAAATCAGCTGAGGAATTCTGTCGTGGGAAGAGTCTCAATGAACTGTACCGTATTCAATTCCACACCCCGCGCCTGCTCTCATATCCGGTACCGTCCATATATCTCCAGAGACACATGTCACAAGCCCCACCAGGTCCCCATTGGCTCACGATGCTGTTGTATCACTTTCCCCAGAACTTGAGTTCACAATGTAAGCATTTGTTGCATTATGATCCTACATGTACAAAGGTAATCATTTGACGGCGTCTGAGAGATACTGAGATAATTGGAATAAGATTGAGCAGAGAAACCAGGCTTTTAGGAAAGAATCAGTAAATCACAGAGACAAGATGTTTTCACATGTAGGTGGTTTACACTTACGGTACTCAAAGCAACTATGTACGCGTACATAGTTGCCGTACATAGTTTTTTTTTGGCGGGCGAAATACTTCGAATATACTTCTTTTGTTTTTTTCCCCGCCAAAAAAAACTATGTACGGAGACAAGATGTTTTCACATGTAGGTGGTTTACACTGTTTCAAAAAACACAATGATGAAAAATAGTCCTGATGACGAAATATGACAGTCAGCTCCTTTTATAAATGGTACACCTTCATCAGTTCACCCCTCTCGCCAGCCCTACCCTAAGGCTAATACCCTTCATCTGTTTAAAATTGGCTTCCTCTTGTCAACTGCCCCCTTCAATCTCAGGTAATTTAGGCTTGGGATACCTTTTCTTGCTGAATTGTTTCCTGATTCCTCAATCTGCTTCTGCTTTTGAAAAACTATGTATTTGTGTCACACATTTTTCTTGTCAAGTTCAGATTTTGTTAACAAACCCTACCATCTATGTTTCCACCCAGCATATTTGATTTTGAAGAAGCATTTCACTCCGCTTTTGTCTGTACAAGTGTAAATCATGATGAAAAACATGATGTACATATGTAGTTTCTGTCCATTTTTGCTAGAAAGGCGTTCTCAAATTGCCACAACCCGGCCCCGACGTCATCGGCCTGATGGTCTAGTAGTATGATTCACCCTTAGGGCTGGCGGTATTCACTGCTTCGCACTGATTGGGTGAGGTCCCGGGTTCAATTCCCGGTCAAGCCCCTCCTTTTTGTTCATGATCATACAGGTATGATCATGGAATCCTCTTGTCAAAGTTTTTGAGAAGTAGAAGATCAGAAGGTGATGTGATAATATGGCTTGAGATATGCGTACACAATGGCTTGCTCATGGGAGTTGGAGTATAATATCAAAACAGTTTTTGAGAGTGTGTTGTTGTGGAATTGCTTTATTTGTCTTGTCTCCTAATGTATTCTTTGATTCTTGCCGCGCTTCCAAGGCTCTTTGGCTTTGGAACGGTGGTATACTCACCGTATATGATGAGTTTTTCGTGCCCAATGCGAGCCAAAAACTATTTGAAGTTACAAATCATTTGTGTGTGTGTTGTTATTCCACCTTATCAATGAAATGGCTTCTTTTGGAATGAGGAAAGATATGGGCTCTTGCTTCTTTGGTCAAGCTGGTATTGTAGAATTGATATCAACTGCCTTTCCATTTACCTTCACGATTTGATCCTTCGATCTCAGTCTATTGAACAATCAAGAATGTAAGTCTCGGAGGGTCCTCATCAATCTGAACTCTCTATGCCTCTAGAACGTGATATCCTTTCCCCCAACCTTGTACCCTCGGCTTATCCAGAAACTGGACTAGTCTGCCTCTAAAAAATGTCCAGAGAAATTGGGAGGTGTTCTCATGACGTATGAAACTCATTTTTACGCAAATGATCGAGTCATCGACGGTGTTGATCGAAGCTGTGATGAAAATTGTGCCCGATGCAGATTTGCAAATTCTCGGGATTCGTGGACCGTGTCACCGGGCCCTGTTTTGTGATCCTTGATCAGCTTTTGCATCAGGCTGAGCCTTGACTCAATTCTTCCATCGACCCATGATGTGGTCCATTCTTCGAGCGTACAATTCAGCCTTGCTACATCGACCTCTCTCGACTCAGATCTTAACTTCTCGTTTGTCAAACCTTCAATCTAGACGCTCATTGGCTGGTGTCTGAAACATTGACTTGATTTATTTGAACCCTCGATATATCTTGCTCCTACACTCGACGGATGTGATCGGTTATTGGGAATGATGTAAAAACCTTTGTGATCCAAGTCGCTCTGTTTGGAGGTGGAGATATTATCGCTCAGCAAGTGAGTTATATTTGCCCTCATAATGATGAGCTGCGTTTATGTAACTCCATATCATCATGAAACTAAAGACGTCCGCGTTTTGTGTTGATCGTGTTCATTTACTTTTCCCATTGATTTGGGGATGAAGCTATTAGAGAAGAAAAAGGGGAACCATGAAGTAAGACTTTCATCTTTGATGGACATCCGTGGAGACCACTTCTTAACGCACCTTGACACGCTTCCCCGCAAAGTGGGCCCGTACGTTAAGATTGGCATCGTATGGTGGTAAGATGAACCTTTATTGACCCTCAAGCCACGATGGATTGAAACCTTCCTGATACCAGAGACGCTGTAGGTTTTGTGTTTGCTCCTCTTGCGACGAGATGGCTCAAGACGCTGGAGTTTATCAATTTTAAGAATGTCATGGCAAGTTGAGTAACTCCTGATCTAAGTCTTCGAATAAACGTGAAGAAACTCGGCTCAAAAGATACATGTTTACACAGCAAGGGCTCTGAAGATCGGGTTAGATCAATTTGTTGCCGCCCCGACGATGCTCGCTGTGTTTTTTACATCGATGAATTTCTTGTCAGCTCTGCTTGCATCCGAATATTACTTGTTTCAGTCTTACGGAGCCAGCTCTGCTGACTCCCTCCTTTGTAAATTCTCCCTTGAACGCCTCAATAGGGAAGGAAATGATCTCGAGCAGGCCGAGGAACGATTGCGAGAAAAATGGGGCCCAACTCTATATCAAAGTTGGATGAGTAAGTCATGACTCCCTTACGCTACATATTCCATACCTTGAGATATGTGATTTGATGCGTTTCTTATTCGAAAACTGTGCGTTCATTTGGAACCTTTACCTGGTGTCCAACAAGTCTTTGTCCCGTTCCAGACGATCAACTTTACGCTTGCGCCTCCGCATCTCCGGCTCTTGTTACTCAGTAAGTTCCATTGTTGAACTAGAGATCATGTACGCATATATTGGTGGTCGCATATTACAAACTCATTTAATTCTGATGATGTGTTGCAGACGGCGCGTCTTTGTTTTGGAGTGAGTCGGTTTTTGATCTGGCTCTCTGTTTTCGATTTCATCACACTGAAGCAATTCTTGTTCTTCACAGATGGTTATCTTTCCTATACCAACGCGGCTCATGTTCCCGTTTCAGGTAAAATAGTCGAGAATGCCGAGAAGGTGCTTGAGGAAACTAGGCATAAGCTCTCTTGAAGCGTGTCTTCGTGCCGTGGGCATCCACCAGTTTATTCTGACACGACCGGTCAAAGGTTCCCAAAGTCTAGGCATTTCGCCTTTATGACATTTTTGTTATATGTTCATTTGATTCGAATTGTCCATGTTCTTTCGTCTAGGTCGCATCGCGACTTTTCCCCCGCCTTGATTTGGTGTTTATCTGATTACATACATAGAACTCCCAACATTCAATATAGACATGTCATATTTCTACTTTGCAATCTAATCATAGACCTATCATTTCTGTAGCGTTTGATACAACATATCATGGTCACATCCCATAAACTCGCCCTGATCATTACCAATATCTGCAGCTCTATACCCAGCTAGAATGTGTTCATAACATGCTTCACTCCATACAGATCATGCACAATTAAGGATGGACAATAATGCCCTATCTGGCAGTGTTTGGGGAGGGGAACATATTCCAAGTCTTTGTCCTGTGGTCTGAATTGCATTTGAACTTCCCACCAGAATTTGCATGGTCTCAGCATAATAGGGATTGGGCAAAATGTAAAATGTTGATGTCAGGGCGCTGAATTCAACTGAATCATAGTTTAGACTTTGTGGTGATTCTGGTTGCTCGACAATTTCGCCCAACCCATGATTGCCTCGGATGTTAAGCACCCAAGATCTCCTTGGATTGGAAGAGAGACTCTAAAGAAGTGTTGTGAGGTTTCTTGGTGCCATCACAAGCTCTTGTATCTTTGGCTCTCTTTGCCTGGGTGCCATAGTGTTGTTGTGTGCTGTCTTTAAAGGTATGTTGTATTACAATGGCAGTGGAGTGATTGCACAGACTTGAAAGCAGCCTGTGCTTAGGTCATCAATTCAATGGACAATTTGCAATGTCTATTATATCACTTTAGTGATCTTGAAGAAATTTAGACATTTTGTCCGTGTCTAGTGATTATTTGTTGAACAGAAGAGACACCATTGTCCAAAAAATTTCTTTGAATATTACATTGGTAGCTGCATGTTGAAACTCATTTTGATGAGATACATGCAGTGATCACTTGGATGAGCTATCATTGTTCAACTGATCACCCTTTCTGATTGACTACAAGACACAAGTTGAGTTATCCTGACTTAGGTGTGCAAAAACCAAAATAAGTGTTTTGGAAGTCACAGCACTCTATCAACACCTGCGAATATATACTTGAACCAGATAAGGGCTTACACCCAATTTTCCCAGGATAAACTTTTGTTTCGAATCCTTATACAAGCTTATCAGCTACATCAGCTCATGACGGATGTGACAAAGCATACGCTGTCAGTGATAACTGACATTGTTCAAGGTTGTACTGGCTACACCTCATGATACTGAGATGAGCAAAGATCCAAAAGGTTCATCAGCTACAACTGATGAGACTGAGATCACCAAAATACAAATTGTGAGAGAAGAGGAGATTGGATGAATGAGAATATGCAAAGAACAATGATGAAAGTGATACATGGGAATAACTAACCAGTGTTATAGAGCTAAAACTGCATCATCTTAAAAATGCTCAAAACTAGAACTACTCAGCCAAGATTGAAGATGTGTATGGTGAGAATCAGATCATGAAAGTTAAGCAGTTGAGCACAAACGTGGCTCGTGTTTGCTGTGTACTTAAAGTGAAGTGGACAAGGTTGATCCGAGCTTGACTTGATTCGCAAATTGAACTCAATCAATGGAGAGACCAGAACGTGACCTTTAACTTAACTTGGGCTTAAAGGGAGTTAATCCAGATATGGCCCGCATTTGTCTGAGGATAATTGACTCAGTCTCAGCTGATGAAGTGCATTAAGCTTCTGAGTTATAGCTGATACGCAAGATGACTGATCGAAGGCAATTCAAACGATCGGTTACATCCACACCATCTTACGGAAACTCTATCGCGCTCTCATTTGCAAAGAACATTCTTATCTTACATGTACTTCTCACTCAGGTGCTTCCCCTGATAGTCTACGACTGGCTCTCATAGGACCTTTGATTCCACTACCTTGAGTGATTCTGGAGATCGGTCTCACATACTTCGTTGACAAGATCTGCGTGCTTCTCAATTTCATCTGTTATCTGACTTCATCCTGAGGCTTGTCAATTCTTGAATATTCGATGATGAGAAGGACAAAAACTGCTCCCTACTGGGGATTGCAGGCTGAACCTCTGAATTTAGCAATTGCCACTTTAGCTGGCATAGGTTTCCTGTTGGTTGTCGTTTTATTTTTATTTTTTCCATTCGTTCATTGACTTATAATCCTACCTTTTACATCCCCCATGGTATTTTTGGACTCTTACTCCACATTTCGGGATACCTTACTTGGTGCATCAGATTGTTTGGATATGATCAAGGTGTGATGGGTGGTCTTTTGACCCTTCCAACATTTGTGGCAACTTTTCCGGAGATCGACACAACCTCTTCCTTCTTGACATCTGATGAAAAAAAACGAAACTCTAAAGTTCAAGGTGTCTCCGTGTGAGTTAAACAAGTTTCAGCAGACTATATGCGATTCGATAAAATGTCTTTTCATATTTTATAGCCTAATTGTTTCTTTCTTCATTGTAGAGCGATATATGAGATCGGTAAGAAGTGACTTTCGTTTGTAAAATTGAAGAAGATTGAACTTGAAGAGCCGTGTCGGACTAACCGACTCATACCTGGATAGGATGTATGTTTGGAGCCTTGTCCTGTTTATATATCGGAGACTGGCTTGGACGAAGGAGGGTGATTTTTTGGGGTGCATTGATCATGGTTGTTGGTGCCTGCCTTCAAAGTACTGCTTTTAGTCTGGCTCACTTTATCGTTGGTCGGATCGTAACGGGGTGTGGAAATGGGCTCATCACAGCGACTGTCCCCACCTGGCAATCGTGAGTGGATTCGAAAGTTTCCCGACTTGAGTTTTGTAGTAAAATCCTACTTGAATCTTTCAAACTACCCTTTGTTTTCAGTGAATGCTCCAAACCGCATAAGCGAGGAAAATTGGTGATGATTGAAGGCGCTCTCATCACAGGTGGAATTTGCCTGAGTTATTGGATAGATGTCGGTCTATATCTCGCCCATATTCTTGTATAACGGGTAACACGTGAAGCCTAACACTGAGCTTTTTCTTTCTACGCCCAGTTCGGGTTTTACTTTGCCCGGAACACTACGATGGCTTGGAGGTTGCCAATCGCTCTACAGATCATATTTGGACTCATCATAATGTCGACTGTTCTAAACCTCCCAGAATCACCACGTTGGTTGATAAAGAAAGGTAGAATACAAGAAGCAGAAAAGGTCTTTGCAGCTTTAAATGGTACAAGCTCAGATTCTGCTATCGTTCAACGCGAAGTGAAGGTATAGCCAAGGATTTGAAGTGGGCTTGTCAGATCACGCTTAGAGTCTGATTACAATCTTCAACAGGAAATAGAACATTCACTCGCTTTGACTGGACAATCAGGCCTCAAAGACTTGTTCAAGATGGGACCTGCTCGAAATTTTCACCGAGCGATTGTGAGTCAAATACACTGCTATGATGACTTCACTTATGCGATATGGTGGTATGGGTTGTTCAGATGATTGATATATTGTCCATATTTCTTTAGCTCGGATTTGTTATCCAATGCTTCCAACAGATCAGGTAATTCACTCCAACACACCCTCGAACGAAGTTATCATATTGCTAAGGAGTGTTTCCTATGAAGTGGTATCAATTTGATCAGCTTTGTTTGTCATAATTCATCTCGTTTCTAATCAAAACCGGATTGAAATACATAAATTGACGAACATTATCATCGCGTTCTAGTATGCTGCTACAATTTACGAGAGTTAGTCTCGATTTTTTCACTCACATGAGCATCAGAGGCCAGAAAAGTCGATGTTGAGATGGTCTCTTTAAACTACAGATTATCTCGGATTAAGCCCTACACTCTCGCGCATCTTAGCAGCCTGCAATGGCACAGAGTACTTCCTCGCCTCATGGATACCAGTGTATACCGTTGGTAAGTATGCGATCAACAGAGCACATCGAACTGAAAGCAAACATTGACATCTCAATACCGCTTGTAGAGACTTTCGGTCGTCGGAAGTTGATGCTCTTTGGCGCTGTTGGTATGTGCCTCAGTATGACCATCCTGACCGTGACATCTTGGGCAGCAGATCCGATAGTAGGTCGTGATTCGAAATCGGCCGCAATAGTTGCTGCGGTTTTCCTTTTTATCTTTAATACGTTTTTTGCAATCGGTTGGCTAGGGATGACGTAAGTGAAATATCTTTTTATTTGGATCAAATCATCTACTAAGGCTTTCTTCCATGGGATCATCAATGAATCTTTAGTTGGCTGTACCCGGCGGAAATCGCGTGTTTGAGTACCAGGGCTGGTGAGTTCTCAATCTGCTTGAAAGATCTTGAAAAAATGTTGACTAACGGAATGTATAACTTTTTCATTGTGTGGAAATAATTTTTATAGCATCTAATGGAATCAGCACTGCTTCAAGTTAGTACTTCAAACTTCTCAAGCCAAAATGATGCGGACCTTCGAAATTCTAGAGGGTGATCTAAAGTATGAAAAGCTGACAAAATAATATGGATGAATTCCCAAAAATTTGACGGTAGATTGGATATTCAATTTCATCATTGTACTAATCACTCCAATCGCCTTTGAGAGCATTGGATATAAGACTTGTAAGATACATCATCGTTTCCTATCAAATATTGTTCAAATGTAGCTCACTGATTCCATATGGTTTTGTTCTTTCAAAAGATATCATTTTTGCAGTGACAAATTTTTTAATGATTCCAAGTGTTTATTACTTTTTTCCTGAAACTGCCCATAGATCATTAGAAGAGATAGATGACATCTTTAGTAAATCAGGTTGGTTTAGTGTTGTTAAGAATTCATTTCCTTCAATCACTCCACTTAGATTTAAACCTGAAGAATCTAATGAGTTAGTATCAAATGATAAAGAAGATGAAAAGATTTCTTTGGGAAGATTGTCTTGATGTATATAGTAGTACTACATTTTGAAATTTATCTGAAGTTTGTATGATTTTTGAAACCAGTTGGGTGGATTTTGAAGTACCATGTGTGTCCGTGATATAAAGTATTAGGAATGCAGACAGATTGATTGCATATGAGCAATGTCAATGTGACTATGCAGAATAGCTAAGATCAGAGCTAGATTCTTGTCCTCCTTCACCTATTGTTATGAGCTAAACGTACGCAAAAGTAGCTTAATGAGTTTCTTGAAAAAAGATCATATGCGCTACCATAACTCGCGATGCAAACAGTTGATTGCACATTAAGCTGTTGGACTTTTTTCCCTCAGCTCCACCTACCGGTTGGAGCCAAAAATCCTCTTCCTCGTGTTCGTGAGAGTTCCAATTCATTTTCTATCCCTTAATCAATCCCATCATGGCCATCTTGTTCAAGTTCACGTGCGTCACCAAACTTAACACGTTCACGTCATCTCGCGATCACCGACTTGTAAGTTGTATGTAGGGTAGTATGTAATCGGATATGCTTATAGTGAGGAATGACGCATGTGTTGTGTTGTTGAATGATCTCGATTGAAGTTGAAGAAGGACCAAGGAGCATTCCAAGATATTTCATAAAGCACCATTGTTAGTCAACTTCAGCCTTCAAACCCAACACCTTCGATGGCTTCACTCGTCTCTCGACCACCTAATTCAATCATCAATCCATCTTCTCAAGGTGGAATAGGATCATATTATCAAACTAAAACTGAATCACTTCAACTTACAATCAATCGTAAAACTCAAAACCTACGAAGATTAGAAGCTCAACGTAATTCTCTAAATGCAAGAGTTAGACTCTTACGTGAAGAACTTCAACTTTTACAAGAGCCAGGAAGTTATGTTGGAGAAGTGGTAAAAGTGATGGGAAAGAAGAAAGTTTTAGTCAAAGTTCAACCTGAGGGCAAATATGGTATGTGATGAATTGAGATCGGAGCTCAAGTCTTGAAGTTCATATTCACTTACACTAGCCTGTATCTTTTAGTCGTCGATTTTGCACCTTCAATTCAACTTTCTCAACTTACGCCTGCTCTTCGGGTCGCCCTCCGATCTGACTCCTACCAACTTCACTCGATCCTTCCCTCAAAAGTCGATCCACTCGTATCTCTGATGATGGTAGAAAAGGTACCCGACTCAACTTACGAGATGGTGGGTGGACTAGATAAACAGATTAAAGAGATCAAGGAAGTTATCGAACTACCTGTCAAGCATCCCGAACTCTTTGACGCCTTGGGTATCGCTCAACCTAAAGGTGTACTACTCTATGGTCCTCCAGGAACAGGCAAGACCCTATTGGCTCGTGCCGTGGCTCATCATACAGATTGTCGTTTTATTCGAGTCAGTGGTAGTGAATTGGTCCAGAAATACATTGGTGAAGGATCAAGAATGGTTCGTGAGCTATTTGTGATGGCACGTGAACATGCTCCATCGATCATCTTTATGGACGAAATTGATTCGATTGGTAGTTCAAGAGGAGAAAGTGGAAGTGGTGGTGGTGATAGTGAAGTTCAAAGGACGATGTTAGAATTATTAAATCAACTCGATGGATTTGAACCTTCTAAGAATATCAAAGTGATCATGGCCACCAATCGAATCGATATACTTGATTCTGCTTTGCTTAGACCTGGTCGAATTGATCGAAAGATTGAATTCCCTCCACCAGGCCCTGAGGCTAGGATTTCAATCTTGAGGATTCATTCACGAAAGGTCAGGACTATATTGTCATTTAGACCTAAGCTCGAATCTTTCCCCCAGAAGACTGATATTTGTCTTTACAGATGTCACTCACTCGTGGAATCAATCTCCGAGCACTCGCAGAAAAGATGGATAATTGTAGTGGAGCAGAAGTGAAGGGTATTTGTACCGAAGCAGGTAAGTCTCCTCGTTTATAAAACATCTCATATCATTTAGGCTGATGAGAATCTCGCGGTTATTAGGAATGTATGCCCTCCGTGAACGTCGTCAACACGTAACACAAGAAGATCTTGAATTGGCAGTAGCTAAAGTCTTGAAGAGAAACATGGTGCGCATCTCTCTAGTGCTTTTGAAAGCTGTCTTTATGTTGCTGAGAACATTTCTTTGTGGACCTTTTCCTTACCAGGACTCGAGTACATCAACTAGCAAGCTCTTCACATGAGAGAAAGTAGCATAAAGATGTTTAGCTTCTCAGATCCTTGTACTACACTTACGCAATCGGAATCACGTAAATTGTAACTTGAGCTCGAGGGGTCACGTAGTAATTAATTTAGAAAATATGATTGAAAATTGACGATGGAAGAGATATGAAAATATCCCCCATTTTCAGTTTACATCTCCTAATCGCACAAGCACTTCACTTCGCGAATATATGAGTTGACATCAAGATTTTGTGTGAGTTGCTAGTTCACAAAGGAATACTCCCTCTGTTACGCTTGCCCAATGTATAACACAACAAACTAAAATGATCAAGAGTAAGGTTTGACCAACCATACCAAAGAATATATGATGTTCACAAATATTGTACACCTAGAACTTCCCAATAAGCCGGCTGGCGAGTCTTTTTATGGCATAAACGCGAGGGACTTGTCATTTTTCTCGGGCCTCTCAGGTGAATCGATCGACTTTTCAAATCGGCAGGCTCTTCTGCCTCAAGTTCTCACTTTCCTTCATGTTTTTTGCGGAAAACCCCATAAGCCTAGCAGCGCTGTCTACTTTTGTTTTGCTTGCTTTGTTCAAATTCTCTGTGTAATCAATTTTTTGTGATTCTTTTTCTTGTCCTCCAAACTGGATCCTTATAAGATCTATGAAAGATTCGCCTCGGATTTGAAACTCCGAAGTGTTCTCGGATGCTGCTATCCGAGCCCATTCGGTCGGCAGTGAGTGATCCAGGTGGATGTAAGCCCAAGCCAATTCTGATTGATGCAAGAAACACGAATCCCACAAAAGGGTGGGAAATATGTGCGTGTCAAATAAATTCTTGATGATCCTAATTTCTGAATCGATCTGATGATGATGACACTTTTAGAAGTGTAAAATCCGGCTCAGACTGCCATGCATTTGTATGGATGATGGTTTACTTTCAAAAGGCCCTGTCAATAGATCAAAGCAAGTATGCATCACACTAAAAGTGGAGCTTTGTCACCACTCTTTTATCCCAACCATCTCCGTCCGCCTCCGCACCACGAATGTTTTGAGCTGATCAGGTATAATTCAGTGTGAGACCGATGGTTAGATTTATGATTTCCATGTTCCTGAATTTCGTCGCTTTCATGCTCACTCAAGTAATGCGAGAAAGATGATTGCTTTATCAAAGGTTTCTGTTAACTGTCAACTGCGGTTGGTTGAGTAGTCAATTTGACAGAGCCAATCATTAAGTGGAATAATCAACATTTTAGATCACCACCGAGCCATACTTTATCTTTATCTTGCATCTTGCCTTGCAACTCTTGCTTCCTGGTGTGTTTTATGATTATCTTTGTTGACTTTTTTTTCATTTTGCCTGCGACAACTTCAACTTATTCTTGCTCCGCTTTGCTATCTTTCTCACGCCGATTAGGTTTTTATCATCTCGAAGACATCCCATGCAATCATAATCATCAAGCCATCAAGTTATATATAGTTTTTGTAAATATTCAAAGTAACAGTGTCTCATCTCTTACAATAATCTATAAAATCATCGTACTAAGTCATTCTTTTGTCCTTTCTATATTCTTATCTTCTTCGATCAACCCATTTTTTCCCCAGAAAATCTTCAAGTCTTGAATCAAGGAAAGATTATAATACTTCAAATTTCTTTTGATATATCTACAACCTTTTCGTAGTTCTTGATTTGTGAAAGATTATGTCACAAGTTTTGATAATCTTTCATACTTTTTTATCTCTTGGTTTGTGAATTTTCCATCTGACTTTTTCTTATACTTGAGTGATTCACAAGAAGAAGAAGTCACTAATGTTCACAAACGTTTTCCTTTTGAATATTTCTGAAAAGCTTTTGGTGCATTCTTTTCTAAAGCTATTTCAATCATCTTTGAAGAGGTTCAAAGTACCTCACAAAGCAACTTTTCATTTAAAGTATGCACGATCATTATCAGTTTATGGGTCAGTGTGATCGCAGTTCTGGCAACAGCGGTAGTCATCGGTCTCAAGGACGTTTTAATGGCTACAGTAGGATTAGGAGAAATGCTCAAAGGAGGATGCCAATTCTCACTTTTGTTCTACCTCAATGATACTATCATGACCACCAAGAATTCTCAACGGAATCCTTGGATCGCTTGGAGGTCTTTGATTGCGGGCATATCACTCGGTATCAGTTTAACAGTCAGTTTGATTTTGGTGATCTTTATTGGCATCAGAGAAGGGAACACTTGGTCCATGATATCGGCATGGCTCTGTCTTAGCAGTGTGAGGAAAATTCTCAATCTTTTGATTCCAACGATGACGTCTTTTGATTCCAACGATGACGAGTTGGGATACGATGGTAAACAATTCTGATACCAGTTTCTATCGCCTCTTATCAGGTTGTCTCTACTGGCTCTATCGCCATGTTAATATGGTCTCGAATCTGCAGTCACAGTCAGTCATTAGGGGCAAAGAAATCTTCAGACAACCTCCGTCTTGCACTGGGAATCATGAAAGATGAAGGACTCGTGAGTAATGTTCATTTGTTTCCTTCCAAGAATCTCATCACTCGTTTTCTTGCATCTGATTCTGACTTTGGCGAGAACGAATGAAAGCCCGCTGTAGCTCAACTAGTTGTACTTCTCTATTTTTCGAGTACCAATAAGAAACAATATCGTGAAGTCATCTTTTTGAATCTTTTACCATCGATCTTGTACGCCATAGCAGTCATCAACCGTTCCAGCAAATATCATCATCCGATCACTATGCCCAAGTTAAGTATCTTGAACAGACGCAGTATGAGCATCAAAGGACCTAGGCTTCCTTCCCTTGGTAACAATCATTCATCCAAAACAGATGTCGTTGTGAAAAGTCCGACTCAAACTTTGATAATTCAAATGAGATCAGAAACGGGAGTCAATCAGATGCAAGCGATAGCAATCAAACCATCAGAAGATTCCGTAGAAGATCTCAAGAATCCATCGAACCGATCTAGCTCTCTTGACAATCCTCCTCAAGATAGATATCCTAAAGAATTCAAGCATAAAAGTCATTTAAGTGAAATGGATAGTATGTTTGATAATCATAGTTTTTATTCACTTCAAAGTAATTCAGAAGGAGCAGAAGCTACATGTAATCAGATCCCTAAACTTTTAGAAGAAGGTAAACTAGAAGCTCGTCTGGCAGTGATCAAAACGAACCGGTCCACAATTCAAGCAGACGGTGAAGGTTATGTGATAGAAGAATGGCCAGAAATTCATATGGTAAAGAAGATCAAACTCGAACCACGTGCTTTCTTACTTCCTTCTCAGCGACCTAAAAAGCTTACTGAGCTCGAGAACGATAGTCTTGAAGACATCCTATCCACCCCAAAGCCAGTGAATACCAGTACGCCAGTCTTGATGGAACTCTCTGACTTACGAAAGAATTTGGTCGCCCCACCTCCACCTATCTCATCTTCGTCATCGAGGTTCAAATTTTCAAGTCCCGAGTTTCGTAGTGATCGTCAAAATTCTAGAAGACCTTCATCTCCCGGTTTCTTAGCCCAGACAGCAATGGAAGAGATTCGTAAACTATTCCCGCCTAAATTAAATTTAAGTAATAGTTCATCAAGAAAAGATTCGTCAATCAGTCAATTAGGTTTGATAGGAGAAAGTAATAATGAAGAAGATGATTTTTGGGGACGACATAAACGTGCGGCTAAGAGATCTTATTTATCATCTCATTTTTATCAACAACCGATCAAGAAAGGCTTCAGTCATCATTTTGAGATGAAATCAAGATGGAAATCTGATGAGACTCAATCGAGCAAAAATCAACAAAGTACCAAAGGTCAACTTCATCAGAATGATGTCTATCGTGCTTTAGATTCTTATCGATTTGGGAAACCTGTTGAAGTAAGTGTTCGAATTTCTTTTAATTTCTTTCAACTTTTTGCGAGTGTCGAGAACCTTTGTCAAATATTGATAGCTTTTTGATTTTTAGTCACCACCGGCAGTCGAGATATGTGAAACAGAAGAAATAAAAAGTACTGAAAATGATAATGAGATTCCAATGATGATAACCCCAACAAAAGATCACAAAATCAGTCAAGAGGGACTCAAAAGAAGAAGATTAGCATCTGTTTTAGATACTAATCAGCTCATTCATCGTTTGGCTACTAAATCAGTGGATAATCTTCTTTTGGGTTGTGGTTTGGGTAAGTCGAGAGAATTTGATGAAACTGGAATTACAATTAAAGATTGGTTTGAAAGAAGACCTTCTACTCAACTTTGTTAAATCCAAAGAATGGTGTTCTGATCCCTCAAAAAAGTAGTCAAATGATTCTCCTTCTTGTGTACATACTTTGGTTTTAAGATCATTCATTTTGAAGATTTAATTTTATTCCTCATTAGTCTTCTGGAAGATTTTGTTTTATAAAGTGTTTCTTATGATTTGATGGTCTTAATTATTTTATTTATCGTTTGTTTGGCATCTGAGTGATTTCGTCCCTGGCGGTTCAGTGGCATTGTCAAGGTTTACAGCTGGTAGAGTTTGCAAAAGCTTTATATTCAATACACTCTTAACGGCAGATGGATTTCTTGCAAGAATGGTTGCTAGAGGTCGCTAAGTCTAGCTCAAAAGACGGTTGGAACAAGACAACAAGATTTCAACAAGACCGCTCTGATAAGTGGAAGAGAAGATATGTGCATGTATGTAGATGATCACCGTGATCACCAAGGAAAAAAGTACAAGCAGTGAATTGCTTTTCCTGTCTTTCCGGTGAATGTATAAGGTAGCTAAAGGTCTCTCCATCAAGGTATTTATATTGTAACATGAGGAGACACAGTCCATTGTTGAGCCAACTACCAAGTGAGTAAGAAACTACCTATTACCACAAGCATAATATAATAGTAGTAGCCTATAAATGGCTCATAACACCTTTTTGTCTTCTTGTTGGTTCAAAAGGTTGAAAAAGCCATTTTGACAAGGGCTTAACAGGAATGGCCATTTTTGGGTAGAAAAGGGAGCATTCCAAGCTTGAGAAGGAGTAAGAGAGTTGTGTTTGTGGATAGTTGCTAAGTCATGTGGTGGGCGGGGCGCAAATGACCTGCCCCATGGGCGGGCCTTCTTGGCTTGTTTTGGGGTTGGTGTGCCCATGTTAGGTTTAGCTCTATTCCACCCAATTTCCCAGGCAATTATGTATGAACATTGTGTGTTTAGCATCTAAATTTTCCAAATTCCATCTCAAAGTCCTGGCAAAGATGAAGTGGAGCAGGAGGAATGACATAGGATGATACTGAGAGTGTTTATAGACTAGAGACTAATAGTTTAGTTGAGGAATGATGATTGGGACAAAGATGACCTTTTCAATGATTTTTTTTAATGGTGGTTGATGATATGCCCCTTTTTGATCACCAACAGTATCATGAAATATAAAAATGCTATTTTTGATGTTCTTGAGATTTTCTCAAAACAAATTTGTGTCAAGGCTGGGACAAGGGGGTTGGGACAAGGGAAGAGGTTTATCCAATCTGAGCAGGTCTTGTATTGTGATTGTCGGATAAGGAGAAAAGAGCATCTGTACAACATGGAAGGGTACAAGATACTAGCTACAAATCTGTGACATGTGTAATGTGTGTCATCTCTGCAAACCCCAGTTCATAACAGTATCCCCCCTTTATGCCCAAACTCCCTCTTGCAACTTCTGCATTCTTTCCTGGGCAGCATTAAAAAACCCAGGGGGAAAAAGCTTGCCCTCCTACTTTTTCTTCTGTGACCTCTTGTATTTACTTGCTGCCATGAGAAATTTTAAATTAAAATTATCAATTAATGCCTTGCAGTTGCCCAAATTTTCCATTGGCTCCCATGAATTGTGCTCAGGTCCAAATCCTTTCCAACTGATAAAGTATTCTTGTTTCTTGTGCTTCATTCTGCAGTCTAAAATTTCTGATACTTCCCATTCTGTGTTGCCTTCAATAAAGATTGGTGTAGGTTCTGGTTCTTGCTGGCCTTCAATTTTGTCTACTTTGTGTTTTTGCAAAACTGAGATGTGGAAGACTGGATGGACTCCCTTCATTGAAATGGGAAGATTCAATTTGTAAGTTGAATTTGAGATCTTTTTCATAATAGGGAAAGGACCTAGCCATTGGTGTTCCAATTTAGGGCTGGGTCGAGTTGTAGATATATTTTTATTGCTCAACCACACATGGTTGCCAACTTGCCAGTCTGGTGTGCTTCGTACTTTCTTCTTAAATTGTAATTCCATTTCTTCTTGACTTGCTTGTAATTCCATTTCTTCTTGAATTGCTTGTAAACATTCCTTCAACTTGTCTTGAACCGCTTGTAAAATCTTGAGTCTGTTCTCCACTGACAGTACGCACTGTTCTCCTAAAGGTTTGTCTCCAAAGGTTGTGTTATACCCGTAGTTAGCTTTAAATGGCGAGACACCTATTGACACGTGATCCTTGTTATCATAGGAGAACTCAGCGGTTGGGAGTAGCGCTTCCCAATTGTCTTGTCAGTACCCAATAAAGTGGTGTAAGTATTGTTCAATACTTTTGTTGACAATTTCTGACTGTCCATTGGTGCGTGGGTGAAATGAAGTTGAGGGTTTCAAAGTGATACCAAGCCTCTTGCTGAGTTCCTGCGTGATCTGTGAGATAAAAATACTGCCACAATCAGATATTATTCTCTTTGGTGTGCCACAAAGTTTCCAAACCTCCTTCAATAACAAGTCGGCTAATTGCTCTGAATTCATGCTCTCATGGCACGGAATGAAATGAGCCATCTTAGTGAGTCTATTGACCACTGTCAGAATGCTATCCTTTCCGTTCAATATGGGCAGTTTTGTTATCAAGTTGTAGCTGATATCTGTCCACGGGCCTGCAGGTATTGGCAGCGGCTCAAGAGATCCATAGGGTTTCTGGGTAGAACTCTTGACTCTTAGACATGAATGACAACCATCCGCGTACTTGTTAACATATGATTTCATAAGAGGCCATGTAAAACACCGTTTGATTAAGCCTAATGTTTTGGCTTGTCCTGGGTGTCCTGCAAGCAATCCATCATGTTGGCTTCCTGTGATTTTACGTTTTAGTGAGTCGTCCTCTGGGGCTTTGATGCAACCGTGGTGGTAGATGAGTCCGTCTTTGACCTAGTAATCCGTGAGTTTTGACTTGAACTTTGATGATAGTGGGTTTGCTATAATGCTCATGAGATCTTGCAGCCTAGGTGAAATTTTTGTTTTTTTTGTATTTCTTCTATCAATGATAAGTCACTAGCCACTTCTTTGCGTTCTATTTCTGCAATGTGAATCTCATCTTCAATTCCCAAAATATCCACATCAAACCAATGCTTGGCGTCCTCAAGCTGTATGTCTTCATTCTCAAAATAAGTCTCCATGCTTGCAACCTCAACAAAGGTTTCCTCATTGATGTTCTCTGGTCTGAGGAGTTGGCCAAATGTGAGCTTCTCTTCTTGCGTGGGGGCTAAATTGGGCCTTCTGGACAGAGCATCAGATTTTGCATTCATGTGGCCTGGCCAAAACTTGATGGTGAAATCAAAGCATCCTACAGTTTTGGCCCAGTGTGCCTGTTGTCAAGTCAGTTGTTTTGTGGTCATGAAGGACTCTAGGTTTTGATGGTCCATGTACACAAAAACCTTGAGCCTGTTGGGGTTGCCTTCAAGGTAATGTCTCCATTCTTTGAATGAAGCAACAATGGCAAGAAGTTCTTTGTTGAAAATCTCATGATTCCTCTCCGCTTGGACCAAAGATTGTGAAAAAAAGGCCCCCGGGTGTATCTGGTCATTGTTTTCACATTTTTGAGATAAGACTGCTCCTAATGCAAAATCAGAGCAATCACATTCAAGTAGGAATGGCCTATAAGGATCAGCAATTTTCAGGACAGGGGCTGTGCTGAATGATTTCTTCAGGTCGTTGAATGCTTCTCTACACTTTGATTCCCAAATGAAAGGTGTCTTGTTCTTTGTCAGGTCGTGCAGGGAACGTTTTGTAGCAGAAAAGTGACCAATAAACCGTTGGTAGAAATTAGAAAATCTGATGAATTGTTGTAATTCCGTGACATTCCTGGGTTCTGGCCAATCAAACACTGCTTTGACTTTTGTTGGGTCAATTTTGACCTGATTTTGTGATATGATAAGGCCTAAATATTCAACTTCCTTCTTTGAAAACTCACATTTTTTGGGTTCCAGCCAAAGTTGATGTTTGTCGAAAATGTCCAGCACACTGTTGACCGCAGCTTCATGTTTTTTGCCTTTCTTGGTGTAAATCATGGTATCATCTAAGAAAACTGCTACGTCTTTCCCGATATTTCCCACAAGGTTATCCTGCATGAAATATTGGAAATATCTGACCGCTCCCGTTGGGCCAAATGGCATAGTCAACAGTGTGAATTGTCCTGCACGGCATACAAAAGCCAACTTATCTTCATCGCCTTCAGCAACGCGCAGGTTACTGTAAGCATTATGTAGATCTAGCTTAGTGAACTTGTTGGCGTCTGACAGGCTGTCCACTAGGTCCATTGTCAAGGGCAGTGGGTACTTGTTCTTGACCGTTAGCGCATTGAGCTTGCAGTAGTCAAAGCACGGTCGTAGATTACTGTCTTTTTTTCCAGTGAACAGTACTGGTGCAGCCCATGGTGATGTCGTACGGCAAATGGTACCATTGGTAAGTCCTGTGTTTATCAGTTCATCTAGTGCTTTGTTCTCTGCGGGTGACAATGGTATGACATAGCTAGCCTGAGATTGAGCTCCAGGGATCAATTTGACCTTAAAGTTGTAACATCGTCTAGGAGGGAGTCTCTGAGCTTGAGATTTAACAAACAGGTGGAGGTGTCGGTGGTACTGCGAGGGTACGAGGTGTTTGACAGATTTCGGGGCTTCATTCTTCTTCACTTCGGCAGCCAGTCTTGCGGATGTTGACCAAGAAGTCTTCGCCGCGTGGATCTCTACATCTGGGCAAATTGGGAGAGAATCCTGCTGGCCAGCTTGCTCAAGTTTAGGTATTGGAAGGGAAGAAGTATCACACTCACATTGCGGGGGTGCTAGCGCATCGTCCCTGATACACACCGCCTTATCAAGATCCCTAGCGTCCCTCACGGGCTCCATATGTCCAGGTGAGAGGTGTTCTGGGATCAACAAAACTGCTGTGGCAGTTGCAAGGTGAGTCATAGGTTCAATTGACATAGGATCCGCTTGTGTTTTTGTCTGGTCAAGGTCCTGGTGGTTCAATTTTTTTAGGAGAGAAAGAGGCTTGACAGCTGAAACGGGGTGAATTTTTTGAAGGGTAAAATCATACGCACATTGTGGGGGTGCTAATGCATCATCTCTGATAGTACCTAGCCGATAAACATCTCGACAATCTTGGAATGAACATTTTTTTTTGGAATGGAGTTTTCACTTCTCTGTTTCAGATCAAAAATGTGTGTTCAAGTTAACTTCATATGAATTCATCCATCCCAAAATTTGGAATTCTTGCAGTCACCTTGATAGTTTAAGCAAAGATGTTCAACATACCTCTAAGCACTTATTTTGCACATTGGCTCTCCTGATGCATTTTTGACATGCTCACAAACTGCCCAAACATCCAGGATCATCGTGAGCAGAAAAAAGTTCAATGAAAGCACCAATCTTATATAATGAAGCGTTGTTGAAATCTTCGGCGGTTCACAGGTTACAGTGTCATATCAAGGATCAAATGACTTTTGAGCAGATCTTGGCACATACACCACAGGGCGACTTTGAACTGGGACCATGTGAAATATAAGTTGGGTATGACCACACCGAGTGGTTGTGTAGACCAGGTGAAAGCAGTGTGAGTGTGGCTACATGGCCCTCACCCAATGCTTGTCACCTGCTCTACACGTTGAGGAAAAGACCACATTGGCATGGCATAGTTTACCAGCCAATCAGTGGGTGAGCTGGTTGGTCCGAGTGCGACCTGCCAGCGAGTTGCTCAGCATGTGATTTAGCTTGCGTGCCGGTGATACAAGCTGATTTGCCTGGTGAGCACCTCGCTGGCATGTGAGCTAACCAGCCAGGTGCTCAGCAGGCGATTGAATTTAGATCAGGTGCTCAGCACGTGATTCAGGCCGCATTGTAGTGAGTAAAAGCTCTCACTGAGCTGACCTCTATTTTTGTGTTTCATTATCAGGCCCAACTTCACACTTAATAATTCTCATAATCAATTACATTTCTTTTCTTTTGCAAATATCAAAAGAAAATTCAAAAAAAACCAATACACCACTTTTCTTATATACAAATTGTTTTGATAGAACTGTTTATTCACATCTCCCTCACTCCAAGACTTCATCTCTAGACCATGAAGACTATACTCACATAACAATGCATAAATGATTAAAAGAAATTCACAAATCAATATCAGTACAAATCAAATCAAAGAAGATAGAGAGAAGTTGATTATCTAAGACATCATTACATATTTTGGATCTAAGTGTCTCAATCAAATTAAATTATTACATAACAACCTTCAAAAAAAATGAGTTGATTGAAACTGTCTGATTGTTAAGTATACAAGACCTATAATCCTTCATGATCGGGTGAAGATCCTAAAATATCGATCAATAGTTCAAACAAACAACGTAACAAGTGCATCAGCATCAAACTCAGAAGATGACATAAAACAACAAGACAATGACTTACTAGACATGAAATCAAGATAAGCAAGCTAGGGATGATCAGAGGTAAATAAGAGAAGTGTTGTGGTGAAGATAATTGCCATTGAAAATCGAGGTGACTAAACCAATACCCATTATAAAGAATCTTACTTGATTCATTGGTAAGAAAGCCATCTCTTAACAATCCAACTTTTCCATCTAATGTTGAAGCTTTCAAGTCCATATGAGCCTTACGCGTAAGATCGTCCCGCTGGCGCTTCATAACATCCTTGTGATTTCACTCCAATAAATTGGTTCTTGACTATATTGATTCGATCAAAGTGGGAGTTGTGAGTTTGGTTTCCAGACTTCAGTGAGAAGTTCGGGATCGTGTGTATGTAACAGGTTTGTTCACAGATGTGACATATCAGAAACCGTGTACGGTCAAGAATCAGCTCGATCTTGTTTCAAATCCAAGAAATCTAAACATCGTTTTCAACAACGCGACTGAGAAAAAGAACAAGCCAAGCGCACAGCAACAGCCGCCACCGTCATAGCTGCTGGTAAGTCCACTGAACGTTCTGGAAGTACAGCTACCAGTACATTTAGATCAAGATAACCCGCTCCTTACAAATTGATGAAACTCTCTCTGGCCTTGGTATTTGACTCGCTTCACCTAATCGATTTACCAGTATGCTGAGCTTTATCAATTGTCTAGTGGGTTGCATGTCTGTGGTAAGTTTCCAACTTTCTATCCTTTTCACTTGTCATTTTCACCCAAATTCAATACTAATGTGCGTTCTTTTGTTCATGTTTTTCTTTCATCAATTTATCGATCGCTTTGTTCTCATCTTCAAACACTCCACGTAAGTGTAAGTTTCCCCCCCTAAATTTCCTTTTCACCGTTGATTGTCATGCTTATTTGTATTGATAGTAAGCTCATATTCTGTTTTGTGCTACAGCGATGTTCAGGTAATGACGTCGTGACTATTCCAACAGTAAGTCCACTGAACGTTCTGGAAGTACAGCTACCAGTACATTTAGATCAAGATAACCCGCTCCTTACAAATTGATGAAACTCTCTCTGGCCTTGGTATTTGACTCGCTTCACCTAATCGATTTACCAGTATGCTGAGCTTTATCAATTGTCTAGTGGGTTGCATGTCTGTGGTAAGTTTCCAACTTTCTATCCTTTTCACTTGTCATTTTCACCCAAATTCAATACTAATGTGCGTTCTTTTGTTCATGTTTTTCATCAATTTATCGATCGCTTTGTTCTCATCTTCAAACACTCCACGTAAGTGTAAGTTTCCCCCCCTAAATTTCCTTTTCACCGTTGATTGTCATGCTTATTTGTATTGATAGTAAGCTCATATTCTGTTTTGTGCTTCCTAATGATCTAGTTTAATATGAACATTCAATACTAAAGGGGGTTTTTGTTCATGTTTTTGTATCAATTTATCAATCATGTGGTTCTCATCTCCAAACACTTCATGTAATCGTAAGTTTATCCCGTTTTAAATTCTGTTTCGCCTTTGATATGAGTGCTTGTTTGTATTGATGATAAGCTAATGTTCAATTTTGTGCTACTTAATGATTGGTGCTATTGCTTACCCCCCATCAAGGTAACCACTTTCAGACAACTCACACCTTCAAGACCGATTAAATACTACTCTCTACTGCACGTGAATCATGTTCTTTCTGCAAAGGATAAACACGGTAAATGATTTTTGCAGGCCGGTACAATGATGATGAAGGTGTAGGTAGCATAGATAGCCTTAGCATACCTTGACATCTGCCTCCCTTCAAAACCATCATCATTGTGCCAGCCAAAATTATCAATAATCATCTTGTCAGCATACTGTATGTATTTAGATACTATAGACAAATCACCCAGGACCTCCATTAGTCTTTTTTCAATTTTCGCAATGTTTCCATTTATTTTTTCTATTACAAGCATACTGTATGCACGTAATCATGAACAGTTGATTTCTTTTGTGAGTAACCCTGTACAAATGGCCTGGTTATTGAGCCATGATGAGGCTGAAAGAGTACTGTGGTCACAAGCCATTCAGGCTGACATTTTTTGGTGTTGTGAGCCATCTCACCTGGCTATGAGGTATGATCGCTCACCCCATGAACGGGTGAGCCATCACACTTTAGCTACTCACACTGGTTGTCACATGTAACTCAGAATGGGTATTACACTGTGGACAGCTTGTGATTTGGTGGCAGAGACCTTTTTCAAGTGAATCTCACGTGCCAGGTGCCCCGTGGTGTATAAATCCAAGTTGATCTATCGAGATGACAAACTGATTCGAATATAACCTCATCATTTGGAATTCACACATTTCCGGATTTGAAAATCTAGCATGAACTGAAATCTGATAGCTCAAGATAGCTCAAATAAAGAGACTCAAAAATCATGCTCGCAATGATCTTATCTGCCCGAGAAACTCATAATTGTCAAGTATTTTGCAAAGATCACAGATGAGGAAGTTCAATCTTGATTTTGATAAGTCAACCAATGCTGAACATGAATTCGCTCATCCCTAAATCTGGCATCAAGCGTCATAGCTCACACAAAGATGCTCAAAAAGTATTGTCGTAATCACGTGTTATATTCAAGAAACCCTAATTTTTGAAGTGTCATACACAGCTCTTGAAAAAGTGGATCCATAAGTCAAACTCATGATCTAATTCATGGGTCCATTGAGTTTATAATCCAATTCCTGAGAGTGGAGCAAAGAAATAAATCAGTATTCGTTCAGGAAAAAGTTACTCTCAAAATTCTTCATATGTGATATAAAAAAATATACGGACCATAATTTCATCACAGGTCATTTCATCCATGACATGACATTGAACCCCACGAGATTTAAAATCTTCAACCAATGCTGGATTGATCTCTTTTCCTTCTCGTTTGAGATATCGATCCCTAGTAAAAACGATGTGTTTAAAATTTGGTACTTCCTTCAAAGCATCCTTACCAGCATCTTTTAAAGCCTTTTCCCAATAATCTTCACTAAAGTGTAAGTCTGTCACAAGTGTTCTAACATGTTTTAACATTGGAACTTCTAACCAATAAATCGATCCCACAAAGCAGTCAGCACCATCTTCAGTTCTCAGCACTCTTAATTTCGGAAAATCCAACTTGGTAACATCAGTATAAAGCTGTTCACAAAAACAGACGGTGAATAGACCTTCTAATGTATCTTTGATAGGTTCAAAGACTTCACCTAATCCTTCAGGATCTTCAGTAGAAGAAAAAAGTTCAATAATTTTCAGAGAATCTTTTGAAGTTTTCATAATATGAGAAAGTCCTTTTGTTTCGGATTCATACGTAAATGAAAATAATCGTAAATTCGATAAAGCTGGAGGTTCTAACTCTAAATTATCCAAGGAATCATAATGAAATGTTAAATTTTCTAGTTTGGGTATTGATGATAATAATTTTGATATTGAACTTAAATCATAAGTTCCAGATTTTGAATGTTTGTAATTGAATGAGATTCTTAATGATCTCAAATCTTTCATAGTCTTGATAGCTTCAATGAAATCTGATGAAACTCCCATTGAACGGACAAAGGTGATATCCAAAGTCTTTAGGTCGCTACCAAATAAACTGATTAATCTTGACACTTGTCCCATCGAAACTGGAATTGATTCTTCTGTAGGCCAAAAAACAAAAACAAGGAATCTAGTCAACCCTTCAACATACTCACACAAAAGGTCAAGTGTGAACCCGAGCCACCGTCTTTTTTTGTCAACTTACCAGCATCTTCCTCTTTTTCTCCCCCCTCATCTTTGTCGTCATCTTTGGTTGATTCTTCTGAATACCAAAGTTTTTTGATGCACAGTCCTCCAACGGGAAGAGAACCACGAGCTCCCAATAAAGTATCATTCCAATCATCTAAAAATACTTTTGCATCTCTTGAATCATCTATATGAATCTTGTTGAAATAAAATGGTACAACAGCTTTAGACCATGTCTTCGAAACCAATCGTAATCCGAGTAATTCCTTGTAAAACAAAGGCGTCAAATCAGGGTCGACGAGTGAGCTATTGCAACCATAATTTCGGTCAAATTGTTTTACAAAGTATTGCAAAATTTGATTGATGATATTCAATGGTAATCTTTTCAAGTCGTCCATCGTATCTTCTGTTTCGTTTTTCTTCCCGTATGTTTAAAAACCAATGGATTCGGTTTCTTCTTGCGAATTTGTAGAAGTTTTTGATATGGATACTTCTTCGCAGATTGTTGTCCAGGTCTTTTGTATTGTCTTTTGACCTATCATAGTATCAGTTACCACTTCATACTAGGTTTACTGCGTACAAGGTTTTTACAGCTTTTCTGCCAGGTCGATGCTGAGTCCTGACAGACCCTGACGGTATGAGTAACATAGACTTAAACCCATCCTCCCGCCCCTCACGAGTCGTCGAGCATGGGGGAGGAGCTTGGTGAGTTGAAGACATGTAGACTGGATGACAAGAACACCCATCAAATAAGACCCTGTGTCCAATGGGTCTCTTCCATAAATTGCTCGGCGCTGTCCTGAGTTTTCACAAAGTTGATCAAAATGCTTTTGTAAATTAGCTGTCTCGTGTTGAAAAGGGTGCGAATCCAAATGGTTAGATTTTGGATTGGGCTCCGCTTTCAGACCTTGCTCCTCACCCATGTCAAAATGGTTCATGGTAGAGGTGTGGGTAACAAAACACCAACATTGCATAATGGCCTGATTCAAGGTCAAAAAGGTTGTATTGATTGATGTTCATTCTTGGTTCTCAACTTCAAAGCTAATCTGATTCTAACAATTGTTGGGTAACAATCACTTCGAGGATGATATGCACTGAATAAGGGAAAGGACGTGGAAAGCAGTGAACACTGCGAGCATTCAAATATAACTTCCCTTCACAGTTTGAGAGAGGAGCCAATGGAATCTATCATGGGTTGTACGGAAATGCTCCGGTTAGCTTGCGGTGCAAACAATTCCTACGCATGCATGATGGAGTTCTCAGTCCAACCTATCTTTCTGAGAAGTAAAGTGATAGTTTACACTTTGGAACACTTTGTGCAAGTGTGATGAAGATATTCATAACAAAGTAGGATCGACAAATGTCCACACAATTCCGATATTTGACCTTTGGAGACATCCATATTGTGAATTAAGCTGTGGGGAGATACGTCAGATTAGCAATCAAGTTAAAGATTGTTTTTTTGGCAGTGACGAGTCAGTGGCCACGCTTTACTCGTCTCTTGTTCAGTACAGGCAAATCGAGGAATACCTTACATCATTGGTTCTTGCATCTGATCATCCAGGGTCCAAATGCATGCAATATGGACTCTTATCCATTGGATAGATAGGGCATTCTAGATTGTTTCGGCTACAATCTTGGGAAAGGATCTACAAAACCTTCAAACAACGCTTCACAAAAAAATCGGGTACGGTGACCATAACTGAAGATGATAAAGTGCAAGAATCCCACGTTCAACGAGATAGGCTAATGACTTAATTTGCTTCCTCCTTCTCTCCTCGTTGACTGGTATGAGTATTTATCATATCACCTTGGTAAGTGGGTTTGATATATGAAGAAGAGTGAATATTGTACACTCGAACGAAAACTCAAACCATCTTTACATCTTTGAAACGCTTGGAGTGAGAAAGAACAGTAAGAAAATAATGAATCTACATGAAGGAAAGATCGCAAATGAAATTCGAATTGCATTCCTAATCCTAATTCACATCATCACCATTCATCCCAATCGTTCTCTTCTTTCTCATTTGAAGCACTCCAAGGATCTTCAAGTTCTTCTTCGACCCAAACTTCATCAATAGGCGTCTCACTCCAACCAGGAGGTGTATTATCAACTATATCTGCACTGTCGTCGTGCCTGATTTGTTTCTCGTCATGAGCGCTAGATTCTGAATCAAGCTCGGGTGCGCGACCTTGGCCAGCTTGAGATAACATTCCGTCCATCACACCAACGCCTACACCAGTGGTGAGTGGATCTGGCCCTGTAGCTGTTGTTCCACTTGTAGCTCCTCCTGATTGAAGTTCATCGGAACTACCACCAAAGAACATGGGAGGCATCAATCCTCCTCCGCGTGATCGGGTGAAATAGTCAAAGTCACTGAATAGATGAAGAAAAATCAACACCAAATCAATATGTGGGAGATATGGTACGCCAGTTAAACAAATAGAGACCTCGTACATTGAAACTGCTGTGGCCAACATAACAGCCCGTTGATCTAATGTCAAACCTGTTGAATGAACCTCCCGACTAGGCACTTGTGCAAGGTGAGATTCAGCTACAGGTGCAGCTTGGGCAGTTATTGAATCCTTAGGGGTTTTAGCAATTTGATCTAATTGTTTCAATTCCTCTTCAACTGCTTCAAATCGTATCACATATTGACCTGTATCGGTGAAAATCTCACGTCCAAATCCAGCAAAGTTTCGACTCACACTTCCCATCAATTTCCCATCAGCATCCTGAGCGAAAAATTCCCATGAAAGTAACCCAGCATCAATCTTTGCAAATTGTTCAAATGCTGTCTCTTCCCCTATCTTATCAGAACTTGTTGTAAAGAGACCATATTTACGTCGCCAGATATGAAACTCTTGTTGAGCTTCACCAATTACCTTTTGTCGATGAGGACACTCGATCGAGATACGAGAATTGATGAAACTAAATGGACGTCTAATCCTCAGTAGCTCCGTTCCATCGACCGCCAAAATGCTAGCTTGAAAGGCACGATGTGTTCCCGCTATTTGACGTAAGAGAGTTCCAGTGAATCCAGAGTTCTCTTCAGCTAGAAACCCGACCGTTTCGCCCGCGGGATTCAAGATTCGATATCGATTTGCTTGCTCGAAACCAACGAACAGATTAAGCATTTCAAGCTGTCGTACAACTACTAGCGCAGGCTGTGCTAGTAGGCTCGCGGCTGGATGTGAGGATTGAATGAAGCCGGAGGGATTGGATGGTACGTCAACCCAGTCGGAACGAGATACCGAGCCAGTGGATGGAAGTGCATCGTAATCTGTCCAAGGAAATGAGGGATTAGGTGCGTTGATATCAGGTGCTTTGAGGGCTGTTGGTGTCGTTGGAAAAGGCTGCGTCGGATGGTTACGCTTCGGAGAGCGACTGGAGCGAAGACCTATCGCCATCGATTGGCAAAATGTCAATATGATTAGGCGTCATCGAAGGAAAATGATAATTGAACTCTTCATTACCAACGGGCCGAACTGGCAGTGGTGAGTAACAACGGCATGGCGGTGACAGGAAGGCTCGTAGATTGATTGGTGTTTTCGACCCAGAGGGATTAGTACGAAGAGTATTCCAAATGAGAGGAAGCGATCGCTGAGAACAGTTCATGTTGAGGTGGTCATGCGTCGATCGAGGCGAGCTGACGAAGTTCAACTCTATAAATCAATCCGGGTAGCTCAAATCGGATCGGGTTCAAGACAGCTGTCGTCCGGTCTATGTGTAGGTCCAGTGACCCGGAGGCAGCTGGCAAATCGCCGGATTCTCATTCACCCATTCTCTTTCTTTTAAAAAGTACTTTTACTGGCCAAACTCATTGAGGAAAAAGCGTGTTCTAAAATATGTAGTACCTGCGATGAACAGGTTCTCTAAAATGTTGAAAGGCATCAGTGCTGGCTTGTGAATAGCTTTAAGATGTTATCAAAGTTCCTCTGTTCACAGCTTAAATACAAATGTAACTTGATTATTTTGATGTCATTGAAACTGAATGATATATAAACCCTGCGACCCAGTGTAATAGTCAACAGGAGACATCATCATTACATGACTGCAAGCTGCGAGGAGCAAAGGAAAGCAATAAAAATACATAGGTTTCCGGCAGGCGTTGGACGAACAACCTCCCTCGACTCTCTGATGACCAGTGTATATACTGCACAATACAGCCAAATTTTAGGTGAATGCTGATGGCGGAAAGGGCAGATATTGATTTGAGCACACTTTTTCCATTCGAAAAAACTATCCTGACATGCTATATATTGAGAAAATTTTCAAACAAAAAAACCAAGCTAGTTTGATGATCATGATGAGTTGAGACCTGAAAAATATGCTTCGAGAAGATGTTTACTGAGGTTAAAGCCCAGTAAGCTAACGACATAGAGTGTTAAGAATAAGACAATAGGGAACAGTAGCAATTCAGACCTAATCAGAAAAGGAAGTGCATTATAGCCGAGGTAGGTGATGTAGACGTATTGCGTAGCCTGCGGTACGATGGAGTCAGCAAATGCAACAAAAACCAGATACATCGTTCTGAAATGGACAAGAAACTGTATGCTCACCGCCACCAAGTACAATGAATTTCCCACCCATAGACACACCCAATTATTCCTCGTCACTACGGGTGCCAAAATAAGTTGAGCGAGATATAAATTGAGGAAAAGGGGGAAGAAGGAATTGGTGTGGACATCAAATGAATACTGCCTGTTAAAGTCAGCAAACAAATGAAAATCAGCTAGAGTGTCGTGTAATCAAGGAAATGCCCAGTTTGCAAGCTTGCAAGCTTACCATTCTACGTGTTGATCTGTGGCATGTGTATGTGAGGAATGTGTAAGAAACTTATTGGATGCTGCCCTGCGAATTCAAGCATATAGAAAAAGTATGAGTTGTTCATAGTAGCTTGAGAATTGAGCACAACTCAAATGTAAGTCTGGCCAGAATTACTGACCACAAAAGGGTGCTAATGATCAATCCACTGGCGATGAAGTCCCTGAAAACCATCTTGAGTGCCAGACCAGCCCATGCGATAGGACTGAAAGAGTGGAGATATAGACTTGTCCAAAGTACAGCCGCCGAAGAGAGAAAGCCGATCATCATGATCAAGATTGCTGGGTCATCTCGTGCCCAAGTGTTTTTGGTTTGTTTGTGATAATATACATTCCGATACCTATGAGACAAAGCAGTAGCATTGAGGTTTCAAATATGATTTCAATTAACCTTATCTCATTTCTATCACAATAGATCTTTTTCTTCTTTCTTCATTTCCTGATCAGACCCACGATTAAGCTGAAGACGATTGTAACAGACGTGGAATTGAACGCACACTCTCCGAGGAGCCACACAAAGATAAGTCATCTGCCACGCTGCCAATTCGAAATCCATGGTTGGCCATCGACTAGGCCTCACTAGCTTTCCAAGCATCTTCCTCATCTTTTCAAAACCTCCTTTCGATCGACCTGAGCTAAGCGCAGCTGATGACGTAGCATGTCCGTGATGAGCGTAGGAACCACCCGCAGCCGGCGAATTAGATCGAGGAAGAGGTATAGCTGGATTTGAATGTGATACTGAGGTTGGTAAGAGGCCCATCTGGTTTGTTGTGAGTAAAGGTAGGTCGATGAAGATTTGAATTGGGGTGCATGAACGACTAAATACGAACGACTTGCAACTTCAAGTTGCAATCCATGAAGAAGCTCCGAGTCCCTCCCGGGTATCTCATCCGGTCGACGCACCGACCCTCTGTCTCAGGGTATCCGTGTGTCAAGCAGGCCCCGTGCGTTTCTGAGATCTTCGATATCAAGCTGCCTTTGGAGAGATGGACTTGTATGCGTTGGACTTGAAGCAAGCTTGAACCTCTCAGTCACATACGGCTTGTCTATCAAGACGATAGCGCCCTCCTCCATACATTCAAATTCCCAATGTCGACTCAGGAAAACGCTCCCCGGTTCAAGAAGGTACAGACGACGCGCTCTCAAAGTGGACGTGATGATGGAGCGCGTACTTGATCATCAGATTGACCTATGTATCATTCTCCCTCATTATCATCATGGAGCCAGGCCACAATTCACGAGATTTTCAAACAGACTTGGACAGCTGATCGATTGTCCTCCTTGGAAGCTACTTCTGAACCCCCTCCAAAAATCAACGATGCTGCTCTTCATCTGAGTGTTGAATACCTCAGACTCTTCACAATCGAATTAATTCATCGAGCAAACGAAGCGGCAGGAGGATCAGAAGACAAGGGAAACTCTAAAGACAAAGATGAAACGGATTCAGAGTACTTGATCGAGGTGAGTTTGCAACTGGGACATGCTTTTGACACTCCGTCAGTTTCACTCATTCATCTCTTCGTCATGAATGGATAGGTGAGACATCTACAGAAAGTTGCGCCGGGCGTATTGCTGGACTTCTAAAAAACTGGTAGCGGTTTGTGTGGCCAATTGGCGGTCAAGATGTTGTAAAAATAGCTCTTCTCAATAAAACAGCCAGCTTTACCAGCGCGGTCACTCGTATCTCGTATTGAGTGGTTCAAGACATCTCAAATGGTTATGGTCAGGTGAGAGAAACATATACAATTTTGGAAGGGTATGCATGGTGGATTATTTGCAAAGTCGTCAATCCGGCACCTCATCTAATTCTTGATCTGGTGCTGGTCCGCCTTCGCGAGCCTCAGCAACTAAGGCGTCATCGTCATCAACATCACCGAGGTTAGGTTCCATGTACTCATCCTGGTCAAATCCATTCATCATATGATCACCATGTTCGTGATGTGAATCCCCGTTCACTTGAGTTCCATTTGTGACTTGTCGGTTGGTTGAGAGATGAGCACGCACAATCGAGAGGATTTCATCGACTTCTGCTTCTGAAAATCTGAAATCGCATTCTTCAACAATCTAGCTCGAAATTTCAGAGTGATGCCATCATCAGTATTGTATTCAGTTTGTATGAACAAGCATAAGCAGGCTACCAAGTAAAATTCAACGGCTATCGACGGCCCAACATCACATATCTGAAGGCGCTCGGCCTTGGTCAAACCGTTTGGTCTTCCACCGATCTGAGAAAACGGCTTGAGAGCATTGAGTAGATCTGCGATTAATTTTTCGGATTGTCTTGACTGAGGAACATAAGAAGACTCGAAATGTTGAACGAAGGGATAAATCAGCTCTTGAACATTTTCAGGGCTGTGGTGAAGTCGATCCGCGTGACTGAAGGTCTGAGCTGAGTTCACATCCTCGACATCAGCTTCGAAATCAGCACGCGCTTGTTCCTGGGAAGCTTGCAAGGCTCGAATCAATTCCAAAGTTTCGAAAGCTGAAAGATGAGCGAGGCGAGGGTTGATGACCTAGTGGTGCTTAAGGTCAAGGAAGCCATTGGATCAGTGGGTCGACATCGATTGAGGGACGGCGATAACTTCGTTCAGGAATGCTTTACCTCCATTGGTCTTGAAAAGAAGTTGGAGCGAACCTCTTCAACTCTACCCCGTTGCGCGGGAAGGCTAAATTTTAAAAAATCACATGATTCGTTACATATCCAAAGTACATACGTTTCGGTGCCCCTCAGCGTGATGCATGCAGCGCACACGGCGCGTCCGCATCGCGAGCTTCTTTCATGTACAACCCTTGGCTTTAAAATCAAAAAAATGATCGAAAGCATTGTGGAATCTGGATTGCGTTGTTCAGGTATTCCCCAAAGGCCAATACATTTTGGGTAGAGTCTGGTGCTATGCAATCGTGAAAGTTGGCCATAGGTTCTTGTTCAAGTGGTTCCCACTGAACGCCAAGGGGGCCGCCTACACATACAAGCGCACGCCGAATAAACGGGCATGCCATGTCCCTAGTCCGCTCGGTACCAATGCCAGTGCCACACTTCACAGCATCGAGCCACTGATCAACGCGTCTCCAGACAAAGGTCGACATTTGTGATGGCGAACGACGAGGGTGAGTACCAATTCCATGAAATAGATTCGCCAGAACTAGTAGATTGACTCGGAATTCTTCCACGTGGTGTGTTCCCCAAATCAAAGAGACAGTGCTAGAATTCGACGATGACTTCCTGAACCCTGGGCCAGTGAGAGCTTTCAGCCGTACACCGTCACACATTTCGCAATCTAATTTTTTTCAGGCAAGCCAAGCACGCGAGGTGGCTCAAGACGGTGATATCGATGGTGACGCTGCTGAAGCAATGAGGGCGACCGGTGATGACTTTGAGCTGGAGGAAGATTTCGGCTTCTACCAAGATGATTCGCGTGTATCACCAGACTTCGAGAGACCATCAGACAATGCTTCTTCTCGGACTGCATACCTGCGATCAATAGCTACCCAACAGGTCTTGCCAGCTCATGTTATCCAACCAAACGATCAAGGCGCAGACGACGCGATCGAAGGAGATCCCCTACATACCAAGAAACAAAAACTTGCCTCCGAAGATGAAGATGAACTAGAATTAGAACTTGAAGACGAGTTTGATTATTTGCAAGCAACGGATGCTGTATCAAATCACGAAATTACCACATCGACAAAATCCAATTCAGCTGCTGTCGCGCCTGATGAGGATCAGCTTAATGACTTGGAGATGGAGGATGAGTTCAAAGAAATATTACATTCGAATCCACCCGAGCACCCTCAAGTGGCTGTTCCTTTAGAAGCACATACCGCAACGAATCAAATCTTCTCAAGCGGCGCAAATTCTGTTTCCGACCCAGCGACGCGTGATTCTGGCCCCTCCGATCCAGACTTGGGTGTGTCTCAGATCCCAAGCGGCCCCATCCTTCAAGAGGAGTCTTCAGCCACGAGCGAACAGCCCAATATCTCAATGTTATCAGCTGAACACACTGTGGCGTCAAGCTCAGGCACGACACTGAATCCTGATATATCAACCCGGTGGGCATCCCTTGCACCTGTCACAGCTGTCACATTCGATGGTCGTCAGGTTTGTATAGCAAGACGCAGAAAGCCTGCACGTATACTGGTAAATTTGTTTTAACATCATGATTTTTGTCTTGCATGGTTCAGCCACTCATTTAGCCCCCTTTACACTTTGGAGTAGCAATCAAATGCTGAAAGTGACAAAATGCGAGCGCTTCAGAAGCAAAGTTTGGAATTACTGGACGAACCTGTCCACCGGATGTTGGATAAAATTCGGATGGAAAAGCGAAACAGGCCAATCACAGAGTCAGTTGATACCTTCCACCTTCCCTGATGGCTCCACAAGAGTGATTTTTGTTGAATATTGGTGGTCTCTTTCAGGCCTACAGCTCATCGTGGTGGAGCCCGGTCTGCGCATCAAATGACGCTGTGGACGGATAGGTATAGACCGACAAAGTTTATCGATTTGATAGGAGATGAGGTAGGTTTGTATTCTTATCTTACTTCAGTTCCACAATAGCTGAGATCTTTGTACTTTGTCGTCTATGAAGCGAGTGTTCCGTAGCGCAATGTCTTGGCTCAAAGAATGGGATCAATGCGTTTTCAAACATGAACGCAGCGCAGCTTCTAGACGAAAGGTTGCCAAGAAGCGTTCAGCTCAGGCCGCTTTTGCTGCTTCTGCCAAAGGTCCAGCGACCAATTTTACTCCCGATCCTTTGGGTCGACCGCAAGAGAAAGTCTTGTTGTTGTGCGGAGCACCAGGATTGGGTAAGACTACGATGGCACATGTCCTTGCGCAACAGGCTGGTTACGATATTGTCGAGATCAATGCAAGTGATGATAGGACGACCAAGGTAGTTACCGAACGAATCAAAAGCGCTTTAGAAACTCGGACTCTGGATTCTGGTGCGCGCCAAGGAGGAGGAATGACTTTCAAAGATAACCGTCCGACATGCGTGATTATTGACGAGATTGACGGTGCGGCCGGGGGTAGCGATGGTGGCTTTGTTAAGGCGCTTGTGAAACTGATCACTGATGGTAGCACTGTGAAGACATTCAAGGGTACGTCTTACTTTCAAAATACTGATCATTGATCGAGAAAGACCCACAAACTGAATGGAGGACTTTTGTATCCATTAGCGAGAGGCAAAAAGGCTGAAATTAAACCTCTCGTACGACCCATCATCTGCATCTGCAATGATTTATATGCCCAAACTCTGAGACCACTGCGCTCCATCGCCCGCATCATCCGATTCGCAACACCCACTCCGATGACCATCATCAAAAGACTACAGACAATATGCGACATGGAAAAATTGAAGGCTGATCTTCGAAATCTCACATTCCTAGTGAAAATCGCTTCTGGCGATTTGAGAAGTTGTCTGAACACTTTACAAGCAGTACAGAGCCAGTCTAGTGTTGCTAGTGAATCAGCTATCAGAAGCGCTGCGATAGTGGGGATGAAGGATGTTGGTACTTCTGTTCGAAGCATCTTATCCAAGCTGTTCAAGTTGCCAAAGAAGGCCAAGGAAGGAGAATCAGGTTTGGATTCATCCTCTGTATACTGATCTCGCATCTTGATCAAGAGAAGCCAGGAGTTTTCCAACTTATATTTGATCGTTCTTTCTGTTGATTTGCAACTGGTCAGGTCATCAGCTCTCGGAATTGGTGCAGGACATAGAAACATGCGGAGAACACAATAGGATCATACAAGGATGTTTCGAATATTATCTGTCAGCCAAAAGGCCTACAGATTTGTGGGCGACTTATGAATCAGTTCATGAGTGGCTCAACTTCTCCGATCGACTTGAGCTTAAAATCAAATCCGAACAAAGCTACAGCATGACGTTCTATTTTCCATTCGTAATTGCAGCTTGGCGCGAATTGATGGGCAAGATTTCGAATACAGCTCCCGAATATCCGAGAATCGACTACGAGATGTCTCTGAAGACGGCTGCACATCAAGAATTCTTAGCGTCCTTCAGACAAGCGATGCCGCCATTGATGAGAGTATCTTTCATGACAGAAGTCGTGATCAGCGAACTGATACCACATTTGATGCGGATCATCTCACCCGACTTGAGACCGGTCAATTCGCAACTGATTAGGCGCGAAGAGCGCGATGTGATGATGCGAGTAGTCAATATTATGCTCGACTTGGGTCTGAAGTTGATACACGACAAAGGGGAAGATGGACAGTTGTCATTTGTCTTAGACCCGTACGCATTATACTTTACTCCGTGGATCTCTTAGATGGCGCCGCCAGTGATACCGATGATTATATTATTTCCAGTCCCATTGACCTCTTTACTCAATACGAGGGAAAACGTCCTCAAGATATTCCGGCTCCCCGATATGGAGTCCGTCAGATGATTGCTAGAGAGGTAAGATTGTGTGTTTTTTGTGTGATTCACGTGCGTAATCAGTACCAGAAATCAATCTGTTTGATGCCTCCCATCTACTAGATGGATCTAGTCTTGATCAAACGTAACCAAGGCAACATCGCAACTGCCGACAAAGCAACGAGCGACATATACGGAGCTTATAAAAAGTTCAGTCATTCATATCTTCTTCGTCCAGATTAAAGTTGAACTAATTGTTTTGTTTACTTCCACAGGAAAGCTATCGCTCCAGCTGAGAAGGCAGAAGAGGTAAGGGCACATGTGCCACACTGGTTTTCAGGAATATTACAAAAAATTGACACTGTGTTTGGTCTTTGATTACAGAAAGTTGCAGTAGACTTTTTCGGCCGTTTGCTAGCCGATTCAACAAGCGCAGTCCTGGACAGTAAGCACTTGATCTCACATCTGTTCGAGCGTCTGATTTGTATCGCATCAGTGCTGACCTCTTGTGTGACATCTTCTTAGGTCAAGGTGATCCGATCCGTAAAAAAGCGACAGTCCTTTATAGATACCATGAAGTGAGTTATTCTACACATTCGATCCAAGTCCCAATCAATCACGAGCGTTTGTGACAAGCATTGTTAAATTTGCTTTGTACACCAGGGATTCTCGAATGCTGTCAAGCGACCTCTCAAGTTCAGAGAGTTCTTGATGAGATGAAGTCTATTGCAGTCTACGAGCATCACCCTTCTCGCCGCTTTCCCGATGCTATGGTAGGTTTGAAGGTAGCCTGGACACCACTGGCCCTTGCGCCCGGGGCTGGAGACAAGTAGCTTGGTATGTCAGGCTTTTGCAGTCATTCTGGACGTCCGGCAAGGATGGACTTCGCCAGTAGATGATGGAGGAAAGCCTCTAGAAGACGCAGCCAAACGGTTCAGGTAATATGGGGCTAGTGACTCTACAACTTTTACCTGATAAGCTATCATGATACACTTGAAGTCAGTCAAGCGTTACTTTGTTGTCATTAACTATTTGCCCTGGCGCGATGCATGTACTTGGAACTCTGTCTGAGGGAGACAACATCTTCAATTCAATCAATAATTTTGATACATTCAAAGAAGTTGACTCACATCGGTGTTCTTATCGAAAAATAAAGGCGTTTTGCCAGTAAGGACCATTGGAACTGAAAAGTAAGGGGTCTTTGGCTGTCCTAACTTTCCAAACAGACATAAACTGTATTGGAGGTAGTTGCCATACGAGGACAGTGTCACCTTTAATGTATATGTCTAAATCCTTGTGAGAGACCTCAATTGATTAAAAAGATCTCCAAGGATTTTGAAGTCAAAATTGATCTTAAGCTAGGTTCAAAACCCTCCAACGCGCGGTAAACAAGAGTTGTGATCTGATTTGGGCGGTATGATGAAGTGAATACAACAGCGAGCTGTACTGGACGATGTAAGTTGGTAAGTTGCGGATTGTGGTGAGTTAGTGAGTTGTCAGATTACAGTGATGGGATGAGTGTTGATGGAATTTGTGAGGAGCATACATTGGGCTCATCACAGTCATCATTAGTTCTTGGCAAGCCTATATACAGGAATCAAAATTCGAGTTGATGGTCACTGATACGAAGTTGGAATCAAGTATATTCGTAATCACGAAAAATGAAAGGTATCTTCTTAAAGCAACCTACAAAATCATTCATTCATCCAAGCAACCAACTGTAGGGTGATGGATGATTCACTTGATGAAAACATTTCTCACAAACAGATTTGTTTCCAAAGAATCTCAAAAGATTCTTATTCCAAAAAAACATCAATAACATCGCTTTACAATGCAAAAAAAACCATACACGACGTACTCTATCTAAAATATAAACATAAGAGGTGGAAAGGGGGATGGGACAAGTAGGTCATAACAAAAAAAAGTTGAGTACATCGTGCTGCATACACACACATTTGAAATCCTCATTGAGAACTATATGATAAAAACTATGATAGAAGCGAAAAAAACATGATATCAAAAATAAATTGAGGGTCCTTTTTGTTTCTTCCTTTTGCAAAAGAAAAAGTAACAAGAAATCGATAAAAGAAAACCAACGTCGTTTTTTTACGCCCACTATATCACAAGACAAAATCAAAACCATTGTCAGTCAATTCAATCTAGTAAGAAGGATATCAATCAAAATTACTCACAGCTTTAAATCTCTCCCAAGCTGTTCCGGTCACTGCTTCTTCCTCTGCATCACGTGACTCATCACGTGCATCTGTCACAAAGTCCTGGAAATCGCATACCGAATCAGCGAAATGCATCAGGCAAGGACTGATCAAAAAAACCTACCATCTCATGGACTCCAAAAGGAGAAGCACGAATCTTTGCAAACTTCTGATAGTAGTATCGGCTTCCGCCGTATAAGATAAAAGCAAGTGCGATCGGAAGATATCTATATTTTTTATACCACAAAAATGATCAAAGGAGTTGTCAATCTACCAGATAAAACGAGATCACATCTGCGTAAACAAGACTAACCCAGTGATGAAATCCGCTGTGCTCCAATGGTCGTGAAGCTAAAGAGTCGCGTAAGTTTGCTGGTGAGACTAAGCTCGAACAAGAGGAAAGGATGCTTACAAAGACAGTGTAAGAGTTGAAGAGCAAGATCAAACAACACATCACCAAAGCATATATAGCACCAGCCGTCCTCTTCACACAAAATCAAGTCAAGATATCAGTTTGCGTTTGCGGTGACGTTTTGAGAGACGATTTGTAGCACCCAGATAACCAAGAGAATATACTGACAAATGTGGATTTGTATGGAAACAGGTCTCGATCAATACCCTGGGCTTTAACTCCGGCATCGAATCTTAAATAGGTAATCAAGATTCCGACCCATGTCAACAAACCGGTGACACTAGTCATGGCTGGTGTTTAGCAACAATTGATTTAGTTTAGCATCTTGTTTGATGATCAGGAGACAGGCCAGGAGAAAAGTGAGCTAACTTGACAACCACCCAAACACTTCTCCAGCGCTACCCACTCCAACCGACATGAATGAAAGGAATCCGACGACAAATGAGACCAATAGCGAGACCCATGGTAATCCCCACGAAGTAGTTTTAGCAAACACCCTAGGAGCGTTTCCAGCAAGAGCGAGACCGTAAAGTGCACGTGAAGAGGAGTACATGTCACTCGAGGCGGCCGACCAGGCAGAAGAAAGCAATGCGGCATTGATAACCCTACGAAATTCGTCCGATCAGAAACTCTTCTCCCATATACTCGTCATCTAAAAACTCACGATGGTAAAGCTTTGATGCCGGAATTTTGGATCGCAATCACAAAGGGTGAAGAGGCGGCATCATGTGAATCGAGGTTGAGACGTGGATCGTTAGAAGCGACCAAGAGTCCGATGACAAAGGTACCAAGGATGTAGAACATGCAGATTCGGACAGCAACTCCCCTAATGGCTGATGGAAGCGATTTCTTAGGGTTCTTCGCCTCACCCGCTGTGATAGCAGTGATCTCAGTACCAATGTATGAGAATGCAGCCTGGATAAGAACAGCCCTGGTGATTCACAGGAGAAAGAGTATGCATCAGGTCAAGCGAGCTACAACATCAGACGAGAAAAGATATGCTCACCAGAAACCAAGGAAACGACCCAAAGAGCCTTCAATCTGGAGGTATTGTACAAATGGACCCGGGTTCCTCCAATAACGGAATCCAATGGCGTCGTGGTCGGGCCCACCTCCAGCGTCTATTGCAGCGGCGTTTTGTCAGTCCGACGTTGAGGTAGCGAGACATGTGATGTATTAAAAAAGCGCGCAGCTCACCCAAGACGATTCCCAGAATGATCAAGCCCACCTACGATGATGTGAAATGAAGTGAAATCAGGTTAGTTTGATAAGTCGAGTACCTTGAGCTGAGAGGATTGCACGTTGATGCTTACAATTGTGACCACTTTGATGGATGCAAACCTGTGACATGACAAGTAGAATTAGTCGAAATTCCTATCGATTTGTCAAGGTCAGGTGTGTTAGAACCAGGCACTGAACTTACCAGAATTCAAATTCGGCATAAAACCTTTTCAATGATCGACAATTAACGGTTTTTGATTAGTGAGATGTATATGTAACAACCCCATAAGAGAGACTGACTTGGCTCCACCCATGTTGATAGCTGTGACAATCAATAAGAAGATCGTGATCCACACCGCATTGTTAACTTCCTTGGTCCAATAATTTACTAGTACAGCGGATGCTGTGATCTCTGTAGGTAGCACTGTTTTACGGAGGATTGCAGGGATAAGCAGTCAGGTAGATATGATAACATGAGGACACAACATACCAATCGCCCCTGTTCATAGAGAAACCAAAAGAGGGAGTGAGTTAAGGGATCGTCTACACATAGCAAAAACGATGAGAGGGGTTGACGAACAGTTGTACCAATAATTCCATCCCATCTGGCATAGAAGCGACGTGGTCAGATTTATTGACTCCATCTCAGATAAAATTACCAACACGACAGACTAATCAAAAACTTACAGAAAACGAAAGACTAGGATCAACAAACCTCCTAGCTAATGTGACATGACCTCCAGGGATAGGAAGATGAGCAACTGATGATCATATGAAAAGCAAACATTAGGAAATTCAAAGCACTCCGATGTTATCCTCACAAAAACACTCAACTCATTTCTCCTATTGATGCCATTACATTCCATACAACTGAAGAAAGAAATCGTCAGTTTGACGTCATTAAAAGGGATTTCGTAAGATAGACTCAACTAGTACCCATGACGGTATATCCGAGTAACAACCCGAGTGGACCACCACGCGCCAATGCATTCGCAGTACCAAGAAACAATCCAGTCCCAATAACACCGCCGATAGAGATCATCTAAACGATTTGGTCGTCCATCAATAGGAAACAAAAATCATAGATTGGAAAAAAGAAACAAAGCAAAAAGATCACTAACCTGAATATGACGTGATTTCATGGCCCGATTGAGTTCCTGATGAGGAGGAGCAACCTCCTCGATTTGATACGTCTCTGGTCCATCGAGCTTGCTCTGGGTTTGTTTCTCGTCCATGTTGATTTGAAGAAGAGTTTACAGTTGGAGAGGAAAACGATTTACTGATGGAGTACTTTTAAATCTCAAAAATTCAAGACGAAAAGCGTTCAAAAATTCTTATTTGTCTAGAGAGTAAAGGAAAAGAAAGGTTAATAAATATTTATCAACAAGTTTAGTAAAAGTTAACGATGACCGGATTGATAAGAAAAGGCTGAGATGGGATTTTTTAGAATGGCGGGTGTTGATCAAAAAAAGTGAGCCGATGAGAGTTAACTGCCAAGATTTAATGAAAAGATATTGTATGCTACAAGTGCCTGATCTGAAAAAACAAGATGTACGCGTGTGATAGTGAAAACTGCGGTCTGGTTTTAAACTCGAGAAACAAATTCAAAAAAAAAGAGTACACAGTAAATGCTGAAGATTGAGATTTGGACTATGCACGACGCAAAGAGCTTTGTAGATCAATAATGCTGAGTACCAAGATCAACTGGGTGCTAAGAAGATCAGGGTAAAATCACAAGAACAAACGGACATCCAAGGAAAACTATGTAGCTCACCTCTGGTTTTTAAAATAACTTTAGGAGTTCTTCAAGCTCTCTCGCGTTCGTGTTGACCTTGGTTACCTTTTTCGATCTTTGTTATGATGAGTGGGCTTGTGAGGCTCAGGAGTCGTGGTCTGTGGATGAGAAGATGTGGACTATGTGATCAAATAAGGCTTGAAGGTGAGAAAGATGATGAGTGTTAATTAAGATATAATAAGGAGAATAAAGATAAGCTTGGTCTCAAACTGTCTGAGAATTGAGATCACCAAGGCTTAAGAGCTGGAAACTAAAGAAGATCTTTCAAAGAGTACGCTAAGTTGTGAATTATAGGATGAAACTGAGCTTGACAAGTGGTGACTAAGAGTGAAGTATTCTTGATTAGAGGGTCAGAGATTAAGAAAGTGATCTAAGACTGAGAGTAAGGGTAAAGAGATGATGAGATGGGTCTTGTCTAATTCTTTTAGACTGAGAGCAGAATAACAATCTGAGAAGATCTATGCAGGTTCTGTGCTGATTGGAATGATTGATGGGAAGAATGATAACGAAGGAGAATAAAGAGTCTCAAGAAAGAATGCTCTTCAGGTGAGAAAGTTACCCAAGTGAGTCTCCAATGATGTTTGATGATGACGTGGTCAAGAGACGCTATCATCTCATCATCTGATTCTGATTTCATCATATCGGTACGCATTTATCAATTCAATCAACTGTGTGAGCGCGGTTTAAAGTATTCATCCTAATCCGGTATAACACCAAATCGCCAAGTGAGGCCTGAAGCCACCCACCACCATCCCTTTAGCCATCACCACCACCGCCACTGTGAATAGTACCACAAATCCCAACCAACCGAACCGCGAGCACTGCCTTTCCAAACTTTCCAAACTTTCCCGTTTGCTGTACTTGATTTGGAATGACTTTAGTCATCAACTCTTCATCAAACTGTTTTCTTATCAACGCATACAATCATGATCAACTTGTATCTTGATGCTTCTCGGCATCAAGAATCCTTCTCACAGCTGTACAAGATAAGCCATCCAATCAATCATCGATCTTTGATGATTTAGAGTTTTTGAATTTCAACTTCGATGTCAATTTCCGATTTCGATCACAACTTGCTGTGATCTCGAAATGAACTTCTAATCAGTTTGAATGAAGATGAATATCTTACATAGACTTTCCCTGTGACTTCCAATTCCCGTTGATATGAGTTCGTAAATCCTTCATACAAATATTTTCATTCGACTCTTTCAAACAAAAATCACCAGAGAGCTTCATCTTATCGTATCAGTTTATCATTCATACACCTCCTCAATCTGCTTTGTGCATTCATTTCTGAAGTCTACTCGGTTCTTCAAATCCCGAAAACCCCGATTGATAGAGGCTGAAATCATGAATGAGCGCGTTCTCGAATGGTACCCACCAAAAGCTTATCTATCATGTACAAAATTCAAGTATACCTGCTGAGCTGTTCACAGCCAGTCCCACACAGCTTGACACGTATTCCTATTTACAAAATCGCTGGAGTTGGACGTGAAAAACTCGAACAAGATTTTTAAGTTTTGCGGTTGGCCGTTTTATGTACCCGCGGTATAGTGTTGCGGGGTGTGGATACAAGATTCAAAGCAAATACGAGGAAGATTTCCTTTCAAGGAAGCGAAACGCGGTCGCGCCAGGCCCCGCCCGAGGGGCAACTTTGAGTACCATAATTGTAAAAACAAAAAGTACGTATGTACATTGATCGATAGTCAAACTTAATTTATCGATGATGATTGAAAACAAACTGATTGTAGCTATTGTAGCCTCAACCCCTGGAAGGAGTGATTTAACTCTATATTATCCCAGAAACCTTTGAAAAGTTTCAGGTCAAGATTCGGTCAACTGAGTGCTTCTTCATATTCGATGCGTCACTCAAAAGCTTATGATGATGATATCAAAGGGCACCTCCAAAGAACCGTTTTCTACCGCGACCAAGCTCGCCTCTCATAACACCTGATGATAACTGTGCTAGATGTATCTTTGCTCTATTGAGGCTTCTTGCAATTCATTCTGACAAGAAAAGTTCATTGCTATAAAAGGTTGCTGATTAAGAAATCAATCTATTTCCATGTATATTTCTAAATCCTGAAGAAGTAAACTCATTACAGACCTACCATCACCATACACATTCCCAAGAAAAAAATGGTTGATTTATACTGCGTAATTCAATGCAGTTCTAAAAGATCAGCAAAGACAGTTATTGATCAAGGGTGTGCATGTCTTCCTCCATCTGCCACTCCCGCAATGGCCGCTTTGGATGTCGGTCCAATATGTGGGGCCAAGTTTTTGCCCATATTTCCAAGGTGTCCTTTCTGTGATCCATTGTTGATTTTCAGTGATGATTGTTTGAAATAAAGAAACAGCGATCAATAGTGAGTGACGTACAGTTGTAAGGTGCTCATGGGCTTTGCGTAAGACGCGTTCGATACCATCTAGACCTGGAAGTTTTCAAGTATATTGGTCAGCTAGTTTGACGAGTAGTGAAGTCTAAGAGGTGGGTACAAACCTTTTTCAAGTTGAGGCAAAGGAGGGCCGAAAGAAAGTCTGACGACTATTGGAAAATTCGCAACACAGATCAATTAGTGAGATGATTGAGTAGACTGATTGGATCGAAATATGAAGAATGACATACAATGATGACAAGGCGAGCTAAAGAGATTTCTTCGATGAGCCGGATTAAGATCAAAGAAGATTCCAGGTACGACGATGACTTTTTGTTTGAGTAATTCTTCGAAGAAGACCAATCCACTGTTCAATGGTGGAGGAAGGTCTGATAAACTGTTACATGAGATAAAATGAGTTCAGAATCTCGGCTCGAAGGCTTGGTTATAGAATATTCGATCACTAACTCTAACCAGACTGATTCGAGATGCAACAATGTGTCAATCATATCTTCAAGCATTCGCTGAGGAGAGGTAGACAGAGGAAAACTAACTGTAAAAGGTCCATTTTGGTGGAACCTTAACCTTCAAGCCCATTTCTTCTAAACGGGCCAAAACTCGCTCCTTTTTCATCCTAAAATGCTTTTGCAATGCAACTTTGTCTTGTTCAACACGCTTCAAATCCAACATCGGTATAGCGGCCATCTGCATGATGTGACTCGCTCCTCCATCCAAGAAACTTCCACTTTGAGATAATGCAGATATCAAACATTTGGGACTACAGGGGACCAATGTTAGTATGATTGCTAGCAAATGGTTACTAGAGAATTCAGTAGCACTACAGAAAACTACGAACCCAACTACCCAACAGACCCGCCATCCTGGACATCGCCTTTCGATTCGATTCGAGGATTTTTTGTGACAATCGGGAGATAGATGGATGAGTATAGGGCGAGGAGTCAAAATTCAGGGCTGCTCTCAAAAGAACAACCTTACCAGTTCTTGGTCAAGCCATCGATGATGACCAGTGCATCTTTGTTGACGTCTATGGAAATGAAAGTGCGAGTAAGAGTCAACCTTCCCCTGAGATTTCACTACTAAAGCTGAATAATCAAGGTCATATTCACTCACTTTCGACATACTTAGCTCCGGACAAACTCTCTCCAAGAGTCCCATCAAGATTATACCAACTGTAGAATTCATCCAAAACAACTGTTTGCCCATTCCGACCAACTTCAACTAATTCCTTCAACTCATCGCCTTCAATCGCTTGCCCAGTAGGATTACGCGGGTTAGATGCAAAGATCACAGACAAGCCCATTTGGTTGATGTTTTCTCTGAGAGTATCTATATGAAGTTTGTAATTGTCCTCTGCTGAGAGTGCTGATGGGATGGGAACCAGGCGACGGAAGACGGAAAGCATTTGATCGTACGCCGTATATTCTGGTAGTTGATAACCGACATATACCTCTCCGACGACACTGGCTACTCTGGATCACAGGTACAAAGAGCAATTTTCACATTGCATCGCACGGTCAGCAGAAAGTCATACAAACTCCATGGAGTGTATGGATCAATTAGAATTTGAGTAGATATGTGAGGCGTAACTTACCTCGTCAAGCCAGCTCGACCTCCAGGGACGATACAAACGTTCTAAGTGGAGATGAGCAGCAGTCAGCCTTACAAGCTCTCAGAAAATTCTTTGAAAGTTATGACCCACCTCGAAAGTGTATTGCGATTCTTTGCCCATCCGATAAGTTTGGTTATAATAGTTAGCCACTGCAGCTCTGAGTGCCTTGACTCCAGTGGTCGGCGCATCTGATATAGTATGAAATTAGTCAATCAGACATTGACAGGACCTGAATCAATGTATAGTAAGAGACACTTACATTCGTGGACGTCAATTCCCATACTAGCAATATCAAAGGTCTCTGGCTTATGACTCGCACCAGGGATATCACCAACTTCGGGTGCACCTACGAAACACAACGCGAAGATGGATATCATGAAGGATGAACTACTGATGAACGCGTCAAAACACATCATCTGACTCACCTTGACCAAAGTTTGCCCAATCAGGATCTTCGTACGAGAATCCGTTGGCCATAGCGCGATCCATGACGAAAATGACGCCCGTGGAACCAGGAGAGGAGATTCCAGGCAGCCCTTCTTCATCACTTTCTTGACTTTCAACTTCAGATACAGGTTCCTCTTTCTTAGCTGTTGGGTTGTCATTCGAAACGACTTGTTCAGATTGCGGCTCGATCGGCTTCGAAGTCGTATTGGATGCTTTGGTCTTTTGCGACTTCTTCTTTTGAGAGCCAGATGACAATTTTGAATGACCTAATACTGATCGAAAGACTTGATGGGCTTCACATTCGTCTTCGTGACCTTTAGAACCAACGTTCAATTTCTTCTGTTCATGGTTAGGCGTTAAGAGGCCTTTGGCTTTAGCTCCAAGCTCCGTCCAATTTGTTGGGAATTGTTTCGGAATGTTGAGATGCATGTTGGATGTAGTATTGGAATAGATTCGTGAAAAAGCTTTGAAAGTGTGATCAGAAAATTTGAGTGACTTTAAAAGTTAAAGCCCCTTGCTGCGCCCGTGCCTAAAATGCCGTCACCGGTCAAAGCGGTTGTGGCAAAATGGATGATGTGGCTTGCACACACGATCTGTGAGTTTCCTCGCTAAAGCTCGCGGCTCACGCAAAGGGACTTAGTGTAAGTTGAGAGTTCTCCCAGGTTCTCCCTGATCATTCCGAGTCTCCAGAGATCACGAAGTCTAAAATGTGTATTACCACATGCATCGCTGCCTTGTGGTGCCGAAGGCGGTGCAGCAGGCTGCAGCAGCACAGTTCGAGTGCAAGAATCAAGAATAAGGCCCCGGTTCCCGAAGTTTTGAATGCACCGGAGTGGTGCTCAAATAGTTTCTCTACAACGGACCGGCCCCGGACTCAAAATTCCCTCCTTTGACCATCAAGCTGTGTCAAAAATTTGTTGACCTTATCAGATAGATAGCTTTTTTCTTCAACATATGAGCTTGCGTGACTGACACTGACAGAATGCTGATATGGCACAAATTCAAGCATGATACTGCAACAGAAATAGGTGTCAAGGCTGATTCAAAGCTATCTCAGATAAAATTTTCATTTGAATCTTCAAAAAAAGTGAGTGTTCAGTTGTTCAAATCATTCACAAATCCCTGTCAGAATCATTTTCAGATGGCCAAGATTAGTGCAGATTTGAGCCCAGCTGTCATTGTGCTAGACTGACCAGTTGGCGGATGTGATACTTTGATTTTGATACTTCTAAGTTCTGGCTTTCAAAAATCTATCCATGCCAGCCTGACATACCAATAAAAACGCAATTCAAATGTCTGCACCTATTGACTTGATTATTAGGTGTGTGCATGTGGCTTACCAGGTTTAACAAGTTTACCAAGTGCTCTGTCAAGTCTTTCAAAATCTTTGTGTGAATAGAACCAATGATTTCTTGGCTCTGGATGGATGTTTGAAAATTAGCTTAACTAAGCCCCTCGCGCGGCCGCGTCCGCGCCCTCGAAAGAGGGGCTTATGACTAAAACGGGTTTTTTGGCTGTGTGACTCCATGTTTTAAGTACCCTTATGTTGTTTTTCTCGTCTCTGCTCTTCCAATTTTCAACAATTTTTCAGACCTTTGAGTATGTTGTTCTTTGTCAAATTGTACATATTGTGATATACTTTTCATGAGCAACAGACATCCCTGCATGGCTTGAGAGCTGTGCTGAGGATGCCAAAAACAGGCCTTACGCCGTGTAGTAAATGCCCAAACACCACCTAATCCAGCTGGATTTGCCTCGAATAGATTGGAAAGCCGCATAATTACCAATCTTACATCACGATTTCAAAGCACTTCTGCTTCATCTAAACCAAAGTAAATGGTACTGTGTTATGTACAACTTGATGAGGAATAACATACTGGAAGGTCTGAAAAATTTAAGAAAATGGGAAGAGCAGAGACGAGAAAAACAACATAAGGGTACTTAAAACATGGAGTCACACAGCCAAAAAACCCGTTTTAGTCATAAGCCCCTCTTTCGAGGGCGCGGACGCGGCCGCGCGAGGGGCTTAGTTAAGCTAAGTTTGAAAATGTGTTACTTGGAATGAATAGCTCACAATCAAGAGAAATCCATTACAACTAAACATAAAGTATTGGTATCCTCAAAGGAAGGTGGTAGCAGAACCCAATCCTTCATGTGTCTCTTCATTTTTTTTAAAATCTTCTGACAAAGTTGAGCGCTCTGCACATGAAATCATCTGTGTTAGATATCAGGTCTCATTGAGTCAGTTGATACAACCCAAAGGAATTCTGCTGGATCCAATGCCATCAATGATCAATCACAATCACATGCTACTGTTTGATCTCTTAGCCAATCAGTGGTCCATTTTGCAGTATTTGCTACACCTGAATTTTGGAAGCTCTAATATGCTAATAATTTTGAACAGGAATTATGTTGATCATTGTGTTCATTGTGAGTTAAATGAGAATTGAAATATCAGCATTATCCAATTTGGTAATGATTTCTCAGTGAATCCCAAAGATGTACACAAAGATATAAGCAGGTGCTATTATGATTCTTGACAAATTTCCAAGTGTGATACTTTCTCTGTTCCAATTTCAACTTTATCATAAGACCAGGAAAAAACACCACTATCTTCAAGAACATAAAAAAGAATGTAATTAAGATACTATTAATTTTCAATAGATAATGAGATATCAGCTCTTTTTCAATGTTTGGATCTACACTCAGTGGTTTCAAGTCAAAAAACAGAACAATCCTTGTGTCCACATTGTCAGCAAGATGTGCACATGAATACCCATACAAAAAACCCTTTCAGAAATCCCTACTTGGATAGAATATGCTCTTTATTTTTTTAGTTCCAGATCACACGTCTTAGATAACAGATAGATCATCAATGAAGACTTCACTATTTGTATATTGAATAAAAATATGGAGGTGAATTTTTCTCATCAAAAAGTGTGTAACCTCAAAAGAAAAGAAAAAAAAGTCCATGAAGGGCGAATGGCATTCTTGCTCAAAAGTGATGTTTATATAATTTTTAGCTCTTCGGTACCGTCACGTCTCCCGTCACTTTTTACCCTCGGCGGGGCGTATGAATCTTGTAAGGTATGATCAAACGAAGTTACAAAGTGTCTGTTGGCTCCAAAGTCTATGATGTTGAACTTTGAGGAGATGAAAGTTGAAAAGAAGTCAAAAGAAGAAGTTGATCAAGATGAGATACATGACTGACCTCGCTGCTTATCGTATCGGAGCGTGCGACAAGCAGCAAGGCACTTGTTTCTTATTTCTCAAATTGGGTGTTTTGCTTGCATATAGCTTTTCTAAGCTTCAACACTTTTCATAGCAATTTTTCAACACAATGGAAAACTCCAATAAGTAAGCAATGTCACACAATATCTCCCGCCGTCAAATTGAATGGTGGATTATTGAATGTGAAATGGATTTTGAGAAGAGGGCGATCACGAAGGACATTGGGGAACTGGATGATTTGCCAGTTGACATGCTCTCCAGAGCATATTGGGACTTTGAGCTGAGGCCTATGTGCATTTCAACAAGATGACTTTGTTCAAGATATGATCATCTTGATTGGATACACAGATTGTTCCTCTTGAAGCAGAGAACGCTCATGAATTCTTGAAGTTCAAGAATGGATTTCGGAGTAAGTGAATGATGAACAGTTGTGAAGGTGAAGTGGGATTGAATGAGATTGTTTCGATGGTTATTTAGGGGATACAAATTGTAGTTGTGATTCGGTCGGATTTGATTCAATTTAATTTAGTTGAGTTGTGAAGAGTTGAATTTTGAAATTGACCGTGACCGGTTATAAAACTTGTTGACCAGCTTCGATTGATGGTTGCTTCTTTCTCTTTACATCTTTGATTTTGATGAAGAGTTCTTTACAAAATAAATAAATCAATTTTAGATTTAACTTTGAAATTTGATTAAAATGATATCAAGTTCTAGTTCTATTTTACCAGATAGTAAACCAATTCAACCAACAACAACAACAACAACAACAACAACACCATCTACTTCACATTTAAGATCACATTCACCACCTTCACTCATCATCACTGCTTCGACTCCTCAAATGGGTTCACCTACTTTACCTTCTCATCAATCTCAACCTTCAATTCATCAATCTCAAGCTCAATCTCAAGCTACGATCCCAAACATCTTGAACAATGAAAAACCTTCATCCAGATTACCACCTATCCTTAGGGCTCGAGCTGCTTCTCAGAGTCTCAGTCTTTCTAGACCTCCCTCTTTAATTCAACTTACCGAGGCAATGCGACTTAATCCGAATCGTTGGCAACAACTCAAACTAGATACTAATTCGATCAAATCCACTTCTTCTATCTCATCGGCTCCTCCTTTACCAGCTGATCAATCTCCTGATTCAGCTACTAGTATGGTGACGCCTACTACTTCAATCAGTTCTAGTCGTCCTAGACTTCAACTCTCGAGTCTTCAACGTTCGGCTCATCCTACTTCTCAAAACTCTAGTTTACCATTCTCAAATTATTCTATTAATCCTCAACAAACTCAACAAACCTCTGAATCTCAACCGACGCCTGATTCATCAAGTAATCTATCAGTTCAACCTTTATCACCTACTCTTCAAAGACGTGCATCGGCATCTGATATTACCATTGGTCTCAATCGAGCTCGATTACCATCTTTGGCAGCTATTCAGGAGCGGATGGCTCGTACAAAGACTGTTGAAATCAATACTTCAGCTTCTCCTCAGCCCCCTCCTTCTAACCCTAGTCCGATCGTCCCTCCGATCATCAAAGAAGAAGAAGTCAAGATCATTGAACCCACCCAAGAAGTCAAGAGTACCGAACCTATCAAAGAACAGCCGAAACCTACCCAGATCTTATCATCTATCCCACCTTCTCTACGTGCTGATATCTTACAATCAAATGCACTCGATCAACCTCTAGGCCCAAGCTTAGGTACACCTAATCCAGCACCCAGCGAAGCTGCCTCAGTGACAGTACCTAAACCTGTTCATCCTCTTCAACATAGTTGGACTTTATTCTTTGATTCGAAAGCTACATTAGCCTCTGCTAAAAAAGCACCCAACACTCCTAATACATCAAACACAGATGATTCGAATCATCCTACACCTACTTTAGGTGCAGGTGGTCAAGCTTATCATGATGCATTACAAACGATTGGTACATTTCAATCGGTTGAAGATTTCTGTAGGTTTTTTAATTGGACGATCAGACCTAGTCAAATGGAAATGCATTCGAGTGTTCAATTATTTAAAACTGGTATTAGACCGATGTGGGAAGATCCTGCGAATGCGAATGTGAGTTTTGAAAATTCTTTCATCACATTCAATTCTTAATGGCTACTGATGATTAATTATTTGTATGTGTTTGTGAATTTCAGGGTGGAAAATGGACATTGACAATGAAACAACCTAATCCACCACTCTTGGATCGAATTTGGACTTTTTTGGTATTAGGACTAGTGGGAGAAGAAGTAGATGTATTAGATGATGTGTGTGGTGCGATCGTAGCTACTAGACCAAGAGGAAACCGAGTTCAAATTTGGATGAGAGAGAAATCTAATATAGAAAGGGTGAATGGACTTGGGAAACGATTGATGAAAGTTTTGGAGATTAATGAAGAAAGTGGGGTTTCACTTGAATTCTCAGTCAGTATTTTTTTCTGCATATCCAAAAAATAAGAAATATGATCTTTTTTGTTTGTGGCTGATTTCATATATATATATACGTTACAGCCTCATAGTGGACATAATCATAGTGCATCCAAGTTTATCAGTATTCAAGGAAATGCTTCTCCTCAACAAAGACCTACACTAGGATCACCTCAATTATCGAATTATACACATTCACCAAGATCTACTAGTGGGGGAGGAGGAGTGAGTGGGATGTTATTTCAAAGATCACCATCATCAGGTAGTATGACCACCTCCAATGAGATGAGAAGGACCAACAGTCTAGAACAACAATCGAGTCCAAGAGTTCCAAGTCGACCACCATTGATGATGCATCATTCTCATCTGGCCGGTCCTACTCAACCTAATGGAATGGTTAGACCGGTCTTGAATCAATTGAACTCGGCTGATGTACCTATTCAAAATGGGATTTGGAGACCTTCTGGACCTCCACCTCCTTCATTGGCAGTCACACCACCTGGTTTACCTGGCAATCAAATGACTGGGGCTTTAGCTAATAAGGTATGTTTGAGAAGTTGAAACAAAAAATTATATCAAGTTATGAAGTTTTGGTATACATTTTCTAATCATGTTGTTTTTTTTAGATCGGAGGAGTTGGAAAATCAATGATGATGATGATGATGAATAATTCAAATAATGGAAATCCAACTTCACCCAAACCTAATACTAACACGAACACTAATACGAATACTAATACTAACACCAATATCAATACTGCTAGACCTCAAAGTGTGATGGCTACAATGAATACACCTTGAATGAGGTTTGAAAATTTTTGAAAGCGTTCTTTGCAATTGGGGGTTCATATTGGATGGTTGCATAGTTTAGATCAAGATTTAGTTTTGTGTTGATTTTTTGTTTCATAAATGAAATTTTGTATGACCCATTTTTTTCATCTCTGTTTCTTTTTTTCTTTAAAAAGACTCTAGTTATTTTTTTATAAAGAAAGATAAACAAGAGAAAGAAAATTACAAGGATTCTGATTTGAGAAAACTTGAGATCCCTCTGTGTGTGTTGGTTTTGTATTATTTATTTTATCTTATCTTATAAAGAATTACATATTATGATTTTTTTTTCTCTGTTTTGATGCATAGTTTTTTTTCACTTGTTTTTTTTCATTTAATGTATATATTTTTATGATTATTTTTTTTGGTTTTTTCTTTTCTCTTTTTTTTTGAAAAAATGAATAAATGGGTTTGGTTGTATTATCTTTTTTTATCATGAAACCTTTTTTTTTCTTTTTTTTGGTGTTGAGAGTTGGGGGGTGAGTTTGGTGATTTGAGATCATATGGTAAAGACAAAGTTCATCAAGAAAAGAAAATGTATCTTTTGGATGCTTATTTTGATTTTTTTTTTGATTAATTGGCATGGTTTTAGAACTTGAGGTTTGTGGAAATTTCAATCAGGATCTTCAACTCAATCTCTCTGGGCGTGTTCACTTAAGCAATTTCTGACCAGAAATCACATTCTGTAAATTTTTTAATGCAAAAATGAAACATGCACCACCAAATAGACACTTTAAATTGTGAAAAATGTGATTTATCATCAGAAATTGCTTAAGGGCGCGTTCACTTAGAGCGCGTTCACTTAGCGCGGTTTTGTAGAAATTGATTTTTAAGGCACCACTTTCGTACATGTACGAAAGTCTTTTTGTAATAAAACGACTTAATTTCACTTTTCGAAATTTTGAGATCAAAAAGCTTGTGAAAAGCGTTTGATCTTGCCAAAACTCAGGCACAGCATGATCAAAAAGGGCTTGATCTGGGTCTCTCAAGTGAAGCACCTTCATCAACCCAAATTCAATGAATCTCTTTCAGTTATTATGAGTTAATTCATTCCAATCATATGATAAATAATTCCAACACCGATATTCTGACCAAGCTATATACACTGAACAATCCCAATAACATAAAATAAAACAAAAACGAAAGTTTGAGTAAGATACAAAAAAAGGAAAAGCAGAAAGGTCACATTGTACACATCAGATTCAGATATAAATCTTGATTGATCTTGATTGATACCATGTCATTTTTGATAGTGATAGTCAATTCAATAAGAGGTTTGAATGAGATTCATGTATTGTTAAGAGATTGGTGAAACAATAGGTCGATCAATCAAAAGAAGCAGAAAACCAAATCAAGTATCTTCCATCAAAGCTATTCTGAAGAATGAAAGAAACTTTAGAGTTGTGATCCAACTTTTCCATCCTCCGGACTTGATCATTGATAAAAAATCTTGAGATAAAGGATGGAAGACTGATCGTATAAATAGATTGAAATGATTGACAAAGTTGAAGATATCTATGATCAATTTGTGATGTAGACATGGTTGATTGGTAGCTTCTTCACCACTACTGTTGTGTTGATTACTGGTGGACATGTTTGAGGTGATCGAAGACATGCGAAGTGTACGAGAAGCTATTGATGAGGTGAGTGAGCGAGTGATCAAATGGGAAATGATGGAGTCTATCGGTTGTGGTTTTGTGTAGTTCAGGATGGTCTTGATGGAGTTTGATGGGTTTTGTATGGTGGAGTGAGGGGCCGAGGACTTGTCCAAAATCATTGAGAGGACAGAAAGAGAATAGAAATCAAAAAAAAATCGCTATTATCAAATTGTAGAAATCGACTTAAAAATCGATTTTTTTAAGCATCCTACGATTTCTAGAATGCTTGTAATTAAGACAACGAACGCATTCTGTAGAACGCGATTTCTGAACTCCACAAAAAGCGATTTCTGCTCAGAAATCGCTTAAGTGAACGTGCTCTTAAGGAATTTCTGAACAGAAATCACATTCTGTAAAATTTTTAATGCAAAAATGAAACATACACCACCAAATAGACACTTTGAATTTTGCAGAATGTGATTTCTCACCAGAAATTGCTTAAGTGAACGCGCCCTTTGAGTCAGAAAAGGATACTTTAATGGTGATGATTGTATGAAATATTTGATTTGAAGGTATTGAAAGGTGTTTAAGTTCTTTGAATCAAAAATATTCACTCTCATGCCTATAGAGAAGTCTAAGAAGTCTACCAAGATGGTAAACTACAACACATTAAACAAGTTGAAAGGAGATTTCCATACAGCTCGTCACTTACTAAGAAAGCTGCCTTGGATCAAAGAAATTGGGGGTGTACTTGGTTGACAAGATAGTCTTGGGCATGATTTCTGAGGTGTTGCCAAGGCTTTTTTTGGGACCAAGGGAAGGGTTTAGATGATTTCTTTGGTAATTGTCACAGTGGGTTGATGTGAGATCTTTATGCCTTTTTAGATGCAGCAATCAAAACAAACTGATCTCTGTCTAACATAGAGAAACATTGATATGTTGCTATCTCCATAAACCAATGGATAGGTCTCCTAAGGTCTCTTGACATTGGTTACTATCTATGTCCTATGAGACAGATGTAGTGGTAATCTAGTAGTTTTTATTGCTTTTAGAGTATTACAATTGATATAGTTCTGAAATGAAAGTTATAAGAATGAGGTTGAAAAAATAAGATGATAGAGATGATAGAGATGATTAAGACCAAGATAGATGGATAGAGAAGCAAGAAATAAATCTCCAGATATAATAATGATCAAACAAGAGTAGATGAAATGTAGAAATAAAGGAATGAAATATTCCTCAACTGGACTCATTCAATACCGCAACCGCTCCGCTCGAAAAAGCGTGTGCGGAGCGATTTTGGGGTGCGCACATCGCTCCGCTATATTGAGCGGAGCCTGCGCACCGCACCCCAGAGTCAAAAATCCCTGAGCGCAGCAAACCGCTACGCTCAGGGCCCCGGGTCGGGTTGCTCCGCTCATGAGCGCAGCAAAACCCTGCACCCAGGGGTACAGGGTTGGTGGTTGTACTCCTTCGAGAGTCTTCCCATCTCATCCATATCGATACCACCCAACGCCTCCCCTTGCTTCAAGTTCCATGGACGAGCCCCTTCTGACGGTCAAATACATCACCTGTACAATCTTTCCGCGATGGCCAGCTTGTGGTTTGTACATCAGAAGGATTCGGGACTGCTTTTATAGGTAAGCCTTTTTTTCTCTTTGATCTCTTCTCAGAAGTATCAAAGTATTATAAATAAGATATCAATACTAATTTTTACCATCTAAACGAAACTATGGCTCCTTCAACATCCCAAAGCTCCAGTCGAAGTACCCTCCAGGTACCAGGTCAGTCGTCTGGTCGCAGCCTTCGACCACCCAGCCCAGTTCGCACCCAGACTGGATTCGTTCCAACTCCCAGCGACTCGCGGAAATCTCTCAGTGTCACACCCATAGGCTCATCGGCATCTGAAGACGGGTCACCTGGCCCTCTTTCACATCGTCCTGCATCACCTCGACCACCGCGTTCAACCAAACAGAAGGCGGCTCCAAAGGCTAAGGCCAAGCCCTCCTCCCAAGGAAAAGTAAGTCGAACACACATCCTTTTCATATCTTCATACATAGGCTGACAATTGATTGAATCTAAATTTCTAGACTTGTTCATCCAGCAGTAAACGTGCCCGTTCGCCATCGGGGAGTCCAGCACGAACCCCCTCCAAATCATCAAAGAAATCCCGGACCAATGTAAGTTTTCCAACTCTATATCTTATATCCTCATCTCGGCTTTTTCCTCGCTCTTGCCAACATTTTCTCTACTGTTCTTCACCTCACTTAGGTCTATGAGGTGCCCGACGATGACATGGACTTATCTCAAGGGTCGGACATCGAGTTTGTTGGATCAACCGGTGAAGTTGGCTATAACCAGGGTCGATCTCTTGCTGTGAAGGATCTTCTCACCTACTTTTATCCCCCTAAGGTGCGTATCTCATTTTCTTACTCTTCTTTTTTTGTATGTTTTACAGAGATACTAACACCACCTTGTCTTCCAGGGTTTGAAATACCAGTGTCGATGGTGCTACAACACGTATTCAAAAGGGCAAACTTCGTATTACGGTCTATGGGGTCATCGCAATGGAAAAGAAAATCGGCCAGTATGCACCAAGCGTCACAAAGCAATAGCCGCTGGAGTAGTTCTTCCCCCTACCTATGAGGAACAGCTCGAGTCTGAAAGCAAACTCAAGAAGACGACCTTGACTGCTTACGTCACCGGACCCAAATTTTCTCCCGACCTTTTAAACATGATCCTGGTGATCTGGCTCGTTCGACATGCTCTACCATGGGCTCGATTTGAAGATCCATCGCTGCGTGCAGCGTTTTATACCGTCAACCGTGGTGCAATCGTTCGTTCAAGAACATGGGCTGCTCAACAATCAGTCATATTGTTTTCTGGCCTGCACAGCCAGGCAATCAACACAGTCAAAGTATGTATTCACTTCAACTTTTCTTTCTCTTCATTTCCTTTGTCTTGCATCTCACATTTTATTTCAAGTTTTGTTATACTGATATTCATATGACGATCTTTGTAGGAAAACAAAGGTAAGTTTTCTTTGATACATGATGTTTGGACCACGAAAGGCAACCGGTATGCCTTTATCGGAGCAAGTGCAAACTACATCGACGATGATTGGAACTACCGATCAACGCATCTCACTCTGAAGATGGTTGCCTGGCGACATTTTGGCGCTCTCCTTGCAAGACCCATTGGTAAATTTTTGATTCGTCATGGACTTCACAAAAAGATAAGTATCATTTGTTTTGTTTCGCACTTTGTTTCTCTCTGTCCCTTTTTTCGAAGCTAATCAAGATCTTTCGATTATTACATGGTATCTCAGACCACCGACAGTGGTGGTAACAATCGACCTATGACTGCCGAGATCGAATCTATGTTTGCATCAGCTGCAGACCCGGTTACCTGGGATGGATCAGCCAATCATGTCAGGTGCTATGCCCATAAACTCAACCTGGTGGTCGGGCATGGGCTTAAATCACTGGGTCAAAAGGTCAGTAGTGCAAAGCCGACCATTCCACAAGGTGTCGCCCTTCCAGTACCAACTTTCGAGGTCAACGACGGCGACGATGCGGTTGTAATGGATGACTCTGTCTCAGAAGACGAAGACGAGGTTTATTTTCCCGACAAGCCCGACGGAGTTGACGACGAGGATACCAATGAAGAACAGGGGGATAAATCTGAGAAGGAGAAGGAAAAGGAGGACGTGGTGGCACTTGCTCTTTCAAAGGTCAGTACATCTCTTTTGTTAATTTGATTTAATGGCCAACAGCTGATGACATTATCCTTCCTTCTACCGACTGTAGGTGGATACAGTAAGTGGACAAATTGCCAGTAGCGCAGCCAGGAGAAACGATTTTAAGGTCCGTGCAGCTTGAATGAGTTACAAGGGACGCATGTTGAAACGCCCTTGTAAGACTCGGTGGAACAGCCACTACGAAAGCCGCAAGGTAGCTTGCGAGGCCCAGGAGGTTGGTGTTTTTACCATTGGATTTGTTGGCATCCCTGACTGACTGACTGCTTCTTCTCAGGTGATTAACTCAATGCTTTCAGCCGATCGGAAGGCTGCTTTTTTCAAGGGGGTGACTATATCACCTGTAGAATGGCACGCTGTTGAGCTTGTCAACAAGGTTTTAAAGGTAACTCATCTCTCATTTCCTTTGTATTTGTTGACTTCGAACTCATCAACAATTCGCTCCAGGTTTTTGTCGAAGCAACATCTCGAGTCGAAGGCAATGGACTCACTGGTTGCATTGTATTGGCCGAATACAAACGTGTGATCACAGAACTCAAAGCTCATCAAGCAGAGGCTTCCGAATTCCCAAGCATTGGCAAGGCGATTGACGAGATGATTACGTGGCTCGTCAAGTACCAGGAGGAGGCTCTTGAATCAGAGGCTCTTCTTCTTGCCACCATCCTCAACCCTTGTTATTGTGGCAAGTTCTTCGAGATTCACTACCCTGATTACAACAAGTCTGCACAAACCGCAATTCAAATTGCTTTCGACAGTCTCGTGCTAGAAAATCAGTTGCAAGATCCATCCCCACAACCTGAAGAGAACAATGATCCTCCTGAAGAGCCCAATGCTTTTGATGTCTTTGCCAACTCCAACGTTGCTACGGAGAAATCGGCCGCTTCGGAGCTTGAGGATTACTTGCAAGGGAAATACAAAATCGACCAGGATCAATCACCTCTTAGTTGGTGGAAGGTATGTTTTTTTTCTTATCTACATATTATGTGAATTGGAAAATTCATTAATAACTTTCATTCACAGGAACACGAGCACCATTTCCCAATCCTTGCACAATTAGCTCGTGATTACCTGTCAGTCTCTGCGACCTCATGTGCGTGTGAGCGAACGTTCTCCGCAGCGGCCGACATCTGCACTCCTTTACGTGGAGCCATGCATCCGAAGACAATGGAGCGACTTGTTGGCTGTCAAGCCTGGTTGAAGGAAGGTATTGTCCCAGATGGGGACTTTGAAGAAGCTGCGAAGGCCCTTCAATATTATATTGATAGTGTTTCAAAAAAGAAGACTGTTTCAAAAAAGAAGTCTTAAGCTTAAGTTGTCCAATTTGTTTTCCTATTTTTCTTTTCATTTTTCATATTATTGTCTTATCTGTTTCATTTTTTATGAAAATGGATTGATTTTGGTGCCATGAGCGCCGCTTTTGTGCAATGTGCGCCGCTCATGAGCGATTTTGTGCGTAGCTCAGCCCATGAGCGTGTGCGTAGTGGTTTTACCACTACGCACGCGGCGGTGAGATTTTTTTTCAAAATGAGCGATCTTGTGCGGCGCGACATTGATCGCAGTACTGCGCTGCGCTCCGCAAACAGGTCGAAAACCTGTGCGGAGCGTAGCGATTGCGGTGTTGACTCATTCCTTTGATGATCATCTGCAAAACCATTAAAACATTTGGACCTGTTATTGTTTCAAAACACAAAACATTTTTGATTGAAATGAATCTGCGATGTGTCTTGTTTACAGCTTGGTGATGTTAGTCATCTAAATATCTCCAGACCATGAAAGAATCATAAGGTAAAGGTAGTTGTATCTTATTGCGGCAAAGAGGACAACAAATGTCTTTGCCAGATAAGTGTTCTATTACCATTGGCTTCAATAGAAATCAAAACAAAATCACATGGGAAAGATAATCATTAGGGATTGATGTAGAATTGGAAATGTTGTTAATCTTGGACTTACCATGAAACAACTGGCATGATATTGATGGTGTCCTTGACAATTCAATTTAACTACACCATCTCCCAGAAAAAATGTTTCCCTACATATTGCACAGACATCATCTTCTTGTAGATTGTTGATCACAGGAGAAAATCTTTTTTTGAATATGAATCTTTGTTCATTCTCTGAATGTAATCCCAGAGGTTTTATATCAGATTGCAAGTCTTCAATGTTGGGTGTTTGGAAGGTTTTTAAAGGAATTCTCACTTATGACATCTACTCACCTTTCCATATTAATTGAGTGTCCAGATATTGTGATGCGCCATCAGTATATGAAGAGATTCTGTATAAAGATTGTAGAATGAAAGTTTTTTTCAAATGATAATCATAAATCTCCCTCATATTATTTACATTCTCTTGAACTTTGAAGGCATGAATAACTTTCTCAAAGTTTTTCAAACTGACTTTTGATAAATTGGTGAATGATGAGAAATGATGTCCAATAAGAGGGTATGAATCAAGGTTTCCATTAAGTAAGAATCTTTCCATATAGATCTGGAACTCTTCCTTGGAATATTGATCTTGGAAATGCTTATGTCTCAATAGAACAGGTTGTAAGATTTCTTGGATCTCTGGGTGATAGGTTTTTAAATGTTTTATTATCCAACAAGTAGCTGATACTTCTCTTTTGGGTGTGTCAATGTTTGTTGCATGTTCCAAACAGCTCCTGAGAAACTCCAATGAATTCCTTTCTTTCATTGGTTTGTCTTCTTGAAGAAGCTTGTCATGTAGCTCAAGAAATACTTTGGTGTAGCCAGATAGACTTGAGTTCTCTTGATTGATCCAACCTTGTAATTTGGCAAGCAGTTTTACCCTGGCAATTGCCTCTGCTATGGCTGTTTGGAATCAATTTTAGTGAGAAATAAGGAGTATAATCTGAGAAAAACTTTCTCACTTCTGTTCTCATCTTCAGATAGATGATCCCCTTTCCAAACCTTCTTGGCCATTTGTACCAAATCAAGTCCTATTTGTAAATGATCAATTCCAAATCGCAATTGTCAAGATTTACTGAATTATGAAGATGAATAATTGACTTACTCTGAGTGTAAAGAAGCTCTAATACTCCCCAACAAATAGGTCCCTCTTTTATATCTTCCCTAAGTGTTGGTAGCTCTCCAATAGGAAGCTGATCTCTTAATATGTTCAACAAACCTAGTAACCACAAGTGTTCTTTCATACTTGATCCTGGTTGTTGTAATAACCTTAGTGCTAATTGAAGTGCCTTGTCATATGTACCATCTTTCAAAAGAGTCATTAAATTCACATTTGATTGCAAGAAGGGTGGATGGATTGAATTACTGGTAAGTCCTACCATCATCTGAATCATGATTTGGATTCCAATATGATCCAGTTCATGGAGAACCTGTGGATTGAGATTTTGATAACTTTCAAGCTTGCTAAGATCTGGTGGAAAGAAAAACTTCCTGAAAAGAACTTTGGGATTTGACCAAGATGATCTCTTGTCTGTGTAAATCTCATGATTTGATCTACTTAATCCATTTGAACTTTCTTGGTTTTCTTTTGAGTTCAGTAAGGTGAAAAAAATTAAACCTTCATGGCTTTGTTCTTGAGAGTTTTCTATTATTGGTGGTAGTGTTTTCATATATTCTGGTCTATATTGAAACATACTTTCTACTTCAAAGAAGAGAAAAATAAAGAACACAAGACAATACATTCTATATTACTCTTTTGAATCTTGGAATCTTACTATTAGCTAGTATTATGAGATCAGAAAATGATGAGCTTGAATTATGGATTGATTGATTCACAGGATTTGCTCTTATAGATTCATGATACAGAACCTGTTTGCTTCTGATACCTGATTGATGTTTCAGATTCACTTATAAGGTATCTGTATTCATTTCTAGATTTCTTGCATGTCTCAAAGATGATGGTCTCTTCATTTCAATGGAAGATCTCATGTTTTATCTGATCAAAGTTTATAACACCATTAATATGTTCTGAAGACTATATCACATTGAATCAAAAAAGCAATCTATAACATACCATAGTGATAGTAGCACATCCAAAGTCACTATACTCAAACTTTGTATCACTAGTAAAACAATCCCTCAGTCTTGTTTTTTTACATTTATCCTGACCTGAATATCTTTCTACCTACCATATCTTGATGTCAGAGGAATGATTGGTAGGTATGTTGGAATCATAAATACACTGTCAAAGTTACCAACCTATCTGCCTCCCTTGAGAGAGTAGCTCATTGAGCAAACAATTGACATCTGGTCAAAAACAAATGCATGTTGTGTCCCATGTGTTTGATGTTTGTATTTCAAAATTTATAACATGTACATTGTGAGAATGTTTTGCTTAACAAAACATACCCTACCAAAGCTAAAGATTTTCAAGGGTACACATAGTTTTTATTTTCTTGCATCACCCTTGGTCCAAATCCTGGAAAATTTGAACACAGCAAGTAAAATTGGTCATCAGGTAAGTGAGTTCATTTACTTCAAAGGAATATAGAATGAGTTTCAATGGATAAGCTTTGCATTATAAAGTCTCCAAGACCCTTTGAAAGAAAAAAAATGTGACTTACTACACTAAGATTGTAATGGATTCTATGGACTCTTGAACATTTAAATTCATGTATAGCTTCTGCTGCCAAGAAAGGCTTCAAAAATCTCACACATTGAGGATCTCTGTTCAGTCTTATAATGATTGGACAAAAACCTGATTGTAAAATGCATCTTGATTCTTGCCCTGCATCAAATCCCAGAGGATCAATGTCAGCAATACCACAATTGCATCACATCATAATCAAATTTGATCACAATGGCATTGTGCAGCGCAGGGTGTGATCAAGCACAACAGATGCTCCACTACTTTTTCATCTCTTGAAGTTGCAGAGCTCTCAGAGTGCAATAAATTGCTCTATTGTGTGCAACATTGTGATTTATTGTGGCGCAAGGGCCACCGCCTATCAAAAAGTTGTAGAAACCATTTAATCTGGAATGCACAGAGAAAATAAAAAACAGAATATCAAACTTATATTGAAATGAAATTGATGATTTTTGAAAAAACCCATTCAATGACACTGTGTTTGTATTTTTTTAGGAAATCAAGCACACACAAAACACTTTTTGTAGAGGCAAGACAGAATCTTCAAACAGGTCTTCAGTATCAAAACCAAATTTGCCTTCAATGTGCTTTTACAGCAAGATTTTAGAACATAGGAAGGCTGATCTTTGTTTAGATGTGAATCTTGCATAAAAATTGTGCCCCAGTAACAGATCACCACTGCCTTTGTGAAAAAGACCTCTATCCGCTGACTAGCCAAAGAGCACACCTTTGAATACAAACAGTGGCATGTGTCACATGTGTTTCACTTTCACTTTTGTTGTAAATGATTGTGCACTCTTCCATGATTATGGAAGATATTTCAACAGAGCTACACAGATCACAAGTGGATTGATTCACATGCTGATAATGTAACCCATCATCCCATTCTTCTTTCAACATTGAGTTCTTCAGTTTCTATTGTGTGCTTCCTATGTTTGATGTCTGATGAAATTCAATTAAATTACAGTTTTGATCTATTAGATTGTGACTTACACAAAAAACAAGATGAGTAAAGCAAAGGAATCATCTAATTCTGTGGACAAGGACACTCAAAGTAAAGCTACCAACTGTTCATGCAGATCACTCGTTACTATTGTACCAGTTCTCTTATTGCTCTACCTGGCTTCACTTTTGCTTCTCATTAGAATGACACAGCAAAAAACAGAAAACTATCAGTGGATTTTAATGATGTGTTTCAAACTTTCTTCATTCAAGACACAAATATGATGGATGTGTCTTGAGCACTAAGGATCTCTGCCTTGCTCATTGATGTTCACAGAGAGAAGAGTTTTGGAAAACTCCTGCAACCCTTAAAATTCTTTATTCTTGCTCATTGTACCTCTGTGGCATGATGTTGACTGAACACAACATTGTGTTAAATTTGAACTCTCTGACTGGGCTGTCCTTTCTATGTAACAGAGTATTGGAAATTCAAATACTTCCCTGGAGAGATACTTCAAAGGATGAGTGTTATTTCTTGGGTCATTATCACAAATTTAAGCCAAATATTATTTCAACATGTTGGCTCTTGGATGCATGAGAAATGAATCTCAAAAATATTTGTAATACTCTTTCTACACTCTCTGTGTGTTCTTTCATCCTGAAAGAAGTTCCTGTTGTGATTACTGTCATTGCTGGAACACCACAGCTATTGCACAGAGCTGTTGAAATGGGACACCTTCTTCCTGGATGTACCTTGGAAGTCTTCAATGCCTTGAAATTGAAGAAAAGCCATGTTGAACCTTCCTTGCAAGATCTACCAGCCATTCCAAAAAAAATTCAAGCTATTTCTCTCTCTCAAAGGTGTGTTCAGGTTTGAACAATATTCTATCCATTAGAACAGGAGCAAACAACATTCAATTTTTTCACAACTCTCCATGTGTGCACAACAGTGTGCTCCGCGGACACATATACAGTGTGAGACATGGCCTTGTTTAAAGCCTCTTACACTGATGAGCTTTGATAGCAAGGATTTTCAAAACCTAAATTGAATACAATACAAAAACCTGTGAACCACACTAGCCACAGACTGGTAGAGGGGCAGACCAGCTACCAGTGCTATATCTTGAATGCCAGTGATGCACATCATCAGGGACTTGTGGTGTACTTCTAACAGTTTCTTCTTTGAGTCTCATCACTTATTGTTTCCTTGTAATCACATATAAGATTCTCAGACTATAGTAATTCATTGCAGGAAGTTGAACCATTGCAACTGCTATAAGGATACTTGAACAGTACCTTTTGCAAAAGGTTTGTTATGTTGTGGTTCAACTTGACTCCCAATACAAACCAGATAAGACATACAAGGAGCTTTCTCAGCTCCCTTATTTAGAGGAATCCAATGCAGTTGTTGGACAAAGTTGATTATTATAGTTGCAAGTTTCTCAAGAAACTTCCATTCTCAAAAAAATCCAATATGAGGTGACCAGCTATAGAACTCAACAAATGAATCTTGTTTGAGAATTGTCTTTGATGGATCTCTAGAAATTTGTATATATCATATCAGAGCCAAAATTAGTTTTAGGTCCATTTGAAATCTGGAAGTAAAGAGCATTTTCAAGATAAAGTGACACATTACCTTTACTGATCTCCACTGAATGATTCATGCTAAGTTTTGGGTTCATTCCCTCATAAATTTGATCCATAATCATCTGTTGTTGTTTTTGTAAATTTTTCATTTCTGTACCCACATTCCATAAAGCCAGAGCTTGATCAGGTCTAAATCCCCATGATGTGATCTGAGATGTGAAGTGTTGAGGTTTTTCAATGGCTTCTATCAATAATCTTGCCCTTTTCTCGTGTTGATCTATTGACCAAATTGAACAAAGGAGTCACAAATGAGCATCAATGCATGGACGATATGAGTTCGATGAATGTTTTATTTACCCCAACTCATTTTTTTTTGGTCTTGAGCACTCATCAAAGGAGTCAGAATCTTCCATACATCTTTTCCGCTATGACTATCGTCTCTTTCCAAGTAAATATTGTTGAATGTTTTTCGGATTTTATCACTAGCCCTCCAAGTTTCTTCTGTCAATGCTGCCATATCGCGCATACAGTTGGCAATGTAAATTAGAGGAAAATGTCCAATATCAACCATTGGAGTATGAATTTGACGCCATGCTTTAGTAAATCTTTCTATTGCACGAGTAATATTTTTAGGAGATTTGTTCGATTGGAAGAGAATATATCCTCCCCACATAATTGCTTCACATAACTTTTGTCTAGAAGTTGGAACTTGATATTATTCAAGTCATGGTCAGTTTAACTTTCAGAGAAGTCATTATACGTGACCTTTACTTACTTTTATAGCTTGATCGAACTTGTCTGACCCAACGAAGTCTGTCATATGCATCCCAAATGTCATATATACTGTCATCAAATTTAGTTCTCAAAGGTTTAAATTTCTTTGGATGACTATCATAACATGGAAATAAATATAGATGACTCAAGGAATACCAACGCCAATCTAGATCACCCATATATTTTCTCAGCTTGTCTTTTACATACCACATTTTCATATTCAGGGGAGTTTATAAAACTTACTATAATTAAGGCTGAGAAGTCTATGACCTTGAAAATTATCATTCGAATCATCTTCAATCCAATTACAAAACGAACGTATATACTGAAAAATCTTCTGATGGTGCCTAGATTGATTCGCATAAATCGAAATGAATTGATCTTCAATAGGTAACAACCTCTGCCTTTGCTCAACTGAACTTTTCATGGAATGATGAGTAGATTTGATGGGTTGATCAAGTCTCTTACTGAACGCAATGTCCTCTGGGATAATTGACATAGATGAGCGATAATTTGATTCGTCTGAATGAAAGTCCAACAAACCCAGATCATGTAAGGGGATACGCTTTAGAAAGAGGTTTGAATTCGGTTTGAAATATTTGTTCCTTGCGCCTTTGTAATCCTCATTCAAATTGTTTGATTTTTTGTTAGTTGAACCTGTGATGATCTGTTCTTGATCGTGCAAGACGGCTGATTGACCATTGCATTTATCTATATCAGTTTGAGAAACTTCTCTCTCATCATGGTCGATCAGATTCTTCCTTTTTAATCCTCGATTGATTGAAGATGTGTCTCCAAAAGTTATACCTGGGAGTGAACAGGGTGGTTTATCCACACTCAGATCCAAAAGGAATTCACCTGTATGTCTTCCCTCATAAGCATTTTGATCACTCTCAATAATAACTGCAAGCAAAGGTTTCTCTTCCGAAGTTCCAAACAATGGTTGTATTGATGTCTTCCTGGCGTTATAAATTTGCATGTTTGTTGAAACATCATCCAAATTATGACTTGATTTTGGATCCTTTGGCGATTGAAGTGAATCTCGGGGGTGATTGAGACTACTCAACAAATCTTCCGACCATACTCTTGCATTTGACTTACTCAATCTGACTGGGGTTGGGATATCTGGTCTTGTGAGAGTTGGATTGACAGTGTAAGGATGCTGGAGGTTTGACTTTACCTGTGAACTGTAGAGTGAGTGCTGACCTTGATTTGTTGACATTGATTCTTGATCTCTGAATTGATGATTATGTGGTGAGTCTTTGTTGGAATTGAGTTGACTTTTGTCTACTCTTGTAACTTTTCTATAAGGTCTAAAAGATGATTGACTGGTCTTTGAAGCATTGATATCACTCAGGTCCTCATCCATTGGAATTTTGTTGAGGTCAAAGCTTGTGTCCATTTGAAGTCCCTTCATCCCCATAACCAATAATGGAAGACTGAGATAATATAATTGGATAAAGCCAATCATTGATTTTAATTCATTTGTGGTCGCTCAAAAGTAGGGTGAAGTTTTTCTACAAGAACACCTTTCTGGGGTACAATATCCTGCTATATCAATAGAATGAGTGAGATCTAAAACACCAAGATCTAACAAATTGATATGGCTATACAACTCTGATCTAAAACACCAAGATCTAACAAATTGATATGGCTATACAACTCTGATAAATTTCAGATATCACATGTATGGAAACCTGAAATTCTATGGTTGTCACATGACAATTTGTTGATTAATCTATTTCAAACATCCAGATCTGGTTTATGAAGTGATATGGAATTGATAATGTTGAAACTTTGATGGCAGTTGAATAGTTTCAGAATCATTGAGTTATGAATCAGATCCCTATGTCTTGATAGGTCTCAATGGGTGATGATCCAAAAATTCAGTATATATACATATGCCTCACCAATCTGTTGAAAGGACCCACCCACAAATTTTCAACTTTCATCACCTCCAGATTGACTTGAGTACAATGAGCACTGGATAGAAGATTGGCCTGATCAGCAAGTCTTGAGGAGGACCTACTTCAATTCCCCAATGAGCATTGGAATGACTTCAGACTGACATTACAAATACCCATGGGTCTGTTGTAGCATGACTTACAAGCAATAAGTCTTATTGTACTTCTGTCCAACATCTTTGTATTGATCCTCACTTGATTTATCCTACTTACAAATCCATTGTTCAATTTATGATTGACTGCATATCTCAGAGCATCATTTTATATTATGGCAGGTCCAGATTGTTGACTTATAAGCCAGATACAAAGCCAATTTCATGTTGCACACATGCACTGCCACCACTGGCGGGAGTCAAGCTCCAAGTTTCTAAAGTTTCTAGACTTGTCACCACAGAACAGCTTTCCAAAAGTCAACAGAATTACAAAAAATTTACACCAACAGGACACTTTTATGACCATCCTTTTGTTGTAAGTGGTCAACACCTGTAGCATACAACACACACCAAAGAACAACACTGACATATTCATTTTTTGGAATATATGGGTTTGATGGTGGATGAATGTGAAGCCTTGGACTTTCACATCAGCACTTTCCTCAACTCTGGGCAAATGAACTAGGCAAGAGTGCAAAATCTGTCAATGGTGATTATGCCACCAAGGGATTTTTATTTATTCAGTTGTACCATACAACATTATGGCCATAAAATTTAGGGAATGTAAAATTCTCCACTTGACCTCTAACTTGGCAAAGTCTTCATGCAGGTTCAACTTGTTGAATGTCAGGTGTCAGCATTGAGCAAGTTTTTTGAGTTAGACACACATCATGTGTGATGTAGACATACATGCGTAAACAAATAAATGAAGGAACATCATACACATGTTGCTTTGTAGCTTTGTAGCGGCCACAAATGGAGGCAAAGCTGCTGTCTGAACAGCATACTACACCTTCTTGCCTGCTGTGGCACCACTGGAGCAAAATACTGACATGCTTTTGGGGATTTTTGGGCGCGTTTTATTTTTGCGTGCTCATCCTGTCATCCTGAGAAACGGGTTCACCAGTGCACCAACGGTGGTATGTACCGACAGACCTTGGCTGAGTAAATTCGATGGGATGTTGAAAGGATGTTGAGAAAGATGTTACACGTGTGTTTCTTCCCACGTGCGCGGATGCGTGTATGCGTACAGACAACGCGTAAATACTTGACGCGATCGACGACGCTGGTTGGTCGAAAGTTTCAAGGTAAATGCGTGGTGGACCGTGGACCGTGTTCGCGTGCATGGCCCTACGTAATTTGCTTTGAGTACCCTAGGTTACACACCACATATGATATTCCCTCCACCACTACTCTGCCTCTTTCCCTTTCAGATCAGTCTCATCTCACGCTTCATCGATGCAGGGGAACTTCACATCCCAAGAGTAAGCAGTCAAGACCAACAAGGGGACAGAAGAGGTCTAGATCATACATATATATATGACCGATTGGAATCTATATTTCCTTCATAAGAAAAAAACCCTATAGCAAATCGTTCTGTTTTACCACCACCATTTGACCATATTTTTTGCTACTTTACACGTTTTTAAAGATGTCACCAATGAAACCTCCTCACCGTCATCGCCTACTCAAGACTGATGAAGGCCAAGAACCACCCAAGCAGTCATCCTCTCGTTCCGTGTTTGTGAGATGCCCTAGACCCCGTAGGTTCCATTGATATCTTTCTTCAATTACAACGATTCTGATTTTCTCTTTGTCTTTGCGAAAAACAAACAACTTCAAATTAGCCTGCGTTGCTTCATATCTCCCTTTCAATGCGGCTCACCATTCACGCTCATGCAAACACTTTCGGTCAGTAGTTTCTTACATACTTTTTTCTTTCTCTGAAACCATTGGCTGACCCTTACTGATTGTTCATCCTTTAACGTACAAACAGCTGCCTCAACACCCACTGCGGTTTCACCGGTACTGAGGCTCAAGCTCAATATCACCTTTCAGAATGCCTTTACTCGCTCCCTTTCTCTTCGGATCAAGCTGCTACGACCGGTTTGTCTTCTTTTCGTCGCATCATTATTTCCTACTCCATACAATACATATATGATCATTCTGAATCTGATCTTACATTCTTCTATCCCTTACAAATCAGATCCACTCTCTTCAGATATGGAATCTGAGGTACAAGATATCCTGACTTCGCCACACAAAAATAGCTATCCAACCGACCCATCTAGCGACCTGTCAAGCTCTCCTCGTGATTCCAAGCAACATCTTAAACTGGCACCACTACTCTTCTCTCGCCCTTCTTCTGCCAGCTCACAACATCCTCAAATTCCACCACTATCAAGCTGCTTACCACAAAAGCGCAGATATCTCTCTACTCTCGCTCCAACCCGTACATTAGCCGTTAACCCAGTTATCAACCCGTACGATCCGGCTGCTAAAAGAATCTTCTCTCGCCCTCCGACCGTTGCACCATCATCAGTTCCAGCACCCTCCACATCACATTCTTCTTCATCCATGCCTCGCTCACCTGATCCCAAATCTTCTACCATCTGCCTTGCTCGGTATCGACCACAAGCACCCCAAGAGTCAGCTTCCGCAACTCAAGCAGCAGAAATACTCAAGCTCCAGGCTGCTCTAGAACAAAGTCAATCGGACGTCACACGTCTTAGAGAACAACTCACGAATGTAAAAGACGAACTCGGCAATCTTGCCGAAGCAGCTTATTGTGACTTCCCGCATGATTTACTCGTGGGTGAAGTGATCAAGACATATGAAACAACTTGTACTCCAATTCTTACTGTGCTCGAAGAGACTGCAGGAGCCGAGGCTATCCAATCAAATAACAATGAGGAGGAGGAAGTCCAAAACGAAGCGGAATTCGCGGCAGAGGAAAAAGGCGCGCTAGAGGATGATCCGGACGAAGAAGAGGAGGAAGAAGAAGAAGAAGAAATGTATTCTACCAGCGAAGAGGAGGAAAGTGATGCCGATGAAGAAGAATACTGTTCAAGTGATGATGAGCCAATTCAACCCATCAGTTCTTCAAATGTTAAACCGAGCTCGAGCAAGCAAAGTGCAGACTCATCACTAACAGCTGGCGAATTGAGCGCACTAGTGAGACGTAGAATATCAGGCTCGAGACCTAGGACTAGAGATGATGACATGTTTGGAAAGGATGATATAGAAAATAGCTGTCGAAGACCTACTGCGTTTGTTAAACGGTTGGCTGAAACGACTTGGGATCCATCTGATGATATTGAAGAAGCTGGTGTACCTGGTGTATGCAATTTAATGAATTTATTCAATGAGGCTAAAAGGAAGAAGAGACAAAGGGAGGATGCAGAATCGTCATAAGATCATCAAGAACATTTTTTTCTGAGTTGAATTAGATCATAGTTATTCTCTATCAATTGCTTTTCATTATTCAATTTTCTTTTCGTTTTCATCTTTTCAAACCATGATTAACATCTTTATTTATCATGACATTCTGTGTCTGTCTAAGTTTGTGAATACGTTTGAGGACATTAATCTAATAATAAACGACTTGTTTACTCTTGTTTGTCAAATCTGCTGAAAAAAATGTGCCTGCGTGAGTCAAGAAGAGTTGAGGAATTAGTTGGCTCATAAGGGAATACAATCTCATTTAGTTGCTTCCGAGTATTGTCCTATACATCTCAAGATGTGAATTAGTGCGTTGCCAATTGACTTGAGTGCCGCGTTGAGCCTGAAGTTTTGAGACCGGTAAAGTATCAATTTCCATCCACAATCACTCCCTAGTCTTAGAACGCATCTCTTCATGGAGGCGAAAGAAAACGACCACAGAACGGCTGCCCTTTGCCCTGCTGAACGATGAACGATAGATTTATGTAGGTCATAGAGCATCGTCCAGCAATGAGAACTTTCATCATTCCAAGGTTACAAATTGACAAGAGTGATGGCCAAAGCAGATGAGGTCAACGAGACTCAACATGAATGATTTGATTCATAAAGAGGTTTCTGTTCCTTAACAAGCAAAAAAACTCGTTGTCCCAAGGGACACAGAGAGCTACCTCAAACGTCTGATCATGTGGAAAGGTCGCGACAGTGTTCCTGATCAGGTCCCACCAGTGAATTCAATTCCAAACGCTGTTTGCGATGTTTGCTGACACCAAGCTCAGATTCAGGTACGGTCAACGATTTGATTTCATCGAAGTAAAGTGTCAAAATGATAAATTGCAATATATATGTACCCACTATCTAGAAAAAGCTGCCGACAATTCACCTTCATCGAAACACGCAGCTCTATTCCAGCGACGTCTGATCTTATACCATAAATACCATCTCGCATTGAAGAAAGAGAATTTAATCTAATTTGAGAAATCTATCAATTTACTACCATGTCGAACACTTTTACCTCTGATGCTGCCGACTTTTCTGCACCAAGAGATTCGACTCACTCTGAGCTTGATCAAGTTGAACAAAGTCAATCAAGTACGTCTTCATCTTTTTCATTCCACCTTCTGGGTCTCCTCAGATCACATACCAACGATTTTTTCCTTATACCACATTCAGGAATCACAGACCAACTCATCAAAGGTTTCTCTGATTCCGGTATTAAAAAAAGGCTCGAATGCCCCACAACTCTTGAATACATCATCCCATATCCTCCTAGTTCAGACAAGGAGATCCTCAAGCTGGCTGCCGGACTGGATAACTGTTTGGAAACTCGAGAAGGAGCACGGCTTGTAATGAGCCACGCCACACATACTCCTGAAGCAGTTGAGCAGGTAAGACATGAAAGCATCTGTTATTTCGTTGCTGTTCCCCCTTTTATCTCCCGCGAAATCAAACGCTCACGCCTTTGTGGTTTCTTTGGTGCTTTTTTTCAACTTCAGTGGAGTCGATACATCCAAGCAAAATTTTGGCAAAGCGGGCGTCCTCTTCCACGGCCGATTGCAGCACCGCACTCGGAGAGTTCTCAAGGTTCATCGCTTATGGGATCCTCAGCTCATATACCCGCTTTGGATGGTTCCCTTTCCCTTGGCTCTTCGCCCGACGGCAGCGCCCCTCAATTCGAATTGGCTTGTCGAATGCCCGCTGCTCAGATTCTCAACGAAAGCTGTTCACTCCTCAATCTTTCTCACCAAATTCACCTGGAGACGGCAAAATGCTCAAATTCCTACCTTGAACAAGTTGAACTCTGGAAGCTTGCACGCGATCTTGGAACTCAATCTTGGCTCACTTTTAACGAGTCCAGCACAGTTTCACCTCAATCGAGCTCAGACCAGTCTTCGACACCAGTGACTTCTATTCAGACTCACTCGGTAGGACGCAGTTTTGAAGATGAAAGGACCAATCATGATCCAGAACAACAAGAGCCAAAGAATCTGAGCAAGCCTATCTTTCTCAACGAGCTAAGCCCAATGGAGACGAAACTAGACTTGGCCGAGGAATCCCCTACGACCGTTTCTGATACACCCCCCTCAATCATGAACAAGGCCGGTCAAATGATGGAGTATGAGGATGTTTTTAGCTTTCCAACGGAGGATTCCCGCCGTAGTGAGAGTCCTGCCGTCCAGCTTGAAAAAAAGTATTGGCTGAGGACTGTTCCCACAAGAAGCGAGCTTTCCGGTCAGAAAAAGCAAGCCAGAAGTCGTGAAGAAGATAAAACGAGCATTGATGGATCCCCAGTGTTCAAGCGGATCAAGAGGGTTTGATACGTTGGTCTCCTTTGCTTTTAGATTTTGTTTTTGAGTCAGTCTATGATGTATTTTGTATCAACATGCCTACATAAGACCCTTTGTACCAATATATATATATCATATATCAGTGCGTTCTTGAGCATTAATATGCAGATTTGTATCCAGTCTTTATCACATAGGGATCAGTTAGTTTGGTACTTTATGAAAGGTAAGATGCCACAGAGATACTGAAAGGCACAAGTCCAGCAAAAGCAATAGAATCAACTGAAAGTTTGCATTTCTAAATACCATGTCCCTCATGTTTGCTGACTGCAGACTGCACCGTGCTTTTTTAGCCGGGTGCCTGTCAAGTACGGTGACCCTTGTCTGTGACATGTGTACAGACGCGTGATAAATTGTGTATTTTACATATCAATGTGGTGTTCTGTAAACTTTAAAGTGTATGTAAATTTTAATTTGGATATCCTCAAAGTCACCAACTCAACATTCACAGTTGAACTTGAAGCTACTCATCCTCATCAATCTCATTCATCCAATCGATTGATCACTTCAGATTAGATGGCTACTGCTTCAACATCAAAGCAAACTCCAAGGTCAAGATCAAACTCAAGGCATCGTCAATCAAATTCAAAACCTAATCGATCAAACTCAAAGCCTTCCTCGCAGCTCAGCAAAGGAACCTCAAGTGGTGTGTCATCCCAGGTGGTCGGAAAACGACGCTCTGGATCTCTACGTCACACCATAGATCTCTCCTACTCGCTTCCAGCATCGCCAGAAGAGGAAGTCGTGATTCCCTCATCAGAATCTCAGATTGACTGGGATGCTATCGAGATTCTTGAAGAAACCAGGAAGAAATACTTAATAAAATGGGCAGGTGTCAATCCCGACACGAACGAACCATGGGACCCATCCTGGGAACCCAAGGAGAATGCGGGTGAAGCACTTGTTAAAGCATGGATGGATTCCAAGGCCGCACGAAAGACTCGATCATCAATTGGAAAAGTATATCTGGTTATCTTTGCATTCTGTTTACACACTCCATCTGACATGTCTCTCATCGTTTGTAGCGTCGAACTTCAGGAGTCCTCACCAGGTCAACTAGCCCAAAACGAAGGCGAATCATCTTTGAAGATTATCCTATTTCACAGAAGCGTCATTCACGTCAGCATAAACGTATCCGAAATGAGACATCCGATTCGGAAGACGAAGAAGTCCTACCAACGCAAGATAAAGGATCAAACATCAACAATAACAAAGTTACACCTGTCCCCGACGCTAGTCTTCCGATTTTTTTACTTCAGTCACCACATTCAAAGGGAAAAAACTCACGAGTGAATCCTCTTCATTTGCGAACACCCTCGGGATCAGATTCTGTGGACGCAAACGAACACACAGTACCCACTCCTCGGTCTCCCACAAACATTGAACATGTTCCTTCGCCTTCTCCACCTGCCAATGTTCCCTTGTCCAATCCTTCCCCTCGGTCACTTACTCTATCCAAATCTAACACTCGGATTTCGGAACGATCTCCAAGAAGCCCAGGACAGGCCATCCTGGCAAAACCCACTGTGCATGTCTCGGATACCTTGCATAAGACACTTTCGAAGAAGCCTTCCGGCATCAACATCTTTGGAACTCGATCTAATGGTTCTAGCGGTCAACCCCCTCTACCTCCGCCCAGCCATGATTCATCAACTCCTAAACGACCTCCTTCTCGAGGACTTCCCAGTTCGCGAGCAGCTTCACCATTTGTCGACATCAACTCCGGCTCTAATGGCGCAAAAAAGCGTGATCTCGAGGTAGGCGGTTTTCATAAGCGTTCCCAGCGAAACTTTCATGATACATGTAGACTGACAGATTCTCCCATACCAACATCGTTGTTCTCAAAGTGCCGAAAGAAGCCGTTCTACTCTCATATTCTACGTGATGCAGTTGAACCCTCGGAATTCCAATTAGGATCGACATCCTCGTTGTTTCGAGCTGAAGAATCATTGGAAGAATCTGTGGTCCTGGCACCTGATAAGTCAAATAGCCGCACAATGCCTGAGGAGGTCGAAAAGCCCACTCAAGAGCCCCCTATATCACATTCTCCATCCCGATTTCTTGATGCATCGGTCAGTCCATTTAGATCAAACGGTTTCATCGAATATTTGCTTATGTAACTGTTCATCTGATCCTACTTTCCCCTAGCCTCGGAGGAAGACCACTCCACAACCATCATCGGACACTTCAGCTGAGCTATCATCTCAACCTACAGATGAGGTGGCCCAAATGATTGCCACCTTCAACGACTATACACAAACTTCTAGTCGGATAAGTTTGCAACGCTTCATAAGCGCCTGTGATATAGATCCAGTAGATCGAAATATGTTGATAACATATCTGGACAACCCCAAGGCGTTTCTTAGTTAGTTTTTTACTGACCTGTGTAGGCTAGTTTTCTTCCTGGCCTGATAGTCGCTGATTCAAATGCTACTTTTCACGCTCATCTCTAGGTCATCCCCAAAATGGTATCCAAGAAGCACAGCGTGCTTACGGTGGAAAAGAGTACATTGGCTTTGAGTTGCAACAAGAGACAAATGGGTCGATTTGTCTTTGGATCGAGCTGGACGAACCTGACAACCCAAAGACCACAGTGAGGTGGGAAAGTGGGCGGTCACTCGAAAAACTGAGCGTCAGCTTGGGTACGTGAAAATTTTACACCTGTCTACCGCTCGAAGATGATCACTGAGTTTATTTGCGTTATCTTCCTTATCCAAAAGTATCTTACCATAATCCAGTCGCCGAAGGTGCATTCTTGGCAAGTCCTCGCCCTGACCGAAAAAGGACTCCTGTTCCTTTGGGATGCCAGCCGCTCCACCGCACACCAGAGTCTCGACATACCCCCAAAGACAATCTTTCTCCCGCAAAAAATGCGCCCACCGCTTCGGGACAACTAGAAGCAACTACATCAGTATCTGCCAACGATATGGGCCGTCCAGATGCCTCACCAATCACGTGCGAAGAAGACATCCAGCAAGAACTTGTTCTTGAACCTGGGCCATCAGACGATTCACACAGACTGAGCATTGATAGCGATTTCTTGTTTACGACCGAGCGGTGCACCCCAGCACTGAATGATGATCTACCCAAAGCAATACCTGAGATATTAATCGCTTCACCAGCTGAGCCAGTCCAACCTGGTATCATGACACAAAATGTTTCGCCCGCAAAAAATGCGCTCATCGCTTCGGAACAATTAGAAGCAACTACATCAGTATCTGCCAAAGATATGGGCAGTCCAGATGCCTCATCAATCGTGTCCGAAAAGGATACCCAGCAAGAACATGTTCATGGACCTGGGCCATCGGACGATCCACACAGACTGAGCATCGATAGCGATTTCTTGTATACGACCGAGCGATGCAACTTAGCACCGATTGATGATACACCTAAAGTAATACCTGAAATCTTCATTGCTTCACCAGCTGAGCCCATACACCCTGATATCACGACACGTCAGTCGCAGCTTTCTGGCCAACACGGTGCCTCTACCTCAAATCCAAGGCACTCATCGCCGTCGCAACAACCTGACCCGAATACAAATAGTCACATCCCCACCAACCACACTCTCGGCCAAAGATCGGATATCGCGATTGTTGTGTCCCATGTTCATGATGTACCAAGTCAGGAAGGCCACAATGCGTCGTCGCATGCGCATTCACTCGTTCAGAATTTACGAGGAGAATCAGTACCGTCCTCGATAGTGCCCTCGATAGTTAATTCAACGCACGAGTCTAGTCGTGGTGATGGTGCTGCAGATCAACAGGTCGGAGCAGGAGACGATGAAGGGTCACAGGCGACTACCGTAGAAGAGTCTCACCCACGCGAACATTCATCAACTGTCTCCGCATCTGAGACAGATTCTCCGGAAAAGCTAAAAAAGGACATCTACGAACTCACCACATCTGTCAAGTTTTTACGCTCTCTGCTGGGCGGCGCTCTGGACCTTCACGCTCGGGCTCAAGGAGTCGAAGATATCTCGTATTCCAACAGCCTGACACAACAAAAAGTAGAAGAGCTTGAAGAAAAACTGTCGAAACAAGAAAAGCACACAAAATCATGGCAAGAAAAATATAAGGCTAAGGATATAGAAATCACAGGTGTACGTGTCCAATTACTAGACTTTATGAGTCAGAATGATGCTCTATCGAAAGAAAACCGGGCCTTGCGAGCTCGCTTGAAAGACTCAAATCACCCCGCTCGACATGTTTATGAAGCATTCTCAACTAAGATGAAAGCTGACGTAGCACGACTGGAGTCAGAAAATCATCTATCTAAACAAACTATCAAACGACTTCAGGCTAGGCTTTGTGAACAATCGAATGATGAAGATCAAGATGGCTTAGAATTTCGCGTAGCAAATCTCGAGTCTAAGAACGAAACCTTGAAAGAAGAATTATCTCTTTTAGCACAGGCTGAAGCTAAGGCGCAAACTCTAGTATCAGAGGCCAGAGCCGCTGAAGCCATCCATAGACAACGCGCTGAAAGATTAGAAGCTGCTTTACAAACTAATGCCGACATACTTGTTGATACAGAGAACTCTCAAGATGAAGATTCTGACGTGGATGATGATGATCTTATGGCGCAAGCCCGCGCAAAGATTCCACTTTCAGACGATGAGAATACTACCAGAAGTACACAGGATGAAGATATGCCAGTCAGAGATAATCGATCAAATACGGATACCTCCGATATACCAGAATCTAATGCTGAGGAAGCGATTATCGATCACGAGGCAAGTCAAAGAAGATCTGCACATCCCGAGTCTGTCAAGAAGGCTACCAGAAGCAGCGTGATCAATCTTTTAAACGCTCGTTCTTCATATTTGGAGCCATCGACCGAAGGGGAGGAAGATATTAAACCAAGAATCACGGATACCCTGGAGATGTTGAACGATGAGCGGCCTTCAACCCAACCCGAGAGAATTAATCTCACTGTTAGTACTTTTAATTCTTTAATTCTTCATCTACCGTACTGACTTGATGGGTTATTGGTCAAATGAAAGCAGTCAAACAGTCGACGTTCATCTGTGTCCGGTCTTGCACGTTCATCAAGTCGTGGTAATGATTCAGATGGTTCATGTCATAGACCCAGAGAACCTCAACGGCAAAACGGTCTTAATTCTACTACCCAACGCACGCTTTCGCGAGTGTCTTATCCTGCAGCTCGCCATTTTAGTCCTATGGAAGAAGACCTTGATAGTCGATTCATATATTATCCTAGACGTTCACTACCTGCTCATCGTCGAACGAACGGCCAGTAATCCAGCGAATGACGATGAAGATGATCGCTAGTTCTTTTTGACCTCCTAGTGTGTTGTGCTCATAATCTCTTACATCAATGGTCTGATACTCAATGATCGACCTATCAGGAATGAGACAAGGATTGAAAAGATAATGAAGGATGTCATCTCGGATTGCAGATATTTTTGTACACACATTGTACATTCATCATAGGCTAAGTTTCGAGTGATTGAAAGGGAAAAAGGGGGTAGATGTAGGATTAGTCGTATATGATCGTCAATATGGGATGTACAAATGCATGAAAAAAGTATAAGTCTGATGTCTTCAATTGGCTATTGAAATTTAGTATATGTGAATAATGGGAGTTAAATCAAGATGTGCAATCAGAAATTAACTGTATGAATAGTTTAAGATGTCGATGAATAAGAAATTTGAATAAGATACAATATACATTTTATTATAAATTACAATACATCAAGTAGTTTATAGTTAGGTTGGATTTGGGTTTGTGAAGTTTGACTTGTTTTAGTTGTTCATTTGTCTTGTGTTGTTTTTGAAAAATTTTGGTGTATTTGCTTGTTAGTATTGCAATATGATGATTAATACATTACGGATTGTTTTTGTTTTGAGGGACCAGATGAGTATGTAGATATATGTTGATTGTCCAGTTTGAGTATATATTGAGACAAGCTATGTTCAAGGGTGGCTATGATGATATGCTTATACTAAATAATTTTAACCTGATAAGTGACTTGGAATGCTATAAAATGTTCTGTGGTCAGTTTCCTCAAAGAACTTGAGACACCTTCAGCTTTTTCCAATCTCACCTGTTCAGCAATTATGAGGTGATGAGACCATGTCTTGGTCTTCCCAAAGAAATCATTTTCTCGAGTTTCGGTCCGATACAATATCCTCTTTCGCGGCTACTGGAATCAATCGTACTTTCAAGTCGTTCCTTCTCGTCTTCTCGTTTGATCAAGGAAGGTGTACAAGAAGGTGAGTTTTTCATCATTGATATGCCATCATATCGGCTGAGTTAATGAACTAATCTAAGTTTTCAATTCCAATGTAGCCTTCAAACCTGGCTTTTCTGAATCTTTGAAGCTCGATATCCTCAAGGAAAAGGTTTCAAAAAGACCTGCTGAGAAAACTCATCGACCTATTCCAATTCTTGGACGTCGTACTTCAAACGCTGGTTATGTGGCTAAGACTTTATCTGAAGATCCAAAGAAAATATCCAAATCCGAACTTAAACGTTGGCTTAAAACTCAATCCTTTGATCAATCACAATTAGAAATCTATGTTACCGCTTGCAAACAAACCAGTCTGAAAAGTGCACTTCTGATACTTGAATCAATACCTACGTCTAATGAAGGATCTGATCGAAACATACCCTCTAGTATTTTGGCAGAGATTGCTAGTAAGAGAATCCAAGATCGACAACAATTGGACGATCTTTTGATTCTCTTGGGTCATCGTATTGCAATCGAGGAAGATGTCATGATAGTTTCACATTTGTTAAACGGTGCAGTGCAAGCTAGTTTATCGGTTGGACATCTTGTTGCTTCAACTGAACTTGTGGAATACTCTACACGCTATGCTTCCGAAATAGCTAGAGTCGAAGTCGAAAAAACCAATACACAAAGCGCTAATGATGATGATTCAAAACATGGAGTAGCGCAGGATCCGTCGCTTGCGATAAGACCTTTGCTTGCTTGTATTGCAGCTCTGATGAACCGACCAGTATCTCAGAGTCACGGACCCACATGCAAACTTATCACTATACTGATCAAGCATACAATCGATCTCTGCGGTAGTCTAGAATCGGTGTTCGGTCGACTTTCTAAACCGAACATTCATTTACTAAGTCGAGCGATCATTAGTTCTATGCTTTCTCCGGATGGACACCCTTTCAAGTTACCGGAGATTAACCTTTTATTGAGACAAAAGCTTCCACCTTCGACGCTTCGATTAGGCATGACTTGTATGATTCAGGCTGGACGTAGAGATCAGGCCGATCGATTCGAACGACGTCTGCTCGATCACGGCAATCAACCTGAAGATTTACCCTTCAAGTACCAACTGAATCACGCTTTGAAATTTGTTCGTCGATGTAAAGAAAGAGCTTACTCGAGTTCTGAAAAACTCCATGAGAGAATCTTCCCTGATTTACCGTCAATTGCAGGTAGTTCTGGACATCCTATCAAAATTTTTACGCTTTACATGTCGGTCCTCTATCAGCATCATCTTCCCAAATTAGCCTTACGAGTATGGGAACACGTCACTCATATTGGGATGCGACCAGATGCTGCTGCTCTTCAAGTGGTTATGACCGTACTGATTGATTTAGATCGATCTCATGAAGCTGTCTATCTATTTCGACAACATTCAAGACCTGGCAATGATCATCAACCACCCATTGTTGGTAGTTCTTCAGGTAACATTCAGGTTTTAGCTACCTATGCGAGGGCATTAGACCTAGCAGGTCATCATTCCGACGTTTATCATCTATGGAAGACTCTAAAATCTGATTGGAATCTGGAACCGGATGAACGAATCTTTGGAGCTTTGATCTCATCAGCTCGTAAACTCGCTCTCGCTTCGGTTTCCGAGCCATCTAACAATATGTTACAAGTATCATCTGATCATCTAAGTGATAGGCCACAAAGGGAAACGAGTGATGATTGGGATGGTAGACCGGCTGCTGAAGTAGCCATCAGATTATTTTGGTCAATCTTATATCAAAATTGGCCTAATATTGCTCAAACTGTTTCGGCTCCATTAAGGACAGCTTCAATTTGGAATGGAGTAGGAGTTCATGAGTTATTTCTAAGTCGTGTCAGAGGTCTTAGTCCACCTAGTCATTCAGCTCAATCACGTAACCAAACAACAAAATCTATAGAAAAATTATCAACAGCAGAAACAGTGATTCCTTCATTACAATATTCACTAGATTGGCCCATGTTGATACCTACACGTTATAGTTTTAGAGATCAAATTGAATTACTTGGGATCTGTAATCAATCACATTATATACCATTACTTTTAGGATGGATGAAAGCCTTGAAAATCAAACCAGATCAAGATTTAATTCTTAGAGGATATTATTGGATTTATCAAATCTCATCACCAATTCAAAATAGATTAAATTCATTAGATTTGTTTATTGAAGATTGGATTCAAGAATTTGATGGATTGAAAGTCGTTGTTCCTACGGATCGAATGATGGAATTACATTATCTTGATAGGTTTAAATGGAAAGCTGGATTCTTTAATGGTAGGACTAAAGTAGGTGATTGGATTAAAGATAAATGATGAACTTTTTGAGTCTTACGACGCAGTTATTGAAGAGTTTAAACTCTACAGATATAGATGGATAGATATTTGTATTTGAGTGATTGTAGGATCTCATTGACTTTGGACTTTTAAGCTATTGAAGTTTATCTCTTCATAGAAGCTTGCAAATTGATTGTCTTTTTCTGCGTGATGGGTGTTTGTAATTGTGAATCTTCTTCCCTTTTTTCAAGTGCTTCTTGTTGCAGGAGATTTACACCAGAACATAGACATACCACAATTAAAGTGAAATTGGTAGGACCTTGAGTGATTCTGAAATTTTCCAGTTGATCAAAACAGACCAAAGGATGATCTGGTGCAGTGAAACCGAGCCATCATGAGCCATGAATGTGCTGGTGGTTCACCAATTCTATATATGCACTAATCTATCGCTTGGAGCATGTTTGCCCTTTGAACCCGAGAAAGCCTCCTTCGCGTCTCCTCATCATGTCAATTTTACCTTCAACACCTTTCAGATAAACGATGCCCACTCATAACTCTACAATGCTCTCGATGATTTCTGATAAAGCACCACCTCAACCTTCTTTCGATTTTTGACTTTATCTGAGCGCACTGCTCTTAATCTCAGCCGCATTAAATCTCAACTGCATCGTCTTTCAAGATTCTCCTCATGTCACTAAACTTGGGTTTATAATCACATTTCTGGACTCTAAGATTATTGTGATTGAAACTGTAGATAGCTCCTGTGAAAGTCTACCAAAGATTGTCCAGCTCATAATAAGATATAAATGTCTATTGAATGAAACAATGAAGGAATGTTGTGAGCAGCTGTACAGTCTTACGCATTCAGAATGAGAGAACATAGTTGGTGCCTGCCATCGCAAAAAAATGAAATCATGAAAATCCATCAAAGCGTCCCAGACTACCATTTTAAATCATACCGCGGGCCATCCATCTGGAAAAGTCAAATAATTGTAACCAAAAACATTATCGGAGTCCCCAATGCCATTTTGAGGGTTTGTGTAGTGATAGTAGAGAAGGGGACCATTGGCAGTGTCAATTACACCTCTACCAAAGAACACCAATATCAATCAGTTTGTATTCGAGTGGAAAGGTGAGGGTAGGAGAAGTCACTCACTGTCCACCAGGACCATAAACATTATCGTGACTAGCCAATAGCGTTGTTCCTCCGCCTTTCAAACAATCAACGCCAGCTTTATCTAAAAACCCTGATGTAGGCGATTTACTACGGCACATCACGATCTTATACTCTTCACCAGCAGCCGGCTTCTTATCCTGATAACCGCAACATATACCGGCGGAATACAGAAGGTAATACCATCCATCGTGCTGGAACATTGAGGCTCCTTCCCCGGTATGAGCCCCGCTAGGGACGTATGCCACTTCGGTTGGAACGCTAGACCTGATTCTCTTGATCGGAGGTGACTTCATGGCTACTTGGTATATGCCATGGTTCCATGATCCAAAGACGAGGCTAAGATTCAAACAATGCATCGGTTCAGTGAACACAATGACATCGCGAGGAGGTATGAATGGACCATTTACTAAGAGTTATTTCCAGATATTAGGAGGCTGGGATCAATCGCGTTGTAGGGGGACCTGGCTGTAGATCTTATACCTATTGCTCCATGATCTGTCCATGAGCCTACCTCCATTGTTGGGCTTGTGGCGACACCGATCGCTGAAGTTTTCCTACCCCACTTGGAAACTGCGTAGTACATGTAGTATGTTGTGCCAACAAGAGTTACATCCGGTGCCTATGGCCTTTTTAAATGTCAGCGAAGGATCGAAATGAGGAATGAGAGTGCGCTGACCCATAGGTAATTGCTTCCTTGCATCTTCATCGTTGATCCACCCTCCAAGGCATCACCAACGTAGTTCCATGGCCCCTGAAGCGCGGATGCTTTCCATATCCCAATTCCATTCCCGGTATTGAAGCGAAACCAAGTGCCATTAGGATGTTGAACCAAGGAAGGATCGTGGGCAAAACAACTGCCTTCACACGGGCCAGGCTGGGAGTAAGCCTTAATGTGATTGAACAGTAGGAAAACCACGATTGAAAGATACAAAATCATCTTGAGCAGATACTGTGAATCTAGCTACGAAGAAAATGAGACTGAAAAAGAACACCAGAGGACACTGCCAGAGTCTTTACTGGCCCTTTACATTACTCAAACACATACATGATTCGAAAGACAGTTCAGATATTTGAATACGTGATCTGAAGTCTGAACGTGAAATGAACTTCTAAAGATAAAGGCTGATAAAGGTCAGCAATTGAGAAACACTTACACATCAGCTCACAAAGGCGCTCATACATCCGTGGATTTTGGGTTTCCCTGCCCTTGTGTCTATTCAAGGATGCGCCAACGGACGGACACGCCGAGCTCCACAGCCTAACCCTGTCTGACCATCGCCGTTGAGGCGGAGAAACGATTCATACAGACTGTTGTACATACGGGTCATACGACAGCTTTACCTCAGTTTATCTCACATTTTTTCACATTTCGCCTTTCAGCCCATTCAATGTACTACGCCCATGTGACAGATAAATCGTAATAAGTATATGTAGATAGTTGTTCGTCTTTACATCTTGGCCATTTCTAACCTCAAAGTCTTCAGCCCGATTTTGCGTATCGCAACCTTTTGAGAAAGAAAACTTGAAATTTATACTTGATTGGTTAAAAACTTGAGCTTTGAGCTCGCTTTCTTTGTCTGTTTTCATAAGGTTGCAAGAACCAAAATCGGAATGGTTGTAGTGGTTTACTTTTTCAATTTTTGGGAAAGTAGACATAAGTTGATAATGCAGCTTTAGAAGAATAATTATGTGGTTTGAAATTTGAGCCTGAAGATTTCTCCTCGCCATATGGGGTTCAACTGTTTTCTTTAAAATCTCTTCTCTTCTTTTCATTCTTCTTCCATGAAATTTTGTCCGCAGTGTGTTGAGCCTTTTGATTCAAGATGGGGGCGCGGCCCTTGAAAAGAAAGGTGCGCCTAGGCGTGTTTTTTGAGAAATGGGCGCGCTTGGGCGCCACTGGCGCGAAGGCGCGTCTTCTCATAGTGCAAAAAAATAAAAAATGAAAAATGAAATAATAAAAAATAAAAAAAGTGGAAAAATTACCGCAGCCACTTGAGGGGAGAATTATTTTGGTTTGTGGAACTGTTTGATGAGCCTTTGAAAAAAAAATCAGACAAAGAAAGCCTCAATTTCTCACCATGTGGCATACAGCTTTTTTAGGTGTGCCAAACTGATTTTTGGGATTGGTAGGCGCGCCTCATGCCTAGGCGCATGGCGCGCGCCCTGGTGTTTTTTTTTATTTTGCGCCCCATCCTGAATCATGTGGCCTCGCTACAGGCACAAGTGTGTCAGTAATTTATTCAACATTCCTTGCAACTTGAATGGGCAAGCACTGCAAGCTGGCTTCAATGTCAGTATACATTGTGTTTGTTATTTGTGAAGATCTTCAAAAGATAGTCACAGCTGCTGTACTCACCCATAGCACACGCCGCCAATCTTTGCTCCAGATTTGTTAAATCTGGGGTTGAGATTAGGCCTTGGCCCCAGCCCTGCAATTCCGGTGTCAGTCCTCGAGTGTTTTCTAACATAGAAAGACACCAAAAGGAACTTCACAAAATAAGAACATTTCATTTCACTAAATAATAATAATACTTGCAAAATCAAGAGAAGAATTCTCTACAACCACGTTTTAAGAATCTAATTTCAAAGATTCAATGTAAAAGGAAAAAACATATATACAAAAAATAAAATAAAACATAAACATCTTAAGGACCTAGTTTCGAAGGTCTACATGAAAATAATAACGACAAACACGAATAGAAAAACGTAATAGAAAATTACATTTGACATAATAAGCCAAGATATTTGCAACCAAGCTAATAATCTATAAAGAAAGGAACTAAGGAAGGACTTAGAAAAGAAAGTCTAATACTCAAGGAACCAAGTATACTAACAAAATAAGATACGAATTCACTAAGAGGAAAACTAAGACGTAATCGGACGGAATAGTCCTAAGGAATAGTATCACTAAAAGTTTGTTAAGCGTGTGATAAAATCTTTATCAAATAAGTATGAACAAGACAAGTCAAGATTTATGTAAAGATAATCAGAATGATTAAAGAAGTCAGATTCTCAGTCTGTCAAAAATCACGTAAGCTTGGTAACACGGGTGGAAATAAGAGTTATAAGCTGAATATTGAAGAAGCTAAACAAATATTCGAAATGCTATAAGAAGCCCCTATCCAACCATCACGAAATAGGGGCCATCGAATTTTTTACTTCTTCAAAATTATAGAAACAAGTTAGTTTCCCTTTCCAAAGCCCGGCTTATAAACCATTAGACTCTACTCTTATTTAGACTAGAATTTAACTCTTTATATGTTCCGCTTTTCAAAGTAGTTCTCTATCCAGCTTCTAAAAATCTTGAAATCGTAAAATAAAATGTAATTCAATAATTCCTTCCAGATTAGTGAATATTTCTGATTCTTATTGATCTTTAATTCTTCCCTAATTCTCCGTAGTTAGTAATTAGCTACCTAGCTGGATTAAGTTAACAACTTCGATCGATCATCATCCTGTTTATCAAAACTCAGAATACCTTCTTACCTGATCTAGAGTAAGTCCGTTCTTATTTGGTCACTACCTACAGTTCTTGCAACGTAAAGTTGGACGAGATCCCTGTATATCTTTGGATAACAGGCTACTCTAAGCCTCGAGCTTCAGAGAAATACCCGGGTCTAAGGATTGACCATCCTCTACTGTCTCTTCAGTAGGCCTGTGGGTACCTTAAAATTAAGAAATATATTAGTTCCAAATAATACATTGGTATACTAATATTACCGTTATCATCTTTGGTAGGAAGAAAGTATCATCAAGTATTCCACGTACCCAGAGGAAGACTTAGTCAGGAAACTACAGAGTAAGTGCTAGACTTTACCTGTGACCTTTTAGGTAGCCACCCTGACATCCGGGGACTCCCCAACTCCCGCCCCTGCAAGGTTGGGAGATGGGATGAGTGTTGGGAACAAACAATTGGCCGGGAGCTTGCAGGGGTGGGCTTTGGGGAAGCTGGAGGTGCCAAAAAGGGCTAAACGCAAGGCCTGCACAGTTAAACCTGCGCTGCGCCCCGGGAATTGCGGGGAATCCCCAACTCCGGCACTTGCAAGGTTGGGATCCGGGACCAGTTTTTGCAAAAGTTTTCCATCAGGGAATTTTGGGGGCGGGCTTTGGGAGAGCCAAGAAGGGCCGGGGAGGGGCCGGGGCAAAGGCCTAGTTGAGATAGGGGTGATGTATGGCTTTCACACGGTTGGGGTTGGATGGGTATGGGTTTAGGGAGTTGACTTTCAAATCCCAAACTGCCAATTGTCACTTTTGTGCCCCAAAGCCCAAAGAATCAATTCAAATTGAACAACCTACTCTTGTTTCAATCAAAATCAATTGCAAGGTATTCTTCTTTCTTCTTCTCAATCAATTTGTCTTACTAATTTGGTTTCCTGTTGTTTTTTTAGAATTGTCAAATCAAGTGTTCTCAATCATACACCCATAGCCTTCTGGGTATGTCAATCATCTTGACATATCTCCACTCAAGATGTCTTCATCCTAAGTATTCAACAAGTTGAGCTTTGTGATGTATCTTGCCAATGGCAATATCATGCCTACATCAAAGGCTTATTCTGATTTGCAATTTCTTAGCACAATTGCTTAATCTTGCCTCTTATATTGAAATCCAAAGGGGGCACCAGTCTTTCTTCAGCAGCTGTAGTGGATGGATCAAGACAAGCATGTGCAGATGTGATTTCTGGTAAAGCTCATAGATTAATTGTCTTGGTTGGTCCTTGTTAAATTCATGGTACACATCCCTCATCTTGCTACATTACTCTTTTGTGCTGCTTTAATGATTCCTTTGTTTTTTCTATAAGTTTCTCAATCTTGATTCAGATACTGAAGAAGATATTGATTATGCAAAATCATGTTTATCCAAAGTGGAACGGCTCCCCAACGTGGTCATCATCATGTGTTCTGTAAGTTCTTTAAATCATACTTGACCAAAGAAAAAATATATGAAAGAAAACTAGATCATGTGCATGATCAATCCAAATAGTACTTTGAAAAACCCAGAACCACTGCGGGATGGAAAGGATTCATTCATGATCCAGATTTAGATGGATCTTCTAACATCAATGAAGGCATCAGAAAAGCAGGAGAATTATCAAAGACTGTAACAGATATGGGAATGCCAGTTGGAGTTGAATTATTCAATACAATCAGGTAAGTCCCTGCCACCTCAAACGACACTCCTAAAAATGCTCATCATTCTGACCTTTGCAATGTTCTCCTTTCAATAGCCCACAATTTGCATCAGTTTTAGTTTCATGGGGAGCTGTTGGATCTGAATCACAATTGCATCAAGAATTGGCCTCAGGTGCCTGCCATCCAATTTGTTTCAAAAGCAGAACTCAAGGAGACATGCAAGTAGCCATCAATTCCATCAGGGCTGCTGCTCGTCCTCATTCTTTCTTAGGGGTTGATGATCTAGGTTTTGCTTCCATCTTTCACACTAGTGGGAATCCTGATGTGAATGTGATCTCAAGAGGTGAAAAGGTACCTAATTATGAAGCTGAATCAGTTAAAGAAGCTAGAGATCAACTTTCAAAGGCTAGGCCTAATTTACATCCTGCTATTGCTCTGATGGAAATTGTGGGTGTCTGATTTGTTCCTTGTTCTTTTTCACACTTATTGAGTTGTTTATTGAATGGTGAATGGCACAAAAAGATCATTGTCATCAAACCAAAGTTGTGAATAAAATATGTGAACAATTGATCAATGGTGATCAATCAATTGTAGGAGTTATGATCAAATCTCATATCAATGAAGGACATCAAAATGGTCCAATCCAAGGTCATTTGGCCCCCAAACCTGGTGTTTCAATCATGTTCCTTCTGCATTTTATACCACTTCTTCTTTTATGATGGCTACTGAAATTTTACTTTGGATTATAATGATGCCTGCATCAACTTTAAAACGACTATTGGTTTGTGCACTCAATTGCAATTGGCTGTTGTCGGTCAAAAAAAGCAGAAATCTGTCCCCATGGAACACCCTGTCAATACGGAAGCTTATTGAGCAAGGAAATAACCGTGTAATAGTTGATATATAACTGTAACAGGTTAATTACATATGATTTACATATGTAGGACAGCAGTTGACAATAGTAATCAAGAGAGAAATAGCAGAATAAAGACCAGATCTGTGGATACTAACACTAAAAGGGCTTATAAGGGACTTGTAAGGGCTTTTGGAGGTTGTTATGGACGGATTGATTGGTTTATAAAGCTTGGTAAACTTGATTGGTTATTGTAAAGGATGAGGAACAAAAGAAATAAGACAAAGGCAAGGGTATATATACCCAGCAGAACAAGCAGAAAGCGCACAGAAACATAAGAAAATACAAATAAGGAGGCTAATGTGAACATCTCCTGTTTACAACTGATCAATGATCCGTAGATGATCACATATGATCATTACAACAAGATCTGCGCGTGTAATGATCTACTTTTTAGTATTACTGATCTTTAATTCCCATGATCCCTGATTCACCCTTGTAATTCATTCTATTACAACCCTTCCTTTTAGCACGAGAGCCCTAGACCTTCCTTCTTGGCGGCCATCACATGCCAAGAAGATCAGTTTTAGATGAACAGCTACTAAGTTGGGTTCCCAATCCAACTTAGTTGCTTGAACTAGGACTACACATGGTTATTAGAAAGATTATCATAAAACAAATCACTTTAGGATCATCTTCCAAACTGATCCGTGAGTATTTTGTTTATTGAATATTGACCATCTTTTGAATACACAAAAATAGAGAAAAATAGAAACTGAATTGAAGTTTAAGAGAAAGTGATAAGTGAAAAAAGAATAGTAGAAATAAAGTACTATGTGTATTACTTGTGTAATTGATGATTACGCGTTTGTAACTTCATGTAATCATTTGTTACAAGTTCTTTCAGCTTATTACTACATGTAATTGTTGAATTACATGTAGTTATATGTATGTAATAAGGTTTGATTGTGAGGAAGGAGATATACGGCTATGTCCGTGTATGCCCTTCCTGGCACACCCTGCCAAGCAGCCAAGGATGCCAGGAAATGGCCGGGCTGAGGTTAAAATTGAAAGACTCACACAAAGCATCTACTATCCTGGACAATCAAATCAGTCCATTGATACAGACCTCCCCAATCCAATGTTATTGACCTCTTCTCAGGAACTCAATAGGTCACCCTCTTTGCGCTCATCAGACCCTCCATTGGACCCTCCTGTTTGGTCTTGCAAGCAACTAGCTCTTGTGCCTCCTGGAAGACTTTGTCTTGCTAGAAGCCATACCCTCCTGAGCAATCCTGATGATTGTCTTGACTTAGGTTCCCAAAAAGACAGACCCATCATTTCCTATCAAATGTCAGAAGCCAATAGGTTGTCAATCAATGAAATCCACAGGCTTGCAGGCCTTCCTTCAAAGACCAAGCTGGCAGAACCCTCTCACTGGATCTACAACAATTTCCTGATGCCTTTCCTATTACTTATCAACCTAATACAAAAAAGGCCAATTATGGGAGTTGATAAGGCCAATTATTCTTAGTCTCATTAATGCTGAGACAGTTGATCATCTCATGTTCGGCAAATGTGGAGTGGTCAGGGTTGTAAAATGGATCCTTGAAGTGATCAAGCATGCAAATTGGGATGAGATTTGTGAAGAGGGAATAACCTCAACTTTTAAGATCTTACACAATCACCTCAAGAGCAAATTGTTGCCATCAGAAGATCTTTTCTCAATTGAGAATTATTCAAATCAAGATCAGGCTCTTTTGTCCACACCACCAGCCTTTGATGTGTATTATAATTCCAACCAAAGGTGAGGGTTTATAATTGAATAGGTCTTATAGATGTAAAGTGTTGTGTAGCTCAAGTGAAACAGCTAATCCTGAGATGTCACTTGAACAAGAGGAACCGTGAAGGTCAAAGTGTCACAGAAGGAAAACTCCGAAGAGTAAGAATGTATGAATGGATCTAATAATGATATTGATTTCTATGACAAGAGAAGAGAAATGAATCCAAGCAGGAACCTGATACATTATATACAAGATGCTTCATGCTGAGGATAACAGTGTAGAGGCTAAGTTCTTACAACTGAGCACAGAAAGAAAAGACTCAGAGAATGAGCATCATGGCTGAGTGCCAAAAACACAGACAATAAGTGATGAGTATCTTGTGATACACTTTATGTATCAACAGGTCTACCATCTCTCACTAATCATTTTGTGATCTCTTCTCCCAATTAAGCCATATCATTTCATTTCCACTCATTCTCAAAGGGACCCTCAATCACAACCAGTTTCTATAGGCACTTTCTGATTACAAAAAGTAGACATATATGAAGGTGTTTCTGTCAGCCCTGAGCCCTATGTACAGGACCATGGACTAAAAAACACACTTGTAAGTATATGTAAGGACCCCACTATTTAGAGCCCTTGGAACAGTATCCGAAGCCCTCTTTTGGGTCGGACCCGAGGCTACAAACAAATCAGGCGCCCCATTTCCAAGAAGGGGCTCCACAAGGGGCTCCATTTATTTATTTAATCTCATCATTTCTCTATCCTCATCATGTGCCCACCCATGATCTTAATTAATAAACATTGAATTGCTGAGATAGTCACCATTGAGCAAGCCTTGCTCTCTCAATCACCTTCTGGTTGACTCAAGCTTGTTGAATAAGTTTCTAACCCATTTTTCATACATCTGATTGCAATTGAGATCAAAGTTCAAGTTGAGAATGAGATCACTTTGAACAGAGCACTTCGAGATCACTGACCTCTTGGTCAGCTATTGCATGAGCTTGTAAGTCATTAACCGCCAATCCTTGTAAATGAATAGCATTGGCTTTGTTCTTACAAAGACAATGTTGTTTGTGAACTTTGACAACTCTAGAGGTAACCAAGACATGACAATACGTACAACACGTATATTTAGGAGCCCGATGTGGTTGTTTTTGATCTTCATGATGAAAAGGAGAAGGGAAATTGATTGAAGGTTCATGACTAGGAAGATGAGAACAACTACTACTCTCGATCGAACTGTCAGTAATGTTAGAAGGATGGTTGAGTAAACTTTTGGAAGTGTTAGCTAAGATTAAATGGTGATCACTTGTAGTAGTAGTAGTAGAAGAAGTATTTCCGGGTGAATAATTCAATTGATCAAATTGATTGAGTGAAAAGGTAATGGATGGTGGTGGTGGAAACTTGATGGGATTAGAAGGAGAACATTGAAAATCTTGAATCGAGTTTGTAAGTGTGAGGGAGAGATGAGAACTTCTGTATGTAAGCGTATTGCTGGGCACTTGAAGGGCCAATATTGTCCGTCATGCAAGGGTCGGTCCAGGCGCCAAACAATTTGGGAGCCCTTGCATTTGTTTTTGGCATATTTTTTGCCCAATCAATGATGAAGGGGCTCCAAATACGTTAATTGATGGTCCAAAAGGGGCTCATTTGTGATTTTGTGCCCTATTAGGGAGCCCTTGAGGTCCAAACATGTGTTATATAGGCTGAAAAAAGTGGGGTATCAACGGGTCACGCGGGTTTTAGTGAAAACCCGGGGGGGCTCCGGATATCAGCCAAGGGGGCTCTAAATAGTGGGATCCATATGTAATACATATGTAAATATATGTAACTTGTCTAGTGCCATTAAGATTACAACTCATGGCTCAGTATCAAGGGTCACTTAAGCAATAAGACTTACCTATGATCTAAATAGTAAAGTTAAACCCTAACCCAGGACAATCAAACCTAAGTGCCAACAACAAGTTGACACCTAGGACTTGGGATATATAACCCCTCCTCTTCCCACTTTGGAAGAGAAAACCAACTTCATATCATTCCACAACACAACTTCACAACTTACTTATTTCTTCACAAAGAATATTGAGTAAAGTGATACTGTTGTATTTTGATTATCTTCCTATTGTTCAGGTCCTTGTAGAACCTCAAGTGGTGTTCTTAGCTAGTGGGAGAAGTAGCTACAAGAACAAGCTTGGAATTTACATCTGGTTTCCTCTATCAAAGAGTATAAAGTACCCCTGCGGCACCTCTGATACTTCAGATTATGAAGTACTGCAGGCTCCATAGTTGTAACAACCAGAGCTCAGAACCAAGAGAAACAGATCAGCCATCCCACTGGCACTAAATCCTCCTATTAGAGGTCAAGTAACTGTAGTCTTCACTTGGGTTTACCGAGTGAAGACTTTACTGTAGTCCGTACTTCATCTCTTAGTGAAGAGTCACTGACCCTAATTTTGAATTTCACTGAACTTGCTTTTGCCCTAGATAGATATATGTTCACCCCAGGTGAAGAAGCAATTTGGTGTAAACCCACCATCTTCAACTTTGATAGGATCACACAAGGTATTGAGGCCCCCAAATCAGTCATTTCGAGATACAAATGTTGTCTCTGGAAAACTCTCCACAAATTCTATCAGCCAAGTGGAATGGGTTTGGGCTTGGGTTGCTGTGGCAACTTGGATATTATGCTTATACTGCCATTTGGCAAGTCTATTAGTGTGATGGTACATGTAAAATGGAAAGAGATAATGTGTGATGATACTGAAGGAAAAGAAATAAGCAAAAAACTGGTGATGACCTGAGCAGAAACATGAGCGCCTGTGAGGTCTGCGGGTGGCACATTTTTATAGGTTTACAATGTTTTTAAGCCTTTTTGGCTTTTTTCAAAGAGATGAGAAAACAACAAGGAGGTTATTGGATTTTCAGACACATTTTAGTGCTAGACAGGTACTGAACAAATAATTTTTTCAAACCCAAATGCTAGTTTGAACTTGTAAGGGTGGGTGAGAGGCAATCAAAAATATGTGATGTTTTTGACAATAGATAGCAGAAAAGAGTCTTGGATAAAGGAAAGTTGCAGAAACACAAAATAACTATTTGGATGATAAATGATTTCAATGGGAGGAAAGGTTTTTGATGGGAACAAGTGTGTGTCTTATAGGAATCTTTTTTCCTCAACCTTTGACGTCCATCATTTCCCTTGTGTGAGAGATGAAGGTCACATATGAGAGGAGTGGTTGTCTAGGTTGGGACCTGAGTGCTTGCACTGCCCAAAGCCTTTCCTACCCCATTCCCATGTGTCAATACTTGTACCGACTCTCAGGAACTTTATGCAAGCACAGAATGTCTTATGTCCTAGCAGCACTCATGCTCATTGGCCCCAGTATTGATAAGCCAATCACTATCCCTGATCTTACCCCCTTGCCAGCCATTTTCCTCAGCTCTTGTAATGCTTTCTCATGCCGGGAGCATTACAAATCACTCTCATCCCTGTGTTGCAAAGGACTAGAAGCAAAAAAGAATTCTAAGGGTTCTCAATCTTGAGAATCTTTACAGACTCATCACCATGATCTACCAATTGGTGGAATTGTTTGCGACTATATGGGCTACAATAGATGATGAAAACACATTGGCCCAACAGGACCTCATTGAGCTCAAATCTCAATTGAACCTGGTCATCTCCCTGCACGGGCTGGGTTTCTCTGCACAGGGGTTGAAGGTTTGATGATTGTTCCTGTTGATAAGAACATGTTCTCCCCATGCCAAGAAATCAACTTCATACTGGTAACAAGTCACCTAGCAAGACCTGAAGACCAGTTCTTGGAACCAGTTTGGAAAAGAACTCATAGTATTATGCTAGAATCTTTGAAGGCAGTCACTCAATCCAGCCAAGCCTGGGTGCCACCACCAGAACTCAACCAATACCAGCTATCAAAGGCACTGTTTCTTGGTTATGTAGGATTTTGGCTTTCACAAAATTCAAACATCACCGCCATCCCAATACCCAAGCAGTACAAATATAAAATTAGAAAGGAGAAACTTGATTGTTGAGATATCCCATCTTGGTATATTTTCCTTTGTTTAATTTAGCTTTACATATTTTGTATATCTTTCAGTTATTTTGGTTTTGTTGTCAGATTTTCTATTGCCCTTGCATGGTGTTGAACCACTATGATGAAGTGATGTACATTGATCAAACTAAAATGCCTGATTGACATCATCCTGAAAAACAATCAAACCTCAAAAAAGTATTGAACACTTTCCTTTGCATTTGAGGGTCTTCAACTAGTGGAGTTGATTTATCTACCATGTGATTCTTGCAATCAAAACATCTATTCAATTAATTATTCTGATAGTTTTGAATAAAATGACTGGCATAGTGATAGATCTATCAATTTTTACAAACAACATGCATGTGTGCTTCGAGGATTTGTCTTGAAAGTCTTCAATACAAAAAGCACATGACAGATTCTCATCTTAGAGGACAAGATTGGAGTCTGGCTGCTCAATTGTCCTTGAAAAAAAAGGTGCTTACCTCTTGTTTGTTTGAGCTTTGTTGAGCATGTTGCATCTTGCATTGCACATGGCTCTCACCTTGTTGGTAAATTGTTCTGGAATTTTAACAACAGATAGAATGTTTTTGTGGATTATTGGATTTGTCATGATTTGGTGCGCGCAAGCAAAAACACCTAGACCGTGACAGGTCTGTGGATGACCTTGTGGCACGTGTTGCCCAAATGCAAATTAGGTCACAAGTCCACGGGGCAGCTCTGATATTCATCAATTCTTAAAACACTTTGATCAACTTAAGAAGCACATAAACAAGCCAACAAAAGACATCTCAAAATAATTCAAAAGGATTTGAAGATACATATCAAATGTATCTCTAGACAAAAGGAGACCAAGTGTTTATTGAAAATTATCCGGAACAAAAAGATGAGACTTATGCTGAGGCACTTGCAACTTTATCCAACTAGGGCTTCTCCATCAGGTTTTGTGGTTTCCACACTTGGGGAAGCCTTCTCGCCATCAGGTTTGGCTTCTCCATCAGGTTTGGCTTCTCCATCAGTTTTTGCTTCTCCATCAGTTTTTGCTTCTCCATCAGTTTTTGCTTCTCCATCAGGTTTATCGTTGTTTGGAGCTTTACCGTCCCCTGATGGTTTGTTGTCACCTTGGGGCGCGCCTTCGGAAGGTTTTGATTTGTCTAGACTGGCTGCAATGGCCGCAAATGCCTCAGCTGCGAGGCCATCACTCATCGCGAAGAGCGTGCGATAGCTTGCATCCAAAGAATCGTAATTCTTCTTCATGACACTATTTCATACACCGACGAAATTGATAAAGGCTTCGATCAGAATTCATTATCATGATTAAGAAATAATCACTCACGTCACATCACTGGGCTTCGCCTTGATTTCCTCCAGAGATTTCCTATGAGGTGGAGAGGAAAACGTTATTGAATGCAGCAAGCCTCTCATGGATATAAGATTGACTCACTGCATAGTTTGAGTAGCGTCTGTCGAATTTTTCAAAGCCGAAGCGATCTCGCCATCCTTCTTTTCAACGTCTTTGAGCATATCGGTTCGCAGTTGTTCTCCTTTTGGTAGCATCTTTATTACTGTGTCAACACCGCTGATAATGTCTGACTCCTTTGCTCCAAGGCTGGTGATACTTTCTAATGTGGCACCCATGTCAACCATCAAGTCATAAAGATCACGAGCTGCTTTACCAGCTGGGGAATTGTCTATGAGTTCGTCCCTTTTCAAATCTTCTGGACTGTCACCATCTTCAGAATCGTACTCCGGTTCGGCAGGCTTAGAAGCAGGAGGCTCGGAAGTGGAGGTTCCAACAACAGTCGCCTCAGAGCCTGCGTGTTTAGTTCCAACCAGAGCGGGATCACCCGTGACTGCAGTGGCGGGTGCTTCCTCGCGTCTATCTAGCCCTAGAGTTTCTGTTGCGGAATGCTCGAGATGGTCCATCCTTCGCTTAAGCATACCATGTTGAGCAGCTCCCTCGACATGAGAGCAAAGGCCAAAGACGGCCACCAAGGCCAATGCAGAGCGACAGACTGATTTCATTTTCGAGTAGAATACCAAGGTTTGATGAAGAAAAGCTTTTTGGGATTAAGAATATCGACTTTCAATGTCTAGCTTGAACCCAAGATAATAGTGGAGGTGAGAGTGCTGGATAAACTAGGGGGATTGGCTTTGAAGGGGTTTCCACGCAACTACTGCTTGTCCAACGTACATTTATAGAGCAGATGAGGGCAAGGATGACACGTGGGAGGCAATTGATCGCCCATCACTCGTCGAGCCGGTCGTCTCTGGAGGTAATGATTGACAAGTGAACCTCGAGAATCGTTTCTCGATTTGAAGGGATTTCATGAACCTGATCCCATGGTTTCGAAACAGATCTGTTCAAAATTGACAAAGCTGTGCGCTTGGATAGTGTCCAATTGACTGATCATTGAAAATTTCCTCAGCGTGACGACGTGCTTGTAGTCTCTTGATGATATCACGGTGGTGATACGCTAACGGGCAGGATGGAGATGAATGCACCTAGAAATGGCCGCTTGGTTTATACGTCACAATTCACTTGGTCCTCTAGACTGTCTGATGCTGTTGTTATCGACTGATAGTTGAGAAACAAGATCCTCCATATACATCGCGCATGACTTCGGTCAACATGCCACCGATCATTAAGCAATTACTTTTGCGTACATCAAATGAAGATCAATCGCCTGATCTCTGTCGTGGAGGGTGAATTTCTGATGTGCCTACAAAATTCCCATCATAACATGAGTCGGGACAAAAGTCAGATATGAATTTGATAACTGAATTCTGGAAAATGAGGAGTCAAGCCGATTTCGAACGACCGAGGAACGAGAAACAGGCAACGCAGTGAACTTGTGAAGCACAGGACAAGGTGGATGTGGATGACGTTCACTCTTCACTGAAGTGATACTTACTCCATCCGATCTTTTGGGAAAGAGATATTCATACATGTTCTCGTATTATGAATCTCAATTATTAATTCAAAGGTACATGCCCAATTCTGTTTGAAAGATGGATGATCCAACTCAACTAAGACCCATGCAGAGGTTTAACATAGCGAGCAATGCCTTAAAATCGTTAGATGAATGCCGAGCAGAAGTTCAACACGGTCAAGAATAAGAAAGATATCTGCTGGAACATGACAGCTTGATGATATGGTGCTTGTATGAAAATCAAAAAATTGGACCTTCAAGTGATTTTTCGAGTGCATTATGAATCAGATTTTATGACTCTGTAGCCTGGCTCAGTAGAGCAACGTGTTTGTGTACAAGATATGTCACGAAATGTTTGGGAAGAGAAGGCGAGAAGAAAGGACAAAATTGAATACAAATGAGGTTACTGCATGGATTATTGATGATGCGGATACTTCTCACCACTACTTCAAGTGCTCTCACTATAGTACTTTTCATCCGTGCAAAGCCTGTTTGTGATATGTGATATCATAAATGGGCTAGGCTAGAACTACCATCAAACTTCACTTGTGTTCCCATCAAAAAATCAGATCTGACCCAATGATGGTAAACAAGTTATACGCATGGCAAGGTAACTAGTAATGAAATCAAGACGTCATATATTTGTGGACCAGTACTCTATGGATATGTTTGAAGAAATGTACAGGCAAGTGTGGAGGTGATTCTTTAGTTCAACACACTACATACTTAATCTCATCTGAACTTTACCTTATCTTTAAGTAATAAAACCTCAATGTTATAAGATTTGACACAATGAATCATGGGCAATATGTAGTCAAAAGTATACCATTAGATTTGAAACATTCAAGAATTTGAAAGTAGGGCTCAAAAAGGAAGGTTGCCATAGAATACACCCTGTTCTGGATACTAAATCTAATAAAGGGGATCTTGTAAGAAATCTTTGAAGAAGATTGACTCATCATCTGCAACCACCTCCAAAATACATCTCAAAAACATATCACATAAAATGAATTGTTTTTGGTTTGTTGTGTTCTGCTTTCAGGCAGGATGCATCTTTCAATACATACCAGATTACATGAAAGCAACTCCTCCACTGATTGAAGAATCTAAAGGCAAAAGCCATGAAGTGTTGAGATACTTTTCACTACTTAATCCAACACATAAAACAAATCTCCCAGGGAATATCATTGAATCAAGGTATGATATCTATTCAAACAGAATATCAATCTGGTCAAATGCCAAAGTGTTTGCCAGAAAGGCTTTCTTTCAACCAGATCTCAAAGACTTTGGAAAATATATCATTCTGAAATCCAAAGTCATCTCTGAATCAAGGAATAGTGAAATAATTAATTTGATTCAAATGATGGGGGAAATTTCTGTCCATACAATCTATATCCCATTCCTCATGGAGAATTTTTTTCCAGATATCATGTTGAAAGGTGGAATATATGACCGGACAATTAAATTGACACTGAGATTGTTACAAAGCCCAAGTGTGGGTATGAAAGAACACTTGTGGTTATTAGGTTTATTGAAGATATTGAAAGAGCAACTTCCAGCAGGGCATTTAGCTCCACTGAGGGAAGACATCAGAGAAGGACCCATCTGCCAGGGAATGTTAGAGTTTTTTTATACTCAGAGTGAGAGTTCCTTTACCAAATATGTTCCTCTTTGATAAATTTATTCTGGAGATCTTTGACATCAACATTTGAATCATCCTCTTTAACCACAGGACTTAATTTGGTACACATGGTTGAAAAGGTCTGGGAAGGTGGTCAGCTCTCTCCATATGAGAACAGAAGTGAGGAGCATCTCAAATTTTCACATGTTATTTGTTCCAAATGATTGACAAAAATTTGAGTGTTTACAGGTATATCAGAGGCAACTGACAGGGTAAGACTGATATGTAAGGTCAGGTCTTGGATTGATCTGGAACAAAATGCATCACACTTCACCACAACATTCCTAGAGCTTTATGACAATCTACTGCTGGAAAGTTGCCCAATTACAACAAGAAAGTCATTGTATCTTGTATGCAAATGTTTGAAGCATGGAACAAATATCCTCACACCAGAAAGAGAAGTATTGGCTACCTGTTGGATGATAAAACATCTTGAAACCTACAGCACCAAGGTCCAAGATGTCCTACAGCCTGTGCTACTAAGAGAAAAGGGGTTTCAAGATCACTATTTCAAACAATCATTCCATATTGATATTGAAGCATTTCTCTGTAATGGAAACCTTGACTTGTATCCTTACATTGGACATCATTTCTCAGCATTCACCAACTTGTCAAAAGTTGCTTTGAGAAACTTTGAGGAAGTACTGCATGCTTTGAAAGTCCAAGAGAATGAAAATGCTATACACAACATCCATGATTACATCGAAAAAAAGAAATATATCCTGCAGTCATTATTCAAAGTATCCTCACACATAAAAAATGCATCTGTATATCTCAATAATGAATTGGAATGGAGAGGTGAGTGTATTTAATTGGCAAAATTTTGCTTTGAAATCATTCCGGGTTGCAGCCTTGTATCCTTACAAATAAACTTTGTCATTTGATTCAGACAAGGAGCAAGGATACAAATTTAAATCAGACCTTCCCCCCAAAACAAAAGAACTACATGAAGACCATGGCTGTGTGATTTGTTTGGAAGGTTTCTTTACAGGAGAAGGTATAATCCAACTGAAATGCAAAGGGAAACATAGATTCCATTACAGTTGTGTCATGGTATGCATATGGCCTTCTTGAAGAGATATTGATACTCAATACTAACCAAGATAATTTCTGATTATATTCATTTCTTTAGAAAATGGTACACACTCAGACACTTGGGGGCACGGTCCAATGTCCTATGTGTCGACATGAGATAAATCTACCTTTAACTTATGATTGTTACACTTTTTGGCAATACCCAGGGACCTTTCCTCAACTGGGAACAAGCAACTCTGACATGTAAAGAAATGTGTTTGGTGATTTCCTTGTTTGTGAACCAAAAATAGCTTTCCTTTCAGCTCATCTGATAGGCCTTGTCACTGTCCATGCTGGTAGATTTCTCAGCAATGATACCATGGTATATTCCTTGTTGGTAGTCTGTCAAAAATGGTATCAAGGTGAGAACTGTGTAGAATAAAATTAATCACCTACCCTTTGAATAAGTCTTCCTTCAAGCACAGCCTCTTTCCCTCAACTGTGATTCCACTATTTTTCTAGTACCAAGATGTTCCCAGACTTGATGGGATTATTTGGGCTGCTTATTCTTGTTTCTTGCTGCTTTTATCATATGTACATTTCCTCCTTTCACAAATCAATCGAAGCCATTCCAAGAATGTTCAATCACAAATTGACCACGTACTTGCCCTTGTAGCTAGCTTAAACAACTTTGACTGCTTTCTTTGATCTTTTCATCTCCGCTCCTGATTTCCATCTGGGCCACGGCTTAGCTGCATATGATCTTGTAGATTTGTTAAAAACTCTTCTCAAAGGACAAAAAGTTTCCAATTGAGAGAAGTTTTACAAATGATATATTTGCCAAAATCATATGGACATAAATAGTAAAAAGTACATGAAAAGCTCATGTCATGGTCCCATCATTTCTCTTCACTTTAGCCGCTTGTGGCTAGATGCCCTTTCATTTCAATATCTTACTGTATGCAGGACTGTCCAGGATATTGTTTTCACTCTTTGAATCATCAATCAAATCTAGTACCCTTAACTGATACTTTTTCTTCAAGACTTCCAGAGATCCGGTGATCCAGTCATCTTCCATGATCTCGGCCGCCGAGCAGCGTTTTTTCGGATCAGACTCAAAGATTTTTTTCAACAATGATTTAGCTAAAATGAGTTTCGAAGTCAATATTTTGTTTCATGGACTGAGAAGAAAGAGATAATCAAGGTAAATTTGGTTTACCCTCACGATGTGCCAGATTTGTGAAAGCTCTCCTTCTGCAATCTTTTCCCAGAACGGTCTTCACAAAGCCTACTTCATCGGAATTGAGATGTATTCGCAACTTATCCCCCACAGTCTGACGACCAGAACCAGAGCTTGTGGCACCAGTGTCAAAAGGGTGACATCCACTACAGAGTCAGTCCTAGTCAGCTTTGTATTCTGATGGTCTAAAGACAAGATGCGGAACATTACCATAACATCATGTAAAGACAGATTCCCAGAGACCATACATCTGCCTTCTTGCCATCATATCCTGCAAATGGAGAATTTGGGCGTATGGAGAGCAGCGATAAATGCATAACTTGAACTGCAAAAAACGTGTTTTGCAACCTACATACCCTCTGTTCGTGTATAAACTGTAAGAACTTCCTATGAGCGAAAGATGAAGGTCAGAATGATTGCTGATTCAACGGAAGATATATCATGCGGCGAGGTGCCGAAGATGATCCCACTTACCGGAGCTGCGTATGACATCGTACCTTGCATACTACAAAATGCCTTATCTGCCAGCCGCGCTGCTCCGAAGTCAGCAAGCAAGACTCTCGGCTCTGGCCCAACGCTTGCGAGGAGAATATTCTCGGGCTTAAGATCTGAATGGCAAACAGGTAAGTTTACTTCAGCATCATCAATCACCCGTTCAATCATGTTCGCGGGAGACCCTACCACGGTGAGATATATGTGCTACGTCATGCATGTACTATATGACAAGTCCGAAGAGAAATCAGCAACCAAAACCAGTGATATTGGGTGAAATTTGCCTCTGTAGACACCAAATGCTACTCAGGCTACGTACTATAACTGCCTTCAGGAGCTGGTAAAGTATAAATTGTGCCTCTGGAACTGCAAGTCTCTTATGGCGTACGACGTAACCGAATAGATCTCCGCCGGTAACAAGCTCCAGGAAAAGGTATCTGAGGTCAAACTTACATTCAGTGTCTAGGCATACTTCCACTCGAGCCTCGTTTAAACTTACATCTTCTCTGGATCCTCCTTAAGATCAAGGATACGATTGATATTGGGCTGCCAAACGATTCCGAAGAATAAGCGTAGTGATAGATGAGATGAATGATAGTTTTTGATGTGAAGAAGGATACCAGCATACATGGTTGAGGCTTGCGTTCAACTGAACCTCCTGGTTGAGTACCTGGCGAAACTTTGCTGTTTGGGTTGGGCCACCCCTCGTCGGCATCCGACGACGAATGATCTTACAAGCAATTTGCCGATTAGATTTCGATGTGTCGAGCGCCAGATGGACAACGCTGAAGAAACCAGATCCCAGTACACGTTCGGTGACCATGTACGGTCCAATTTTCTTTGAGGAGAGAAAATGTACAACTATGTCAGCGAGAACAACTGATAATTTGTGGAGATACTCACAAAGGACCCGAAGGGCTTCTTATAATCTTCTCCTGGTAGTGTGTGAACGCCTTGCCATTGTCCTGGCGGAGATGAGTGAAAATATGTAAACTCTAGAAACAAGAGCTGTTCAGCTTTTGCAAGTCTAGGCATTCGAGAAAAGATCACCAACTTTCACCCGAGAGCTCTATGGTATCTTTATTGTTAAGGATCACAGCGCGCTTGTGAACAACCTGACTATTATAGCGAATACCATTTGTGGATGTATCCTATGAGCAAAGATAGTTGAGTAAAAATCAAACAATCGTGGTCCACGCGCATACAAGGCAAAAATGACTTTACCTCAAGGCAAACCAACCGCTCGCCAGTGTCGCACTCAATCTGATTTTCAAAGAGCTGATATTAGGTCTACCGTTTAACCCTCACCCACATAGTTTGAAAGGAATAAAAGGATTGAAGAACGCGACGAACCGCATACAGCTTGCAATGCCAAGATGAGATTGTGGGTTTATTAATGGTCAGGTCTGCATTGGAATTTCTTCCAACTCGAAAAGGTCCTTCATCAACCTTGATGATAATAACTACATACGTATAAGCCCTTGAGATCAGCAATGAGAAAAACAATTCCTGATAAGCCTGAATGACTCACTTATGATGTTGCCCGTGTCACCCGAAGAAACTATCCTACCGGCTTCCCCAGGTACTGGTGGTACTGATGGAGGGTTCGAAGCCTTGTGAGATGTTTGATCAGTTGGCTTTGGAATGGGAAGACTCATTTCGACCAAACTAGATGACAAGCTTCCGTAATTAGCCAAGAGAGAAGAGGTCTGCCTGTTGTGATCATCATCACTTGGACCACCTGACACCATGTTTATGGGTCGTTTTCGATTATTGGACGCGGAGAAGCGAGTAAGAGGAATATGGTCTGAACTCTCAGATGTGATGAGCAATGGCTTTTTCTTCTTACGAATAAGATGCGAAGGATCGCTTCTCTTTTGAGAGTGCGTAGAAAGAGAATTGGAAGCAAGAGAAGACTGAATGGCCACGGAAGGAGCCATACTCATACAAAAAACTGTTGATGATAGAGATTGAAACCGTGACGGATGCAAGGTCAAGTAAATATATCGCCAGATGTGAAGTATGAAGAATTGTTTTAATTCGCACTCGGTCAACAAGAAAACTGACGACTCTTTCTCATATGCATGTTACGAGAGTCTAGTCGATAGGATGTATCATGCTTGAAATCCAATTACCAAGGAGCGATCATACCCAAATAGGATTCAAGTTGATCGGAATCTGTGAAATTCAAACTGATGATGTCTTTCAAGAACTCTTTGACCGGCCATCTCGTCTTCGTTCACTCTAGAGTCTATATGCGTGCTCAAAACCATTCCTTGTGACATCCTTTGTCAGTTTGACAGTATATACCTACACTGAAAAAAGGCTTATCAATATGTACCTCAAATCTCATCGCGGATCTGCAGAAGTAACTTTGAATTAAGGTCTTGAGGGATCTCTATTGCATAATCGACTCTGTGATCTCATCGTTATTTTCTTTTCAAGGCTATGAATCTTAGGTGCTTTCATTGCTCCCACTTTTTTGTTTACTTCTAGATAATTATCTCCATCACAACCTATTTCCACTCCTATCAGAGCATCGCCACCAGCGACCCTGGACTGTCAATTCACGTAACGTGTATTTGACATGTCCAGGTCAGAATTCAGATTTCACGATCCACCAGTGAAATAAACTCCCACCGTAGGGCAGCTGTCCGAGTTTTTTCGACATCAGCACCAGGTCTCTCGGTCTTGACCCTCAGGTTCTTCGGGGGCGTCTCAAAAGCTTGTGTTACACGATTTGAGCAACCGTGTAACTAATTTTGCCCCATTCGATACATTGTTTTCTATTAAAATAACTTTATCATTGTTGTGGCAGTGGTAATACGATAAATACCTTCCACAATGATATGTCAATTATTCATCTTGAAGCCAAATGTGAGCATTGACTGGGAGGAAAAAAAGTAGAGGCATTGAGAGGGTAAGTTTGAGTTTGTTGTCCAAAGGTTATAAAGCCACACAAACATTATTCACTGCATCCGCTTGCTCACATCTTATTTCCACCTCTCGCCTAGAAAAGGTCAAGAACATCATTAAGTTTGCACGCATCTATTCCCTCGCTCCATCTCGTTCGGAATGAATCATATGTATAATGATGATAGGCCACCATCAGGTCAACGTACGTGCTGCTATGTTTAACATGGCGTGCGTAAGAACGCGGAGGAAGGGTTACGGTCTGGTCCAGGGTGTCCGGTGGCCGTTGCCCTTCCTGAAGGGAAAATACAACGTGTCACACGTCGGAAATACTGCCCTGTATGACTGGTTGCGGTTCAGGATTGGTGGGGATGCTCTCACAACTCTTTGTTTTTACACATTTGGATTCTTCTAACTTTCTTCGCGATTACATATTTTCTTTTCCATATTTCAAATCATTACATGATCCAACTTGTTGATTGACAGGTGTCGATCCTCGACGGACGAAACATTCATTCCACGATGCCAATCATTGAACCATGGGCTTGTTGGATTGCTGGGTGTGTTGTATCCATAGGCGGAGGAGTTGGACCCAGTATGTCTATGGCCGCGTTCACTTAAGCACATTTTTGCAAAAAATCGCTTTTTTGAATGTTGAGAATTCACATTCTGTGGAATGCGTTTGATTTCTTATTTACAAGCATTCTGTAAATCACAGAATGCTTAAAAAAAGGCTTTTTTCATCGCTTTCCAAGAATTCGATAATATCACATTTTTCCCTCTAGAAATCAAATTCTGTGATTTATTTTCTCAACCTTTCCTGCCAATTGATATGTATATACACTTTTCCTGAAATACAAGGTACCTTCCACCGTACAGAACCCTCTCAAAATCCTTCTCAAAACCCATCCTCCATCACCATCCTCGATCGATCCCATTCTCAATTCAGCTTGTATATCGATCATTCGATTTTTGTTTCTCATTCTCACCCCAAGTCACCTTATACAGCATGCCAAATCCAATAAATGAGGAAGAGTCGATTGGAGACTGTGTTGTATTTGACGTGACTTTCTAAACGACTTCTGTTTTCAGATGAACAACAAGCAGGAGTACATATCGATTTGAGAAAGTGCACGCAATTGACAAGTTTGATGATGATTCTTGTTTTGTAAGAGAATATAGGGTCTTTGCCATCACTCAGAGGTTGAGAAACGTGATCTAAGATGATAGTAGGTGTAGCAGGACAATGTTGAGTCCAGTATTGAATGCTTTAATGTCGATTGAAGGATCTTGAAGTTGATGATAAGCGTTGAGATGATTTAGTAAAGAACGGAAAGAGATCAACATGATCTACACATGAAAACTTCGCTTAATTTCTCTTTAATCAAACACTTCATGACCTCTTTTGTCAAGAAACTTGAAATTTCATTTTTTTACAAAATTCGCTTTTCTACATGTAGAAAAGCGGTCAAGTAGAAAGCGATTTCTCCAAAGCCGGCTTAAGTGAACGCGCCCTATATGTCAACGTGGGGCATTAGTCAGTCAAGCCTAACATGAGCAACTTCAAGATTCAATTAAAAACCAATGACATACTCACGGGTGTACTGTCGTTTTTGAAAAGCTTGTCCAAGTTTGCCCGCAAGACTGGAGCAGCTTGGCGGGAAAACTCGGACAAGCTTTTCGAGAACAACAGTAGTACATATCTGATGCTATAGCATCTTGAGGTGACTCTTCACCATGGACATGATCTGGTCCTGTGGGGAAAAAAACTCGGCAGAGCTGACAAAATTGATAACAAAGATGTCATGAGCAATTCAAAAGTATGCAGTTGATAGAAAAGAAATGTGGGTGTACCTCGGTATTGGTCTAGAGTGATTGTTTGCCATTTTTGGATGATGGCTTGAGTCAGGTTACTTATTTGGGACTCTTTTAGTGATGTTGAGATGGGAATTTGAGTTGAGGTTGAAGAGGGAGCTTTGACAGGGTGCTACATAGGTACCACCACCATGGCGCAATGATTTTGTCAAGCTTTACCAACTGAACCATCATACTCATTATTCCACGCCCAGCTTTATTTGCAATTCATATCGAGTTACTTCTACCCCGGCGAAGTTTTTTTTTCTCCGGCTAAAAAAAAAAGCAAGCTGGGGGGTGACATTAATTGCTGGAATAGCTGTACCATTCCCGTATGTCAAAACCAGTTCCAACTTCCAGTCTTGTTGTCACAATACGCAACGAGTTCAACATATGGACAATTATTTTAGTCATCGATTGGCCAAAAGGCGATGGGAGATCGCTTTTCAGATTGTTCAGCCAGGTCCGCAAATTTGCGGACCTGAGCATGGGAGTGTGTCATTTCCCAAGACCTTGCCCTTGGCGCTGGAGGACAATTTTCTGAAGAACACCTGTACACGTTACGTTTGAAACATGGTTTGCTGAAAATTGAACCTCACACGCATGGTGAGCTGGGTCGGTGAGCTGTCACCGATTCAGACCCCGAGGGTTGTTTTTTGACCAAGTACTGCAAACTTAACATACAGCTTACGTGTATGTCCGAATGGTTACGTTTGCAAACCACCGTTGGAGATGCTCTTAGCATGCTTCCGCCTTTCCGCCTGCGATTCCATGACATGATTTAGATTCACGCTTCCGCCTGCAATTTCCGGCCACAGACCCCGGCCAAATTTACCAACGCGGAACTCCCGCTGCTTCAGGGAATGAAAAGGCCAGGAGTCAGCCATGTGTTGAGTCTGACTGGAGTATCCCAATCCCTCTTTCCAGATAGTCTTTTAACTTCCACTGGCGCCTTCATCTGACTTTCACTTCTCAATCGTTACAATGATTAAAGCAACTGTAAGACATATGTTCAAGCTTGACCTACTTTTCAAAGGTGCTCAGCACTCGTGCGTTGTCTTCTGATCCACACAGGCTCATTCCGGCACAGGAATCTCGGCCTTCATAGCGGCACTTCCACCCAACACCAATGTCTACGATGCCCTGATCCCCTTCCTCTACAAGAAAGCTTCGGCGGTAAGATTTTCCTTCAAGCATTGGTGTGCTGCCTGAACCTTCCTGACGATTTCAATATACTTCCTTTCTTGCGGCAAACGTATCTCTGAACTTTATCAAACCACACAAAAAATTGACACAAAATCAAACAGTGTAATCCAAGGTGGATGTCTTTTGTGTTGATGGTATTTCTCTTAGCACATATCACGTACGTTTCTATTCCTTTCGATCGCAAGTACACTCAAGATATGTGTTTCTCAAAACATTGCCTTATATACCTCACGCATCAAGCTTGTTGTTGGTGTCGCTATGTATTGTGAAGACACATATACAGAGGGGAAGCTACTGGTTCATAAAAAAGGCCAGAAGTGAGACATTTTAATGACCATCTTAGTTTGGATATCATATCTTCACAAAAACCATGGCCATTCACTGATGCTGTAATTGTTTTTGCTTTAGGTGGTCTTCTCAAGCCTGATCGAGTGCTGCTGGACTCGATTGGATGTGCTGTATACGCCGGGCGTCAGTAGCATGACCTAGTTGCTACATAAAAAGAAGACGCTATTAATCATCATTATGCAAACAGTCACCATTGTGGACATGTCTTGCCAATTATATATAGATTTCAATGAAATTCCAATCCGTGGCAAACTTCTTCTCGAATGGTACCGGTTTCCGATAAGTGGATTTACATTTTGGTTCGCTTGACTTTGATGACTCGAAATTAAGTTTTACTTATCTTACTGACATTGACCAAACTACAGGTGTGCCGTGTGGGGGATCATTTCCAACCGCGTTCGCGCGATATGGGATCCTACGCATAGGACAGATCACACGGCTACTCATTGTGGTATGCCCAAGTGGGTAACAAACACACTGAATGGAAGCTTTATCTTCTTTGGCGTTTCAGTCCTTACAGGTGGGTCTCTTTCGATATCATCCACGATCTCAGAGTCGAATACTGAAAGCTCGGATGATCACAATACATAGGTTTACCAGCCCTATATATTCCAGCTTATCGCGCCCATAATCAAATTCTGGATATTATTGATAAAGTAGCAGATGGACTGAGAATGGCGGCTTCTTCGTCGGAAGCTATGAATTTCTCATGGGATACACTGAACCCAATCCTAGACCCTTTAGCAAAACTTCCACTTCTTTATGTGAGTCTTGAGGTCACATCGTTGGCTCCGATATTCTGAATCGAGCTGTATTCATCTTGGTCTCTGTCAAACTAGCATCAACTGGCAAAAAAATTCAAGCGAACCCACTACGCCCTTGGAACTCTCGATTTCACACTGATAATTGTTTGTTTGTAGTCTTCTTGAGCTGACTATAGTATAACAAGGATAAAAGTGACAAAGTATTGGATTCTGACCAAAGCAATCGTTTACAGACGTATGTCATCTTTGTCTTCTTGGCTTATAAACATTCTCAAGCTTTTCAGCGAAGCGCAAGGTCCCTAGAGATGGCCATCGATCCTGCGCGCCTTATGAGAAAAACCTACCAACAAGAGATGAAATCTATCGTCATCGAAGCAGCTTTTCTCTTGGTATGGTTAAGCTCTTATGTCCCAGTGTTTATCTGGGTGGTGAGTGCATATACCTCAAAACCTAATGCTCAAATAAGACTTGCGATCTGAGAATAGTCTTCCAATTTGAAAATGTAGTTTCTTACAACCTCTGATGCTGAGCTTTTGCTTTCATCGACATCGGTGATTGTTCCTGAATTGGTAAGTACTCCTTCCTGACAAACAAGGTGATCGAGGCAGAAAACCAATACTGATATCTGCCTGACCCTTTCTAATTTAAATTTCCTTTAAATTTAAGACGCTTGGATTGGTAGCTTCTTTGGCTGCTAACATGTGAGACGACTTTTCTCTGATTTACTACTTAGTCTTTGCGGGCTAACATTTTACTCAGTGCAATGGGTTGCAGACTGGCCTCAAGTAATCGGATGCTAGCGTGTCAGGTTCTACCTACAAAGTCAACTTCGATATCAGACGATGACGGGATCAAGCTCAGTGACAGAATGGACCAAGTGTATACCAAATCCAACGCTTCTCGTACCAGCTATCTTACTCGAGTAATTAATGAAAAAACTCATAGTTCAGCTGAGAAAACTTCTCTCGCTCCAAGTGAGGCTACTTAATCAAGTGCCCTATTTCCATGTCAAGAATTGGGCGAGATAGATGAGAATCTTTTAACACCTTCGCTCACGATGTCAGTTTACGTGTACTTTAGCCAGCCGGCTACCTTTGTTCAATCGTTTGATATTTTTATGACCAATGATAGGAGATACCCTTCCTTACATTCTATGTTTTTCAAGTGCTTTGTCTTTCATTTCATCGCGCAACCTTTCCATTTCGATATCTTCTTTTCACAGATGTTTACAGACAATCACTTGCATTACTACAAACTCTGCTATTCTGGAGACTAGCTATTTTGGCAGCGGGCGCCGCATTGTTATTCAGTCAGATGTCACTACTGAAGTCAAACAGTCAGAACAAAAGATCCCATTGGATGGCATTTTGGATGAGATGCTCTGTATGAGCGAACATTGGCTTTTACTTATTGAGATAAGTTGAGACACGAGATAATAATGAGTGAATTTTTCCAACAACAAGACTGCGATGCGGGAAAATTTTCGCGCTTTAACTGTGCGTAAAAAAACTTTCTAGCGTTTTTGTAACCACCCGTAATCGAGTTTACGGGTGATCATGGATGAATTTTCATGGAGGTCGCCAAACTCAGCTGAAAAGCTGGTGAAGCTGTGCTCAAGGAGTCTGGCCTCGGTCTCGGTAAATACAGACCCGGACCGCAATCAGTTTTGCGAATAAACCTTTGCACCGCCACTCTTGAGCGATCATTTGGTCATCAGTTCCAGTCTCCAGACCAAAAACCAATACATAGCTAAATCTTGACTTCTTTACATTAATCATCATGGCTTCATTCCTCAGTGACGCGAAAGCAAGACTTCAACATAATAATATGCTCTCTCTAGCCCCGAGAGATATAAAGAACCTTGCAGAAATCATTTCAACCGAAAAGAGTCTAATCAATTCGTAAGAAAAACATCATTGAATCATAAAACTGAAAGAAAATCATAAATTGACAAAAAAAGTTTTTTTTCAAAATTTGATTCAACAGATCCTCTAAACTTTCGATAGATTATCGAAAATCAGCTGATGCACTAAAAGAGTGGGGTTTAGGTGAAGGCGATGACTTAGCAGACGTCTTATCAAAATTAGCCATCTTATTTGGACATCTTTCTGATGCTCAATCACGTTTTTCTGATCATGATGGAACTTATCGAATTCATTTTAAAAGTATAAGGATGAGAGAAGAAAACTTAACAGCTTTAAAGAAAAATAAAGATACAGTTCAAGGTAAGATTATGACCTTGGAAAAGAAAGTGAGTCAATTGATTTTTCACTTTCGTTTTAGAAACATTATTGATTCATTTTTTCCTTTCGGTCAGATTACTAAAATGAGTACGGAGAATAAAGATTTACCTGGTCTTACTACCAAATTACAAGAGTTCAGAAGCGAGTATGTCAGTTTAGAGCATTCAGTCTCAAGTGAAGAAGCTAGACTATCTGATTTCAAACGAGACACCGTACGAGAGGGCATGGGATTACGATTAGGAGCCATGCTCGAATTGGCTGAAAAGATGACCATCATCTGCGAATTGGGGAAGATGATAGTAGCAGAAGTGCCCTTTGATCGTACACCAATCGGAGGCGTTAGAGCACCTTATCAATCGACCATGAAGACTTCTTCAATCTTGGAAGAAGCACAGCGGTGTTTAACGGAAGTGATCTTTAATCCTTCACCAGCTGGTGTACTCAATGAGGTCGACCCTAATGAACCTCCTCATGCAATCAGTCCAGACTACACTCAAACAAATCAATTATTTAGCCCACCTCCATCTCATCTTCATCCTCACCCCCCCAGTCAAGCTCCACCCCCTAGCTCAGGGAATCCAGGTCTAGACCAAAAATATTCAAATGAAAATAACCACAATAATCACTTACCAGCCTACGCTCGTGATTCACAAGCTCCAGACAGTGCTTATGCCGGAATTGATCCGATTCCTTCCAATTCATCACCACACAAGAATGAAAGCCGCCGGGCGTACTCTCCACCGCCTAGACTCGAATTGAATCCGATGATACGCGATCCACAAGACTCCTCATCGTCTCCTCACCTTGATCCTGATCCGATCGCAGCAGCTGCCGCTCGTCTTCGACAAGATTATGATGAGTCTGCATTCTATGTACGTGGTGCAGATGGACAACCAGTGTCAACCGGGCCAGGAAACACTCCCAAGGAACAACCTTGGCCTCATGAACAAGATCATGCGGGCTCGAACGAATCTGGGTCTCATACTGCACCAACTCAAGCTACACATGGTCATGATCCATCACATTTACCTGTTCATCGCGCCTCAAACTTGTCTACGAATGGAAGTGGATACTCACAAGACAATCGGACGACTAATGCTGGTGCCTTCCGTCGTGTACCACCACCTAGTAATTCAATTCCTGTAAGTGGTCCTAAAGACTCGCAATCAATGAATGAGCCCTCTTATGAGACCGAAGAAGGTGGATCAAAATCTGGTCTCGTACAACCTTTAAATGTACAGAAAAGGACAAGTAAAAATGAGGTTGGGTGAGTGATTTCTTCCCTTTTCGATGCTTGTGTCTCTGGAAGCTTACTAACTGTTGAATTGTGTATGTATGTTTTTATAGAAGTGTTGATCGGTCTCCTACTTACAGTAGTACAATCAGTGGATCTGGGTATCCCAGTGCCTCACCTTCTGGTCCTCCAGGAAGTGGTACTGCAGGATTTGGACAAAACCGATATGTGACAAACTTGGAATGAGCCTATAATTTTTCTCATCTCTGTTTCCCTTCATCTTCGAATCTGTCTTTTATCTTTATCTTTTCGGGTTTTTCTCAATTTTTGGCATTTGATAAATTTTCACCGATTTGAATTTCGACGAAGATTATAAGCATGCGTGAATATGATTTGAATGATGAATAATGATTTAAATAAATACATATCATAACGGACAGTGTTTTCTTCATTGATTGGATGAGTCTTTTGTTAATACGTCGTCAAAATTAAACATGTATTCTTCATTTCTTTGTAGAGGTATTTGGTGTCTATATTAACAGTTTGATAAGATAGGTGAATTTTTGATTTATTCATTCAAAAGAGTTTGATTTTTGGTGCGTGGCTGATGGGCCTGTTTGTGAGACTTGGATATGTGATAAAGGGTGTTTTGGTGAAATGCCTTTTTTCTTATCCCGCCATTTTTTCTTCTTTTTCCATCTTTTTGAGGGATAGCTTTTCAGAGAGCGGTTTCATGAGTGCTGCAGCCTGCGTTCCATGCGCCCCTCTTGTGGCGCACTTCGGGCTAAATCCATAATTATAAAGTGCGCACAGAATCTGAAAAACTGCCGCTGTCCATAAATTGAATGATCAAGCAAATCATTAAAGTGCTTTCATGCGGGGACTTGAGTTATTAAAGCCCTCTCCGCGCGGCCTCTGTCTCAGCACTTCAACCATGTCATCGAGTGCATTTGGCTCTACGTTCAACTGGAGGGAAGGGACGGCGGAAGATGGCTTGCCCAGTGACAAGTGTCCCTATGGGGGAGGTTAGGCTTAGGGCGAGTTATACTTCTAGATCCGAGCCGGGCTGAAGGCATCAGAAGAGAAACCCTTGTTCTTAATTTTTAAACTTATCGTAGTCCCACGCAGCATATAATAGGGTCCGGCTGGGATACTTCTGCCTGGGTAGGAAGCCAAACTTTCCGGTAAGAAATCACTTGACTGTGATGAGCTGTCACAGGCTGTGATGTCCGTCCGGACCCACTCGTATGAACAAACAAAAATTGAAAGATGAATTATGGCAAAGAAGAGAAAAGGATACTTAAGATGAGGAATTGAGAAATGTTAATTACAAGATGGATCTTCCATACACCATTTGATGAACTTCGGAATCTTTTCTAATTTGACGATTCAGGTCAATTTTAATCGAAGTGCATTAATCTTTATTGCTCAGCTGGTCCATAAAATGTGGTAACTGGGCGCCAAATGAATGACAAGTTCTAAACTGTTTCAAACTAATTGATAGCTCATAAATTGATAGGATCCAAATAATCTACAATCTCCAAGATTTCTACTGTAATCAATCAATCAATCAATCAATCAAATCGACGGAAAACAAATTCATCTCGTGACCATCCTCAAACCAGCTGACCACTTTCCATCTTTTACCTTGGTTACCATCTCTTTCCTTTCTCTTTATCTCTCAATAGAATCTCAATCTTTTTGCACAGTTTGATAATAGAAAATATCATTCACAAGAAATGGCTTTGAACTTTTGTAGAATCGATCGTTGCTTATTATCAATTTATCAATCAATCTCTTGTTGTTCATCAGATTCAAAAATCAGATTACCAGATGATGATGATGATGATGATAATCAAAATCAAGGCACAGAAGTCATCTCACATTCTAAATTACCATCTCATTCAAGTTTTATAAATTTTTTAGTATCTCATCCAGAATACCAATCTAAATATCTAGACAATCTAAGATCAAAAGAATTCAAACGATTAGATTCACCCAATAATCGATCGATTTATTTAGATTATACCGGTGGTGGTTTATACCCCGATTCGGTTGTGAAATTTTATGCTGATCAACTTTCGAAAAATGTTTATGGAAATCCTCATTCGACTAATCCTTCAAGTCAATTAAGTACTCGATGTACTCATCAAGCTAAGATGGCCGTATTGGATTTCGTGGATGCTGATCCTGAAGTTTATGATTTGATTTGGACTTCTAATGCTACTGGTTCTATGAGAATCTTGGCTGAAGGGTTCGATTTTAAACCGAATCAGAAGTTAATATTGGGAGCTGATTGTCATAGTAAGTTTGATGGAAATATTGACACAATTTTCATTTACCCGTCAAATTGTAAACTCATTCATGAATCTTTTGCAGATAGTGCAAATGGGATGAGGGAATTTGCAAGGAGAGGTGGAGCAACGGTTGAATATATTGATTTGCCAAAAGATTGTAGAGGTTTGAGACCAAACTTGGAACAATTGAAGGTGTGATTTTTGATCAATGTTTCATATTTCTCTATCTCATGAATCCCGCAATTTCGAGCTTCTCCAAGTTTCCAGTCATGGTCTTGATTTTCAACTTACCATTTTCTTTTACTACTTTAACAGGTTCAATTCAATTCAGCCATTCCAAACCCAGGTTTATTTGTTACAACTGCTCAAAGCAATATCACCGGACTCAAAGCCCCAATCCACGATTTAATCCCACTCGCATCTTCATCCGGTTACACAACATTCCTGGATGCAGCCGCTCTTTTACCCACGACTAAACTCTCGCTACGTTCCTTGAATGGTTCACTTGACGCATTAGGTTTGAGTCTTTATAAAATCATTGGTTTACCTACTGGTGTAGGTGCATTGATCATCAAGAAGACATTATTGAAATCGTTATACAAACCATGGTTCTGTGGTGGAACCGTTCAACTTGTTCAAGCTCCTGGTGAAGCATTAACCATGGAACAAGGATCCGCAAGATTTGAAGATGGAACGACAGATTATTTATCGATGATTGGAATTCCAAAAGCGCTTTCGATCATAGACAAAGCTTTGAGTGATCAACAACTTGGGAAAAGGTTATCTGCTTTGACGTATTGGACTGTACATCAGATGGATCAATTAAGACATGAGAAAAACTCTAGTCGGTTTATTTTGGTTAGAAGTCCTAGTGTTTCTTTAAGTAAGAAAGAAATGTATGAACTGCATGGAGCTTTGATTGCTTTTGAAGTCATGGATTCTATGGGTGATTTTGTGAGTTGTGAAGTGATTGAATATGCTGCTTCGCTGAAAGGTATCAGTTTAAGAGCTGGTTGTATGTGGTAAGTGTTTTCTTGTTTTCGAAGCCAAGTTTGATTTGGAATTATGTTGATTGGTGTGTTTGTTTTGGGTTTTGATTAGTAATCCTGGTGGAGCGGCTAGTATTATGGGAATGCAAGATATGATGTCAGAGTTAAAGAGTGGTGAAACCAAGAAAGACATTCAAACTAAGTGGGGAGTCAGAGCAGCCGGAGTTACAAGAGTTTCGTGAGTTATAAATCAGGTTTACTCTTCTCCTTTATCTATGTACTGATATGTTTTTTATGATAAATGATAGGTTTGGATTAGCTTCAAATTTTGAAGATGCTTGGTTCTTAATTGAGTTTTTGAAAAGTTTGAGATCTGAGGAAGTCTTAAGGAAAGCTATTGAAGGGTTTTATAATAAGCCTAGAGACGTTTCTGCTTGCTGATCTATGCCGACATATGTTTCTTCAAGCTTTGTATTTTTTTTGATTGTCCCTATCATGTTGACGTTGTGTGTTTAACTGTGATCTTGTTGATATTTGATTTTTGAATTGTGTTTTTTCCTTTTGCTTTGGTTACTTGTTTTTTGATCGGAATTTCATGAATGAGTATTATCTCGAACTTTATAATGTGTCTTTCATTTTGAAGTTGCTTTTCTCTGGCCATGGACCGAGATTTTTTTCATTTGGATTTTCTCAAGGTTTGATACTAAGTTCATAGGATCCTTCATGCCTATCTCTTCAGTGAAATTTCATTGGTGGCGGGAAGAATACATGATCTAGGGAAAACTGGAGGCTCTCCTACTATCGACACGCACACTAATTGAAGGAAACTGAGTGCGAACATCCTCACGTTGGCCATGAAGCCAATCTGTCGAGCCAAATTAAGAACATAATTGATGAGAAGAGAAAACAGGCTCAAAAAGCTCACCCCGATGTATATAGTACATGTGCTCGCTGTGTTGTGCGTTGTGCGCGCAGTTGTAATAACAGCCTGTGCCCGCAGATAATATTCAAGTAGAACATTCACGTCAATAAAAATGAACCTTTTCTACCTTGTACAACAAAGTCCTAACAGTGGATTCTTCAAACATCTTAGCTGGAAGTCATGAAAATATGGGAAAGTGCATTTGTTTCACCTCCCATATGAGAACGGAGGAAGCCGGGTGAATAAGCTTAGCTTGGTGCTCTCTGTGTGGTGCTCAGAGTTGTAATGACAGTCTGCGCCCGTAGGCAAAAGATATATCAAAAATGTAATTCCTAAATCTGCAGTGCAAAGTACAAGACGTGCGAGTTTCAGGTAGCAGGATCTGCAAGACGGTCAGTTTCACGTAGCGGGATCTGAAAGTGTGCTCACAGGGGGAGAGTCTCATAAATTGAAGGCATTGCTGCGAGACAATTCATGTTTGAACTTGAACCCCCACCCTGAAGACTCAACTAGACATCTCAAAACTCCGTCTGCAAGCTTAACTAAGTCCCTCGTGCAGAGGTTTGACAGAGCAAACTTGTTTAACACTGATTTCTACCAGGGCTTTTATGCATCACTCGTCTGAGACTTGGGTCAACTAAACCTTTCTTGATAATCCAATATCAGTATGAAGATGATGATTTTGTTATGGGGGTGGTGCTTGATAATTCCATGCAGTTTTTGCGTGCACCTTCCGTCGGCCAGGCTGGTAGACAAAGGACTCAGCATACAAGAGCAACTCAATACATTGGAGACATTTGCGCCATTGAATGAAGAGATCGAATACATCAAACATAAGGCTTATTCAAGCACTTTGATGTCAAAATTTCCTCACAGAATCACCAAAAGTCTTGTTGCTTACAAAAGATTACGAAACCTTCAAAAACTTCATCCCAGCAATCGTGAAGTTTTGATAAGCTGTAGCGAAGTTCCTCATGACTTGATGGATATGGTTACAGGAGTCAAGCCCTGGTCTCCAATATTCCACAATGATATTCACCTTCAAAACAGTATAATCACTGCATTGCAACGTTTACAAAGGAAAGACTTGGAAATATACAAAAGACTATGGATTCTGAGTGTACTCGACATACTTCAATCTTTATTGCCAAGAGGGGAGCTCAACCCAATCAGAGGAGATCCGAAAACAGGTAGTGTCTGCCGAGGAGGATTGGAGCTTTTTCTGTTGAAAGGTATGTTACATTCAAAGATTGTTCGACATAGGAAAAGCCAGTATTCATTTCATCTTCAGGACTTGACTACACACCTAGGGTCAAGAGTTTCTTAAACAGGAGGATAGAATTTTTTCCGGTAGATGGAGGTAAGTATCCTATCATGTCTCTGCTGGCGTCTCGCGAATCCCTTTGGAATGCGAGGAGCTGATACAACCACAACGATTTCAGCTGTGGCTGAAGCTCTGAAGCGAGTCGAATTGATTGCGGACATCAGAGGTTACCTTCGATACCCAGAAAGATCCACACCTACACTTAAAAATCTACACGACCAACTACTTCTCAATAGGTCTTTAGCCGAAGGAAACATTTTGGAGTCATTGATATCCCAATTACTGCAATTTAAGATTGTTGAAAACACAACACGTCAAGAAATGAGATTTATATATCAGATCATGGAACATCTGGAGCTCTTTTATCCAGACGCCAAGCAGTTTGCTGTCACAGAAGCTCTAGAGCGACTCGAGCTGATCATGAAAACTAAATACTACCGTCATGACTACCTAAGCCACCAAGAGACATACCCGGAAATGATAAAGGTATACAACACATTTATTCAAGTGGAATCTGTGGACAACGCAAAAATTGTGAAGGATTCTGCATTGCAAGTTTTGCAACACATCAGTCTTAAAGCCAAGGCGGAAGGAGATGTTGAATGGCTGTATCAAATATTGCAATATGTGGAGAGAGTATACCCAAATTCTCCAGATGTTGCTATCACAGAGAGTCTCGAGAGAGTTGAGTACATTATGAAGATTAGAGAGTACCTCAAAGATGCTGAAGAACACCGTCAAACACTTCAAGTCATGAGGTTTTACAACCACTTACTTCCAACAAGCTCCTTGGTCGACACGGAAATTGTCAATTCATTAGCATTGGAATGCATGCAGTACATGGTCCTCTTTAGTAATTCAGAACATGATTTGGAAGCTTTCAAATTTGTCAATTCAATATTAAGTTATCTGGAAAAGTTCCATGAATCTGCCAAACAACTTGTCAAATCTTGGTCATCAACCAATGAACTATTCAGAACAATCCAATTGGGGATCCAATGTCAAGTTGAATTAAAACCCCATCTTCTAACATACGCCAAGCAAAAAGATAAGGACCCATACATTATGCTCCTTCTCTCGCCTTTCAAAGGTCGGCATTTGGTAGATTCAGCTTATGTGAAACAATGTCTACATAAATTGAATATCAAAGACTCTGCACTTGCAGCTAGTGAAGAAGGAATATCTGGTCTAGATGTTTCAAAAGAGAAGTATTACAAAAATCAAGACTTTTTCATCAAAATGATGTACAAAGCAAGCCCTTATATTGAAGGCCTTGAAGAATACCTGAAAAGGCATGTGTGGAAGAATGGTAAGCATCTCTTCCCTTTTCAACACCAGAATCTGGTTCACCCATGCTAGAGATGATTCTATCTCGATACTGTGGAAGCCTTGTGCAGTAGAGCATGCATGTGCCTAGATATGCCTGCTTGAAATTTGTCCATCCACAATCAGTGTGGAACGGACATGAACTGGGAAAGGCCACTTAAACACAGGATTTTTTTTTGCAACATGACTGGATGACTGATGATTTTTTTCCTAATACATTTGTAGAAGCAAGTGGTCATTATAGGTTTGTATTGAGAGCTGCAGACAAAGATGAAACTTTTGGGGAAAACATAATCCGGGATGAAAATTATGCAGAATGTGCTATTTGCAAAAGTGAATTTGTGATGGGGGAAAACATTGTGAAATTGAAATGTGGCAATGTTCCCCACATGTTTCATAAAGATTGTTTAAATGTAGGTAGATTGATCCTCTTCTATAATCAATATCAGTATCACAGCAATCACAACATTTTACTGACTGAACTTTTATTCTTTATGGGTTCCCATTTTTCTGGGTGGGGATTTGATATACCAAAACAGGATTGGATTGCAAGATCCAAAGGTAGGATCTTTAAATGTCCTACATGTATGAAACCAACTAAATCAGCACTTACTCAAGGTCAGCAAATGTTGTGGGGGTCACCAGAAGCTAATTACAAACCTTCATAAGGCTAAGTTGACTGCTCAATTGTCATGCTATTGTTCCCTTTCAGTCTATTTTTACAAAATTTTCAGACCTTTTAGATAAGCTGCGAGCACATCACAAACACATGTGTGAGAGCTAGGTAGATGAAGCATCCATAGATCTGTGATTCTGATCAGTCTCATCTCCTTTTGTTTTTTTGTTTTCTTTTGTTTTCTTCTAATATGAGTTGTGTTCCCATTTTCTGGGGGTTCCTTTTCTCTGAAAGTGAGGCATAGCTTTTTGGAATAACATAGAAATTTATAATTTAGTGGGGTCGCTAGATAACTGCAATCACAAGGCTTTGTAAAAGCTGTCATCTGTGTATATCAACATTGTGGTGTACCACATATCCATTGGTTTCCCTTGGAAAGGCCCCAGATATGTCCCCAACTGAATGAAAAATGGCTGTGTCTGTAATGGCTCTGTCCCAGTTTGTGGAACATTAGATTCACACTTACCCCTTGCTGTAGACAGTAAACTACATTCTATAGCTTAACACCTGGTCTCCATCCCATATACTGGCCTCAACAGAATGGGACAGTCACTAAAATAATCAGGTGGTCTTCATTTGAATCTTTATTGGATAACCCCTAAGCCGTAAGCATTGTGTGATATAAGCTGAATCCATCACAAGCCTGCCTAAAAAATGCAAGAGAAGGTTCATGATGTAAGTATCCTTGTCCTCTTTCTGGGAGTATATTTGAAGATCAGGCTTTAATGCAGCTTGGCACTTCAATTCTTGATAAATCAGTCTGAATGATCCATTGTTCATTGACCAAGACACAACAAGCTGTCTGACAGATTCATGGAACATCTTCAGAAATTCTGATTTCTGACAAAAATGTTTGCCACCTTCATCTACAGCATTGTTGAGGACCGGGTTTTGCAGAGATCAAATTGTCAATGGATCAACAATCTCAGGTTCATATGTAGAGCTTGTTTGGAGTAATTTTCTTTGTTTCATGAATATTACCCTATGTTCATGGTCAAGTCCTGAATATGAAATGAGTACTTGCATTTCCTATCTAGAATGAATATGTGTCCCAACACATCCATAACAAGACCACTAGCCATGGAACAAAACCCTGTATCAGATTTGAGGTTTTATAAAGGGTGTGTTGATTGTGGTAAACCCATCAAAATATGATGTTTTATATCCAACAGAGTGTCATTACCGCTTTTACAAAACATTGCTTGACATTTTGATGCCCATCTCAGTGGACATTCTGACCTTGGAACTTATTTTGTAGATACATGTTCTCAAGGATTCATCTGCTTGAAATGTTTGTGTGTTCTCTCCTCAACTCCTCACTCAACAGCATAAAAAATGGACAGAATTCCTAGCTTTATCAAGCTGCCTTGGAATTATATTCAAGCTGCCCTGCTCATCATCAAGCATGAATGCCTGATTCTTATGAAATCACTGATAAGGTAAAGAGAAGATCAATCCATGTTATAGAAGTCAAAAAAATGGTCTGATCCATACACATTTCTACACATGCTTCTAATTTATCCTTGATCTTTCTCAATGTTGTAAATTTTCACTTGTGGCTGATGATTATTTTCAACCCATGATGTGTTTCTTCTACTTCTTGTTCACTTGAGTAATGACTTTTGATCTATTTTTTGTTGAAACACTCATACAATATCCATATCAAGTTGATTGATTTCTTCTTCTAAGAAATGCGATTCCTAATGGTGGGATCAAGCCATATGTATCAAATTGAAGATCACTATCCTTCACTATCCAACATCTTGAGACTCAGTGAGATCACAGAGACCAATCAGAATAGATGGTGTTTATGTAGTATGCTTATAACGAGAGAAGCATCTGTAAATGCACATAGCGAGGGTTCATCGGTCAACGCATACAACTGAAGTTCACTTGAGATCGCATTGGTTCACCGTTCCATCACTGAACGCTATAAACCAGTCAGTCCTCATCATTCATACTTTCATTCAAGAGTAAGTCACGAATCCGATATCACTCTTTCAAAAAAGCATCCAAGCCTTATACTGATCGATCCTCACCCGGCCCCCTTCTCAGTGCCAGCCAAGAAACCCACGAGCAAGAAACGTACGAAGGCTGAAAAGAAGAAATTACGAAAAGCACAAGTAAGAACCTACCTTGAAACCCTTCTCGTCGTACTAGAACTACTTTGATAATACTTGGAGCTTATACTTGGTTTGAACTCTTTTCAGCAAGCAGTCTTCTGTTGGTATTGTGAGAGAGAGTTTGAGGATGCCAAAGGTATGATCCTCCACTAAGCGACTTCGCATGTTTTGGATATTACTGACTCATAACTCGATTCAAAATACAGTCCTTCTCCAACACCAAAAAGCCAAACATTTCAGATGCCCAAATTGTCCCAGACGTCTCAATACCGCCGGTGGACTTGCTGTCCATATCGATCAAGTACATAAATTACCCACAGATAGGTATCAGCATTTCCATATGTCTCCTGCATTGTCAGCCGGAATTGATCGCTCATTTTCTTCAGGATCGAAAATGCTTTACCTGGTCGCGATACATTCGATGTCGAGATTTATGGTATGGAAGGTGTACCAGCCAACGACTTGGCTGATTGGAAACGTCGCAAGGCCGAAGCTATGGGAGTCGATCCCGAAACTCATAAACGAAAACGTCCAAAGATTTTCCTCGGTGTTTTGACTTCTGAAGATCTCAAGGCTCAACTACAACAGCATCGCGCTTTAATGAACGGGATATCGAATACAGCACCTGTTCGACCTCCCGTTCTCCCATACGGTGTTCCACCACCTGCTCTTGGGGGACCACCTTCGGCATCAGTTCCACCTCCTGGACTCTTCACATCTGGTTCCGCCCCTATGCCTCCACCAGGATTTCCAATGATGCCTCCTCCTGGCTCTCTTCCGTTCCCACCTCCAGGAATGGGAATGCCGCCAATGCCACACGGCCTTCTTCCCCCTGGCTTGCCTTTCCCCCCTCCACCAGGGATGCTACCGGCAGGTATGCCACCACCACCTGGCATGATGCCGCTTCCAGGAATACCGTAAGCAATCATTGGTATCCACTTTGCTAAGTCTTGGCTGATCTGATCTTTTGCTACCCTACTTAGCATGAACCCTGGCACACCCGGCCTGATGGGTAACCCACCTCCATTTGCACCACCAGGAGGTCCACCACCACCCGGCGTGTTAAGCACGCCCCTTGCTCCTCCCCCTGGACCCCCAGCTGCCACGCCTAGCCAAGCTGCACCAGCCCCTGTTGTACCACCTACTCCAGTCCAACCTTATAAAGTTGAAAGCAGTCAAGTCACACCCAAAGCTGGACAACTATTGATGTATGGAGATACGGATGTCTCAATAGTAAGTTGTCTGCTCGTCTTTATGTCTTCTTTAAGCTTGTAACCCGAGTTTTGTCTGATTTCATCGATGGCATTACATTTGTTCTCCTCTTTGATAATTTTTAGGAAGAGAAACGTGCTCGCCAACCACGTTATCAGGCTCCGATTGCTGTTCCAGATATGAGATTAGGTCTTTCGCGTTGAATACGGGTACATGTTGTAGTTTACGGAATCGTCTTGAAAAAAAAAGTATTTCCAGTCCAATGATGATCTCACAAATATATAGGACATATCCGTCGATCGATATTTGCATCATTAAGCTCGACTGATTGACTCCCTAGAGACAGTGAAACCCTGTACTTTGAATTGAACAAGAGCTTTATGTGGTGCAGCATGTCAGAAGAGACAAGCTTTATGGTCTTCATCGATCGAACATGTATCACAACTTGGCGTAACTATCTTAAATAATATCGCCCCAAGAAGGATAAAAAATTCCAATATTCTAACGGGAGAGATTTATAATTGGATATTTTGTTGATGCATCCCAGAAATGGTGTTGTAAGTATGATACCTGTGCATATCAAGCTCGTGTATTATTCTTAGCGTCAAAGGCGCAGTTGACCATAGACTTTGTTACTTGGAAACGATCATTACAATCGACCATTAAGCGCTCCAGATTGCCATGATCTTTCAAGTCAGAACTATCGCATGTCTTGGCTCGATTGGCGCGCTCTGCATGGTTCTTGATCAGATCTGCGTTATAATTTATCTTGGCGCTCATTATTCCTTCAGATCTGGTCTACTGAAATTCAACGTATTGATTCGATTTTAGTTCACGTATAGTCTAACTAATTCGATATGATGTTTATCAACTTTAGAATTTGGATGCTTGAACAGATGATAGACTCATCACACACTTCGTTTGTCCACAACATCGATTTTGATCAAAGGAAGAAATTTCAAGTTTACATATACAGAGAAAAAAGGAATTATCAAAAAGAATGAACAAGAAAATTGAACCAAAAAAGAACGTAAAAAGAAAAAAAGACATTCAAGTAATGCAAAAGAAAACAAGAAGATAAGGTTTTTTTCGATCGATCATTCAAGGACTTTCACTGAAATCTCCTTCCTTTTTGTTTGTTTTGTGGTGTATCACATACATTTAATAAAGAAAGGATTAATCAAAAAAAACAATAAAGTAGAATAATGAAAGATTGTAGAAAACAAAGTATAAACAACTTTTGTTAAACAGAGAAGTAAATAAAAAGAAGAAAGAGAGAAAGAGGCTTGGTAAAATTGTTCGAAAAAAATGTCAAAATGCTTATGGAGAGTTAAGAAAAATGATTGGTAAAAGTTTGATGATGATTGGATAAGAAGAGAAAAAGAAGAGATGAAGGAGAAGGAGTTCAAAGGATTAGTCTCCCAGATCTAAAGACACAACGACAATCACGCAAATACGTATGTACTACTAACACTGAGACTATTCAAAAAAAGAGTATTTACAAGGAACAAAATCAAGTGGTAAAGGTCTCAACTTTAGAACAGTGAAAGTAAAAAATCTACATATTCAAAAACGGCGCTTCTCATCATAAGTGCTAAACAAACGAACTAAAACACCTTCGAGGACAAAAAAGGATTACCAATTAGAGAGATGAACAGAAAGATATAGAAGCTAATCAATGCCTCAAATCAACAGGGTGGAAGAGACTAGCGGCAGCGATCCGTTGGATATCGATCTTAGCCTTCGGGGTGACGGGCCGACGTTGATCTGCTGTTTTAGGGCGATAGTTAAATCGATTTCCCATCGTATTAGGCGTTTCCCGAGTGGGTTGAGGAGCAAGACCGAACACAGGCGTGATGATAGGTCGAGTAGGTAGAGGTGGTGCAAACGGATCAGCGGTGACCGGGCGGCGGAGATGTTCACTGGTCTTGGGTCGACGAAGACTGCGTCGAGGATCACCAGTAGCTTGAGCAGTGTTTGGTCTCAGTCGACTGGAAGAGGCGGGCGAGATGGTTTTGAAGAAATGTGCTTGTGCTCGCGAGAGCTCGTCATCATTCTGCGTGCCTGCGCTAGTCTTGTTTGATTTAGGTGTCTGAGGAGATGGGACGAGCTCGCAGTTTGAAGAATTAGAGCTTGGTGGATAACGTGGCGAGGTACCAATGAGACGTGTAGACGAGTCTGACCGATCTCGACGTTGGTGGCCCATGAGTGACTTGCCGCGAGGTCGTGGCTTAGGCCTACCATCGGCATCCAAAGCCAGTGCTAAAGTCTTTGAACCCATGTTCTTCATGATGGCATTCATTAGAGTTGGCTTGCGAGCATGGCTGGGATCAAGGATCTCAGGCGAACAGGCAAAAGTGATAGGAATGAAAGCCTAAGCAGGGAGGGAGATTAGGTAAGTGGATGAATGGAACTCGGCGCGAAGCTATTGAAAGGACTTACTCTTTCACCAGCCATGGGCTTTCCCATCAAACTCTTACGATCTTCAACCTCGTAGACTAGTCTCCAGATCCACTTTCCTCCTTTACCCTCAGTATCCTCAACCACGTACTTTCCTGGTGTTTTCATATCAAGGCTTGCCTGACGACTAAGAAAGTCTCGACGGCCAGCTGCATTCCGTGAACTCTTACCCTCGAGGAGAGCATAAGCTTCTTCGTAATCAGGTGCTACAACCTTACGAAGAGCAGGAAGTTGTTGGAAGGTGGTGTAATGAAACGGATAACCAACGCGTTGGGTGGTAAAGTACAACAGGTCATCCTCGGGGTTATAACGATCGAATGTGAAGATGGGGGCGATTTCACGGAAACCTTCTTGATCAAACCAAATTTGAAGTGTTCGAAAAAGTTCGCCAACTGGTAGATCTGAACTGTCGTGGTCTTGAGAAGTAGGAAATGCATACTGAGACACATTAGAGTCCGTTCTAGGTTGTTGAAAACTAACAGCTGTAGACGGGTTTGAATAGAATGAAGGAGAGACAGTTGAAGGGTGTAAGACTTGTTGGCACATAGTGCTGGATGACGAAGGAGAAATGCACTCTAAAGATGGACGTTGAACGAGGGTGATGATGTTGTGATTAGTCAAGGCCGTGCGAGCGCTTTCTATATCAAGCTCGCGCGAATTCTCCTGCGGAAACGGGACAACGCGCAAGGGGGCGTGTGGTGGTGATCCGCGACGTTGGTCTAAGCCCGTTGGGACGCTAATCTTGAGATGAGGGATAGGTGTCGATTTCTGGTATGATTGTGCTAGATGAAAATCAGTGGGGCCGTTGAACTCCGTATGCGTATGGACAAGTGCATCTGGAGGACAAGGTGGGTCAATCAATTGAACGGACACGCCACTTTTTTCTCCTTGAGCTGGCCAACGATATTCGTTACCAAAGAGCTTTCGCTGTTTCGGTTTGAATTTGGTTCGCGGGGTGTCAGCAGAATCTGAGGACTTCTTAGGGGAAGCTTGTGTCGGAGTACGATCAGTAGGTGGCGTCGAGATCAAAGTCGGGATGATTGTTTTGAGCGGGGAGGGAGGCAAGATAGGTTGCTGGTCTATGTGACAGATGTCGATTGGGGCAAGTAGTGTGTTGAGGGTCTCGATTGGAGTTTCTTCTGTGCAGTCTGAACTTCCGTAGTACGCGCTGATGCTGAATGCACTTGATTCACTGTTTTCGCGTTCGTGTCCAATTGGGTTGCTATGACCACCAGGCTGCGAGGCTGCGAAGGTTCCGTCAGAGGGTGTTGGAGGCTCAGTATAAAAGCTAGAAGCAGTGGATCCTGTGGTCAATCCAGAGTAGGTTGACAACCGTCGCAAGGAGCCTTCAGAGTCGGTGGTAGATGTGGAAGATGTAGACAAATTTCGAGACACGCGAGCACACTCGCTGTTCGCTTCAACGACTACTGAAGAAAGCCCAAAACAAAATAGGGTACGAATCAAAATAAGTTAAGTACTCGTTCAACACGGCGGTGCAGTCACTGATTATGTAAACTGATCAAAGCTTTCTTCAAATGGTTGTGATAGGATCCCAGGTCCGCCAAATGAAATTGACGGGGAAAGAATCATGCAGGATAATATCGTGCGTTTGATTGATTGCATTTGCAATGCTACATGTACAATGCCCAGCCTGGTAAATGGTAAAGTCTGAGGACATGGAATACACATATGTATAACCGATAAAAAAGAAATGGCAAAAAGGAAGGCGATGAAGGTGAAGAGTAAAATGAAATGAAAGGATAGAAAGGATCTTCGGAGAGAAGAAAGTGGCGTGTACTGACAATGTGATGAGCTGGAATCGGTAAGAATTTGGTTTGACTTGGGCGTAGGATCCAAGTGGTCAAAACCTAATCCGACAGCTTCAGATCCAGAACTCGACCGCTTGTTGACGAAAAAGATCGGGATCGATACTACTGATAATGTTCGAGTTAGCCCACGAATGGTGGTGTCGGCCTCATCGACGGATTCATTATGAAGCGATTGATCGTCAGATGCACTGTTCCGACTGATTGAGCGTTGATGGTATTGAGGAGGAGATCCTCCAAAGATACTGCAGGAGGTTGAAAAGACTGAACGAGGCAGTGATTGTGTTGATTGTGGAGTTGAATGAACACTGGTGGGCATATCTTGAGCCTCAGGTGGGGTTGTCATCTGATGCATGCTAAAGCATTCTGGGGGCGATGACATCAACAGATCCATTGTGGATAAAGTGTAAAAGATAGGAATCCTGGGAAGGATATGACAGAGTGAATGATTAAGTTGACCACACTGACAAAAGGTTAACTGATAGTAATGACTGGAAGCAAGAATGAGAATGATGATAGAATGTCCAAACTGATGAAAAATGCTGAGGCGCACTGAGGGTTGAATTGATGAAATGACTGAGATGAGTTTACTTTGGAAAGAAATGAGACGAAGAACAAGAAGGAAAAAGGTAAGACAGAAGGAACTGAAGGCGATGAGGCCTTTAATTCAAGTTGTAGTCCACCTGATACATACTCACAACCGCCCTGGAATGCAATAATGATAGGAAGAAAGCAATCCGAAAAAAAAACTTCGATAGTCATATCAAGCTTTCCTGCGGGTGCCTCCGAATAGAAAACTTGCCATCTTCATCAGATCATCAATCAACAGGACCTTGAAACTTCGTCCTCCAACAATTAAATTGTGTTGTCAAACCTATCAAAACTATCAATTTTGTGATTATTTTTATATCGTCCATTGCTTCGCATCGGTACGGAAGGTAAATCAGAAACCGCTATCTGGGCCAAAACAAAGAGTATGAGTTGATGATCATTAGTCTTAGCGGCCAACCCGAATAGTAGATGACTGTCATTCCTTGCTCCGGTATTCGATGAAGATATGGCAGTATGGAAAGGTCAAAAAAACATCAGATCACTCAAATGGCTTGGTCCGGATTGCCATACAAACCGGTTCTGAATGTAAGCTCCCTATCCACTAAAAATCAGGGCAATCTAGTCGTAAATGGACTGTCCAGCTCAGGGCCATTCTCCATTCTCCGTCTCGCAATGTAGGGAAATTATACCCCAGCATTGCAACACTCGTCTTACTCGAAGCGAATAGGTTTGCGTCGTCGGCGTCAATTCCTCGAAAGCTTTGGCCATGTATCAGAGACCGCGTAAAAACAATTGGGATGTCATGGTTCTGCCTGGAATGATGAGAAGACAGGCATTCCCAAGAGCTCTTTTGATCTCAGAGTCAGATGACACAAAGACTTCTCGCACTCATTTGAGTTGATAAAATCACACACACTGCTCATCTCACCGGTGCTTAAATAGAAATGGCCAAGCCCCGCGTGGGTTGCGACTGATGATGATAATTTTGTCTTCGAGAAGTATGGAATTGGATTCTATAACTTCAACATTCTCCACAGCTTGTTCAGAATCCAATGTCACATTAACAGATTCACAAGTGATGTAAGAGCATTAACAGGATACCAATTGCGATGCTCGATCAGCTAAGCCTCAGGCAGCAATCTTTGTTTATGTTTGGAAAGGTACACATGTATATACTCATGTTTGAAGGATCTTCAAACTAATTTGAGAAGAGCTTCATCAAAAATAGTAGCATTAGAAGAGTGAGCAGATTGGGTGCAACAAGAGATGGAACTGATTCACCAATCTGCGAAGAAAAGATTTGAATGAAAATAATATTATGATTACCATAAATGAACTGAACTTTGAATAAAAGATGAGATAAGACATATGGATTTTATCATCTTTGAGCACCTAGAGGTGTGTTTACCAGATGAGCTTTCTAAAGATACTTTGTAAAGTGAGAAACATGTTTGACAGCTTTTGTAGCTGGTTGTTTCTTTACATGATTTTTTTCCATACATTTTTTGGATCAAGTTTTTTTTAAATAAAATCAATGTTTTTGTAAGGATTATTGCCTCACATGTGAGATTGAACGTCTTTGGTGATGGATCCATATCAAGTTGTTTGAAAATGGGGAAGGAATTTATATTTTTGAAAAGTATTTGATGAGGATGGATATTGAAATGATATGACTTTTCACAGCTTTAGAGAAACATTGTTTGTGACATATCTGGTGGCATCATTATAAATTGGTACAATCAAGATTGACTAGTTCTGGGCTGATATCTACTGTGTAGTTGCTGTTGACAACTAAGTATTTGGCACATTCAGTAGATTTGAGGTCATATCAGATGATGAATCTGTGAATAGAATCTGGTATATGGTGGCATGAGAGATATGTTTAATCATACTAGAGACAAAGAATGCCATCATGGGTGCAGCCATTCTGGTTGGATTCATAAAGCACAAGCCCAGGGTGGTTTCAGTGTGAGATCATTCAGGTTGAATAGGCCCATCCTGCAGTGGACAAAGAAAAATGATTGTTTGGTTACTTGCCCACAGAAAAATGTGCCATTATCACAGAAACCAGACACAGGCCTACCATGATCCAAAGATGTAGGGGTTTGGATTAGCAATTCCAGCCCTCAGGGCAGTTACAAACTCACTATACTCCAGAGTGGTGATATCAGCTACTGCATCCAGCACTTTGAACCATTTTGAGTTCAAAAAATGAGCAGTTGTTGTCTGGGACTGAGGTCAATATCTCCAATGGTACTACTGGATCCTATGTAAGCAGTGTAGGCTTGTTGGAAATTTTCCATATGATTGATAAGAGAGTTTGATCCTTGTATATAGAAGTCCAAACAAAACACATCTTAACAGCATCTGGTGGGCAGGAGTTTGTGGAGAATGGTGTTTTGGATTTTTGATCAACTGAACAGCTATCAGGGTCTTTATATTCTGATTCCAGATGACCAGGCTGGCTATACTGTGTCTGTAAGTGATTCTTTGATTCTGATGATTATTCCAAAGATAGGTCTTGAGTAATTCTAGCAGCTATTTGGTGATGTCTACTACCATAAGTCAATGAAGGCATATCAATGAGTGAGGAAGCCATTTGAGGAACAAATAATCCTAAGATGAGAGTTCCACTTGTGAAGGGATTCTGACTGGGCTGCTTTGAAGTAATCATGGGGTGATTCTTGTGCTGATGATGGTGATAAGACAGGTGGATGTCCAAGTGAAGGATTCAAATCTCAAAATCATTCACTATAATAAGTCAAGATAATTGTAAACTGTGCAATTAACTATCAGCATGACTCCTTCTGAGCTCCTTGGGTATGCCAACCTGAGCTTCAACCTGAGAGAAGTAACATAAACGAAAAAAGAGGGAGTGTATAACTTTAAGGAAGAAATCTGGCAGAGGTAAAGTAGAGAATCAGTACCTAGCAGGCACAGAGATAATAAAGAGTTTAGCTTGTAAGTAAAAAGCTCAACATGACCTGATGGAAAGATTGATAGTCTTGGAAGTGAACACCAATGTAGGTAAATCAAATAATCAATGTTGGTACAGAAAAGTCTTGAAAAATGCACTCTTTTTCTTGATAGGTGAGGAGAAAGAAAGCAAGCCTTGCAACAGATATACAAGATTGAAATAGTAAACAAAAAATGACACACAGCCAAAAAACATCATAGAATGGAAAAACAACTTTTAATAAGATCATGGGTTCACAACTTGTTTCCCTTGATCCCCATACTGAGGTCATGCTACAGGCAGGACTCAATCAATTGATATTTTCTTTTTGGTAAGAATCAGTGACCACTGTAAAGTTGCAACATATCCACATTCAAGATTGAGATAGAGTCTAGACACAGTAGTATACTGGAGAGTGATCACCAAAAATATTAATTTTTTGCCAGAATGATTTGAGGCAAAAGAGTTTGGTCAGTCTTGAGGGAAAATCAAAAACCAGACAATTGAAAGACAATTGGAAGTGAAGACTGTCCAACATCACTTTATGGGTGGCTAAACATGTGTCTGCCAAAACATAGGCTGCATGTGGGCAGCGAGACCATAAGGCTACAGACAACTCCTGGACCTAAGATTGCTCAACCTCATTTCCAAGATCCCTTTGTGCTATGTAAAAGGTATTCAACTTACACAGGAACATTTCCTTTTGTTTATTCATACAAAGAAACCATGACTTCCTTTCATAAACTTTGACCTCCACATTGATCATCTTACAATGTTTAAGAAAGGGCTGATGAATGACCAGATGCTTGGCTTCAAAGGAAACCTTTCTATTCTCCTGTTCATCAATTTGATTGACACTTTTAAGATTTACATATGCCCCTTGACCAAGAATCTGAAGTGTATTTTCAATATCTAAAACTTGATCACATTATTTGAAGTAGGACTGGTGATCTGCAATTTGATACATAGGGATAAGATCTTTAGCTGTGCTACATATTAAGATTGCTAGTGTGAAAGGATTGGTATCTGATGACTGTGAGTGATGAGTCTTAGAACAATGGGCAATGTTAGAGTGACTCTGATTTGAGTGGTGATGGTTGTTAGAGAAGCTCATGGGCCAATCCTAAAAAGGGAGAGTGTTAAACCCTTTTGCTGAGTTGAATTGAAATTTTCATTTTCATCAGATCAACAGACTTTCTTGATTTTCTTTTTTCAATCTTCAACCATTCGATTTCTACTCAACCCTTAAACAATTCAAACCAAACTTTTTATATTTGTGTATATCTTGTCCTTCATTCTTTTACAGCTTAGTGTTTATCAACCCAACTTTAATCTTTCAAACCGAACCGTTTATTAAAAAGAAATCAAGTTCAAGACTATCAAAGGCTTCTTTATCAACAAATCAATCATCAAGATCATCATACTTTATTCATTGGAATGTCAAACTTTCAACTTCATCCAGATATCCTTCAAGGTTCAAACGAAGTTTTGCCTCCTAAAGCCATCTTTGACGCGCTTCAAGAATTTTTCGTGGGTCAAGTTTCACGAACTGATCTGATTAATGCTTGGAAAGTTTCATATACTCAAGCACTTCGGGACGGAAATCAAGAACCAAAGGATGGAGAAATAGTGAGTTCTTTTCCGTGATTTGCTTGATGGTTTCGTTTTACAATCCTAACACCTTACTGATTTCTGAACCAATTCTTTATAGATTCAAGAGTCTATAAACTATTTATTAGATACGGCTGGAAAACAAGATGATCATTTGAAAAATAACTCAGAACCAATTTTAACAAAACCTCATGAAGAAAAAGCGGTCCGGTTTGATGAATTACCATTTCATCCTTCTGAAACACCTAAGAAACTTGATCATCAACCCAAACCTATGCAAACGAATTTTTCTAAAGAGCCAGTTGCGACCGACCAGATCGATCGAAAAGGCAAGAAACGAGTGCTACATATAGATTGTAGTGACGATGATAATGATAATGATGAGGTTCCTTGTGTGCTTTCGGTTGCGTCTACCTCTAAGATTAAGAAACATAGACGATCCCTCGATAAAGACAATCAAGCGGGTGGATCTGGTCAGTTGTCTTCCCTTTCACTCTAAAGCTCTGTAAAGTATGAAATCTGATGGGATCTCTGTCTTTTCGGCATTCTGATGACAAAGACGGTTTACCAATCGCTAGTACTTCTACTTCCAACACTCCACTCAAACCCAAGGTTCTAACCCAGACCGAAATCATTACCAAGATTCATGAAATTATACCTGATGTGGAACCTAAATTTGCTATTCAACTTTACCATTCTCAACCTGCGAATGTAGAAAGCACCGAACAACGTATACTTCATGTAGTTAATCATATACTTGAACAACCTAGTTATCCAAAAGATACATCCGAGACACTTAATCAAACTCAATCTTCTTCTGATGTTGAGAAAGAAGAAGAAGCCAAAGAAAAAGAAACCAAAGATGAGATGACAAAATTATATGAATCAGGTCTTGAAAGATGGACCAAATCAGTTCGAGAGAATCCAACTTATCTAACTCAAGCCGTCGCTATCAAGATCTTATCTCAATACTTTCCATTCATCCCCGTTAGTTTTCTTAAACAAACTCTTTCAGAAAAATCACATCTGGCACCTACATGGATTTATTTAGAAACCGAACTTGGTAAACCGGAAGAAGAACGAATGATCCCTTTAAACAAATCAAAACGAACCTTACCACGTCATGATATTTGGCGTGATCCGGCTCAAGCTGGTGTTGAATTTCAAGCTGAATTTGATTGGCTTATGGCTCGTGCTGCTCATCTTTCTCAAACTAGAGCTGAAGAAGAGAGAGAAAAGGCTTTAGAAGCATCGGAAGAATCGAGAGGTCTTTTACTTGAATGTCAGTGTTGTTATGACAACTTTAGATTCGTTAGGGTCAGTCCTCTTGATGTGTTTCTATCGAATCTTTTTTAACAGTTTTGATTAACCTTGATATCTTTTTGGATATGATGGATTACCTAGATGATTCAATGTCCAGAAGGACATTTATTTTGTAACGATTGTGTCAAAAGAAATGCGGATGTTCAAATCGGTAGTAATAAAGCTGATATCAGATGTATGGATACATCAGATTGTCCATCGATCTTTTCCAAAGCTGAACTTTCGAAAGTCTTAAACCTACAAATGTTAAAAAGGCTAGAACAAATCGAATTAGAAGCAAGTCTTGATCAAGCTAATATCGAAGGATTAGAGAAATGTCCGTTTTGTGTATGGGCTGTGATTATTGAGAATCCATCTGAACGGGTCTTTCGATGTGGAAATCAGGTTGGTGTGAAACGTTCTTTGATATCTTCAATTTATTTGGAGTTGGCCGTTGGGTTTGATTGACCTTGTGGTTTTGAACAGAAATGCTTGAAAGAAACATGTAGACAGTGTAAAAAAGCAAGTCATATTCCTAAAACCTGTGAAGAAGTGAGGATAGAAGATGCGAAGATCAATTCGATTCATGTGCTAGCAGAAGCGGTAAGTGATCACATCATCTGGAAACTTCACATGTGCTTAATTTATTGACTTTTTTTGATTTGGGGTTTTGGTTCAGATGACAGACGCATTGATTAGGAAATGTCCAAAGTGTCGTCAATGCTTTGTAAAGGAAAGTGGATGTAATAAGATGTTGGTTAAATCTGATTCAAATTTTTATAGAAGCACTTCTTTGACTGATATGTGTTCATGTTTGATTGATTAATCTTCAAAACAGGCGATGTATGCATTGTCAAACACTATCGTGCTACGTATGTCAACAGATTGTGACTGGATACGACGTAAGTGATAATCTCTCGACACATTGGCTCAGTTCAATCAGATTTCTAAAAGATTTGAATTGCCTGAATTGGTTTATGGCGAAATAGCACTTCATGAACGCTGGACCTAATCTACAAGGAATGACACCTGATCCCAAAGCGAAATGTCCATTATGGGATGATACACAAACTCGACATGATAAAGAGATCGAAGATGCATTGAGAGTGGCCAACCAAAAGTTAAACCAATCTACTTCTACTAATCCAGAAGGAGTGTTGAGTAAAGCGGAGTTAGAAGCACTTCGTCGTGATCCTGTACCACGTGCTGTAGGTGATAATCTTTTTTCAATCAAGTTTTTCTTCATTCATCAGTTCTTCTTTTACCTGTACTTCATCTAAGATATGATGAATCTAAGAGCTGATGTATATTTTCCTTTACCTGATGATCTTGTTAATCCATTCGTCTAATTCCATCTAATCTATTTGAACATTGTCAATGACAGCCAACAGGACATCATCATGGGATGCCTCCGGATGTTTTACATCAAGCAGCATGGGCAGGTGCAAGAGCAGGTTAGGATTTTCTTTTTGACTCCTTTCTTTTTTCTCTTTTTTTGGGGAGATTTGATGAAGACTTGGATTCAAGATTTATAAAAGAAAATCTGTTTTTTTTGTAATAGAATTGGTTATTTTTTTCTTGACTTGAAACTTGGTTGAAATTTACTGACTTTTGAATATGATTTTTTTTGCCTACCAAATCTTATTCTTACTTTTGTTTTTTTTGGATCATCAAATCATTGATTTGGCTAATGGAAAATTTTATAACGTGATGGGGCTTTTGTTTGTTACACTGATTTTGATTTTTCATAGATCCCATGATTGCTTATGAGATGAGAGTAGAAAGGGAAAGACTTAGGACAGAAAGAGCAAGAGATGAAGCATTAAGAATGCATATTGAATTAATGACTCGTCGTAGGAATCAAAGAAAAAGAGATATTTAGTTTTGAGGGGGTGGGAGAGGGGAGTGGATTTTTGATCTGTTTTTTTGGGTTTTGTTTTGTTGGTTGGGTTCGGGTTGTGGTGTTAGAGATGATGTTTTGTTATTTTTTAATTGATATTTATTTAGATTTGCATATATGAGTATTATATGATTTGTGGAAATCAAAAGGTTTGATTGACCATAATGAGGTGGTTGAAGTTGAGATGTGAAAGTGATGAAGATCAGTATTGAGAATGAATGAATGAATGGTTGATTAATGACTTTCATGGTTAGTCAGCTTGTTGTGAATTTTCAAGTTTAAACTGAGAAGCCACGACCAAATACAACTCAATACAGTTTTCTAATTTACTTTGGTTACTTTCCTTCAGTTGATTGCTTGTTGACCCAATTGTATGCAGTTTTGAATTTCTCATTTCGATTTCCTGTTGACCAACTCATCAACTCATCAACTCACCAAACCACTCAGCATGGATCATCAAACTGCAAATTATGATAATTCAATCAAACTGACATTCTTAACTCTTAATTGTTGGTAAGCTAATCGAAAAAAACTCAATCTACTTCAAAGAGACAATCACTGATTCAGATTGATACTTTATAGGGGATTAAAATATGTTTCATCACATCGATTAGAAAGAATTCATGCGATTGGAGATTTCTTAGCACATTCTTCTACCAATCATTCTAGAAACCCATCTATCAATTCACTTGAAGCTTTTTCTGATTTACAACCTACTAATAATTTGAAATCTGTTTCAACTATTAATAATAATACAAATCATCATCCAATCGAATCTAATCATCAACATCATCATCATCATCATCATCGATCTAATTCTAATTCAACTAAGATTCTCATTGATGATAAAACTGGTTTATATGATGTAGTGGCTTTACAAGAGTTATGGGTTTATCATGATTTTTGTGTTATTAGAGATCGAGCTAAAGAAGGTGGATTGATTTATAGTAAATGGTTTCATAGGTAAACAAATCACTCCTTTAATTCTAAAGCTTGATTCTTCTTTTTGTTTTGTAAACACGAATCATCTTTTTTTGTGAAAAAAAACTTAATCTTCTTTTATATTCGATAATCTTCTTGAAATCTTTAGTGCTGCTTTAGGTGCTGGTCTGGCGATCCTTTCTAGATATCCGATTATCGAAAGTCATTTTTATGCATACGCTTTGAATGGTCATGCATTACATTTTATTGAAGGGGATTTCTTTGTGGGTAAAGCGGTTGGTAGTTGTTTGTTAGATGTACCTTTGGTAGGTCAAGTCGAAGTCTTTTCAACACATGTAAGTTTTTGTTTTGGTTCAAACGTTTCAACTCTTTTCAAAACACTTATCTTGATTTTTTGGGGGGTTTTCTTATTCTTAGCTTTATGCTCCTCATGATGTACCTGCACCTGAATGGAAACGTGCTCATCGAACTGCTCAAGCATGGGAACTTGGAAAACTGGCCAAGGCTTCTGCTGAACGCGGTAGGACAGTATTTGTTGTAAGCACTCATCGATCCCCTTAACTCATCCTACTTCATCTGAGCCCTGATGATCTTACTTTTTCTTTTCGGTCTTAGTGCGGTGACTTGAACTCGGTACCGTCTTCATTACCTATCACTATCTTACAAGCTCATGGTCAACTACGAGACTCTTGGCAATCCTCACATCCTACTAATCTTTCATGTATCACTAACAACGAAGCAAGTTATCGAAATGCGATTAAAGAAGAAGGTATCACATGTGATTCGTTGATCAATACCTTTACGGCTTCTAAAAACGCAGCGAATAGAGGAGCCAAAGGGTTTGGGAAACGATTAGATTATATTTTATTTAGACCGGCAGCTAAACGGATCACTCAACGAGACAAACATGGTAGATGTCAAACTGAGTTTATAGATGATCAAGTCATCAATTGTGATGATTGCCATGTGACTTTAACCGATCCGATTCCAGTGTTTGGTTACTCTTATTCAGATCATTTCGCTTTACAAGCTACGTTTACGATTTATCCTAATTCGATGGAATCGATACTTGAAAATCAATTAAATCATGATTCATCATCGACTTCGACTTCTACTAAACTTAATTTGAATCATACATCACCTCCACCTACTTTAACAACCGAACATTTAAATAATTCGTTATCTGCTTTAATGACCAAGTATAGATCATCCGAAAGATCATCAAGTTTTCAATTATGTTTGTTTGGGATTTGTTTGGTCTTGGTACCTGGAATTTCAATTGCTGCAAGTTTTCAACCTTTAAGTTTTTTGAATTGGATCTTCACTTTATTGAGTGTTTTGATTGGAGGTTTTGGGATGACAATGTTGTATACGGGTTTCTTGGGTGGCAATTGGGAAAGAAGTTCGATTAAGGAAGTGTGTGAGGAAATGCAATTCGAGTTGGAAAGGTTAAGGAAGACTGATCAGAGGAAAGATTTGTTTGATCAGAGGAAAGATTTGTTTGATGAGAGGAATTGTGGTGTTGGGAATGGGAATTCGAATGGGAATTCGATTGGGAATGGGAATGGGATTCTTAATAAGTAAAGCCGATTTGACTTTTCTATTGTTTTTGATTTTTAAAAAAACATTCGTGTAGCATTTCTTACTTTAACTTTTTTTTTCTTTCCTTTTTCATTTTTCATTCTTCATCTTTCATCTTCATTTTTCATCTTCGTTTTCGTTTTCGTTTTTTTTTGGTCATTAAGAAAAATTAAAGTCTTATGATTCATGTTGATGATTTGATTTTAAAGCATTACGAAAAGAAAAAACACTAAATGAAGAAAACGTTTTAAAGGATTAGTAGTACATAATTTTTATCATACAAAGTTGAAGAGAAAGATGATTATATATATATATATGTTTTTTTTCTTTTTTTTTGATATTGATTGGGCCCCTTATTTGAATGGGTTTTTCTTTTTTTTATTTTCTTTTTTTGTTTGGCTTGCTTTTCTTCTTCTTCTTCTTTTTCTTATCTCTTGTTGTTTTGATTTAAACTATTTTTTTTGCTCTGAACTAAAATAAAATAAAACAATTAAAAATTAAAAAATCAAAGATTATCAACTTTTTTTCTCATTTTTTTTATTTTCATCTTCACCAAATTCAGAAAGTTTAAAGACTAGTTGAATGTGTAAGAAAATTGTCAAAAAACTCAAAGGTTGTAAAGATGAAAAGTTCAAATGGGTAAAATCATCAATCCTTTCTTGTGTGAATCTTTCTTCAAGTGTGTAGTGGGTGAAATCAAATGGTTGTAATTCATACCAAGGTATCATACATTTGTAAACGATTACTAGAGCTTGAGTCTTGACACTTGAAGTTGTGGGGTTGAGCAGCCGATCAAAGTTTTGGTCTGGAATACTTTCATCGTAGGAAAAAGATGATAAATTTATACCAAGACATGATTTTTTTACAAGTTTCTGGATATCTCTCATCTAAGACATGATTTTTTTTACAAGTTTCTGGATATCTCTCATCTATTCATCAGAGAAATCCTTGTATACATATTTATTTGGAAAGAAATCATAATGTTTCAGGGTTATTCTTGAAATTGATTTCCATTTATAAAAACATGACGTTTATTTATGTTGTGGATTTGGAACAGGTTATGAAAGTTTAGGAGAAGTACTTTATAATATGCAGAGGACAAGAGGTCTTTGGACTGTCAACTGAGATTGAGTTGATTGGGAAGTGAAGGATTGAAAAAAGATTGTGATGACTTTAATGTGAAGTTTGCACAAAGGGGTCTGGATTCTGGAATATGACTCAGCGGGGCCAAATGGATAACCGTTCGAGTATTCACAGCGTTTGTGAGAACCAATGGCATTTTTTCGATATACATCAACGACTTGGTTCCACGCACTATACACATACTTTATTGTTTTTCCTTTATTAGAGGTTATAATGTGATCACATTTTTGGTTGTAAGACCTCGGTGCAGTTATACCAAGCGATATCTTAATGGCTGATAAATTCCTGAACTAAGCAAAGGCAGCTCTCGAGGAGCTGGCTGTATCTTGCACTGAAGACAAAGAACCATTAATTTTGAGGAGTATACAAAGTTGGATAATAATGAAGAGGTCAGGGATCTTGCAAGCCCATTCCAACTTTCAAAGGCTCTTCCACTACACAGAAAGTAGCATAGTTGAGCCTTGAATGATAGATTCCCACCTTCATTGCTTGGAAAGATTGATATAGGATATAAAAGCGTCAAATTTCTTCAAAAAGTCAATAAGTGAAGTGAAAAAATGAGAAACAAAATGAAATAGGTGGTGAGGGTAGAGTAGAAATGTTTGAGACTGTTCAGTTTAGAGTCTTTGATGAGGTAATCTCTTTATAACACTAGGCTTGATTTCCTTTGGGGTGGAGGGGGCTCACAATCACAAAATCACAACTTTCAAATGATAGGTTAGAGATCAAAAACGAAAACAAAACAAACAAAAACTTTGAAGGTGTCAAAAACTCGAATAAAAAGGGCCTTCACATCAATTAGCTTTCAACTAAGGACAATTTGGTCCGTTTCCACACCTCAATTGGCTACTTGCGGTGATTTCAAAGTTAGGCTGGGTACCTATAGCAAATGCATTGGAAGAGAGACATTGACCGGATCCAGATGCAGTAGCTCCTTGCCAATTCGGTGGTAACAACCTCTGATTAGAGGTTACATATCCCTTGAGTGTGTTCCCCTCACAGATGGCCTAGAAATTCAGATCATTGATATGATGGTCAAGGTCTAAAGCTGAGATGAGTGATTGACATTGTAATCAAAACCTTACTGTGTTTGGATTTGTTGCGGAGTTACTGGGGTTAGGACAATATGTTCTGTCCGCACACGTCAAAGGTCCAGTTGAGGTGATTGCAAAGTTGGGCTGAGTACCTAAAGCAAATGCTTTTGAAGAGAGACATTGGCCAGATCCAGACGCAGTAACTCCTTGCCACATCGGTGGTAACAACCTCTGATTAGGGGTTACATATCCCTTGAGTAAGGCACCTTGACAGATTGCCTGAAATCGAGATGATCATATGAATTAAGTGGAGTCATTCTGGTCAACAGACGAAGCTAAGATAGGAGATTTTGATTGGACTCAGAAACTTACTCGACCCTGAGATTGGACTTGAGTCACAAGGAGTACAACAATACCGACGGCTGCCCACACAAGATTCTTCACTTGTAAGGAGAATGTCATGATGTTGGATGTCGAGGAGTGCTCTGAAGATGATGGAATCGATGAACTGTGATGCGGAACAGAGATAGAAAGCAGGCGAAACGTAATATAAAATCAAGGAAATGGAGAAAATAAAGAAAGCCTCAATATGGATTTCAAACTCAATGGACTTGAAAGCAGTACACAACGACAAGAAGATCAGATGTGGATTTTTTTACCTGAATCAATGATCAAAGATAATGTAAAGCAATGATAATAAGGATTTGATAATTTGTCAAATTTGATTGAAGGAGGAAACAGACCACTAATCAGGCTGAGAGGATAAACCAGAGACGAATAAACTAATGAAGAGAAGAAACACTAGATGCAAATGAAGCCTACTCTTTTAAAGACCTAGAAACTCTGTCACTGCAGTGCCAGTGATCGTGGCTGTGAAAACTTCGTCCTGCTCAACGCCTCCGATCCCACTCTCCAAGTAATCAGTAGTAGAAAATGATACTAAACTTGACGAGGTCTGGAATATCTTACCACCAATAATTCCTTTCTACTCCCACGAAACCGAATTTCGAATCATCAAAAACCTTCATCAACAATCGATGAAACCTATTATCAATTGTTTCTTAACGTAGCTCTTGTCAATGCTCCTCGGAGGCGAGGAATTCACCGCTTGGATTGATTAAACCTTGTGACGGTGGCGATGTTAGAGGGAGAAGAAGTGAATCTCCGTGTGATCAATGTAGAGCAAATCATTGTGAAAGTACCTTGACGGATCTTTATGTTTCATTCATAGCATTGGCATTCTTGCTCGCTCGGAGCTCAGCATAGCTCTCGAATCTCAGGATGAGTGAGGATATCTCCGTCCGGAGGGGGCCGGGGGGGGTGGCGGCTTGCGACTCCGAAGAGACCACACAGAGCTCGCCCTTGAATTTAAATGTCCAATTTTTCCATGTGGTCTTTGGAGCTTGAAGTAGGCAGAGGGTATTGTTATAAAGGGAATGGGGGTGACACATCGTCAAAGGTAAGCCCCACGACAAAGATGGCCAGATTGGCGATGTAACGACGTGCTTCTACTGAAAGTGACCAGTCTAAACAGCTGTTCAACTTGTTTTCATTTTTTCCATTGTTTGTCAAAATCGATTTATTTATCTTGAAGCAGTTCCGCAAAATATCAATAGGGGCTCTCAAACCTGACCCGGTTTGAAAAAACCCAGTTGACCCAGTTGAGTTTTTGGCTGGGAGCTGTCAATAAATGTCAAATTTATATACAAAGTTACTGCCAAAAAGTCAACTGGGTCAGGACCCTGGAAAGCTCCTGGAGAACAAACCGTCCTGAGGGGGTTTTCGGATACCGGTGTTTTGTGAAGTCATGTCACATGGTACCAGAGATGTGACAGGTGCAAAAGATGCGCCTCAACGAGGGCTATCAGATGGTACACATGTCTGACCCTGAACATGACTGGTGGCTTGGGAAATGTGTGATTTGTAACTTTTGCCCCCCCAGACCGACGAAAATCCATACCGGCTCGGGTCGGGTACTTACATACGGATATCTCGGTGATTACACGTGGTACAGAACTGAAAGTATATGTAATCGAGAGCCCTGATCAAGGCGCTTCTCCTACCACCGAGAAATCCATGTTAACCCACCTCTCCTCGGGGCAAATAGTGAAAGTGTGAGGGCCGGGGCCGGAATGGATCGAGGACGGTTTGTTCTCCAGGAGCTTTCCGGGGTCCTACTGGGTCAACTGGGTTTTTGAAAACCGGGTCAGGTTTGAGAGCCCCTAATATCCAGGAAATTCAAAATTTCAAAATTTCAAAATTTCAAAAATTCATCACTGAAAATCTTTCACCCATCTTATTATCCTAATTATCAAGAGATACATATCACACAATGATTATATATATACCATTCAGATATCAATGAAAAGCTTATGTATTAGAGTTGAAGTGATGTGGAAGTCTTTGAAGAAATATTTGTAAGTAGATCTCATGAGAGTCTTATCTGAGTTAATCTTCAAACAAAACACAATAATTCTTGTAGTCGAATTCACAAAATTTACTGAGATTAACTGGTGATGTTATCATGTTTTAATCTTATGTCCATTATTTTCTACTCGCAGGTTTTTTTTGGTTATCTTACCATAGAAAAATTGAGTTGAAGGGAAATGCGCTATTTTGTAACATTTTCTGGAGTTGGTTTATTGATTTTCTTCACACAAAGAAAGACTTGGCGAGTGTGTTTTGCTTTGAGGATATTGTGTGTCATTCCAGATCCGCATTTTGTGGGATCAAGAACCGCTACACCTAGCTACTCTGACTCCTGACTGGTTAAGGTACCGTTAAGTACACGTATGGGTTTTATCTCTTAAGTTTTGAGATTATGGTTAAATACTAAGTCCAAGTTTTAATTTTGGTCATCTCATTCGATTTTGAACATCTTCATCTTCATTTTCTACTTCTCAATATCTTCATTCACCAAGCTCCACAAGACCACTGACCTATGAACCATGCTCGAAATTCAATCTCTATACATCAAATCTTATGAAATAGTAACTGAAAATAAAAAAACATTTGTCAGAGTAAGTCAAACTGTCATTCAATTCCAAAGTCAACGCCATCACTTACATCATTTCCTATCTTAGTACCCAATCGAGATCACCACGAGGTTGAAGGCTTATATAGTCAAACGTCGATATTCTGAATTCGAACAATTACGACTAGAATTATCAGCCGAACTTGAAAAGGCTCCACAACTTGATCGAGGAAGTTCTTCAACACTTCTTTTACCACCTTTACCACCTAAAACTAGAGGTGTCTTTGGTTATCTCACTGGATCTGGTTCTATTCCTGATCCAAGTAAACTTTTGGAACGTCAACAATCACTTGAACGTTGGTTAAAGTCGATTATCATTAACAAAGATTTTAGGACCGTTATTGCTCAGAGTCCTTCCTTGAGTCGATTTTTGGATTATGAGCGACCTCAAACGTCTTCGACTTCAACTGGTACTATTCAATCAGAAGAATCGAACCGTTTCACCCCTCAGACTTGGCTTATTGAGCATAACGATCTCAAGGCTGGGATCAGAGAAATTTATTCCTTACTTGAGGAGAGAAATCAACTCATTCAACGAAGACTTTCGAACCCAGGTGGATCATCTGCAAGTTCAGAGTTACGAGAATCAAATCGATTAAGTGTGGAGGCAAAACGTCAATTAGTCTCTGTTACTGCTCGGGTAGGGGATTTGCTTAAAAGTCTTCAACAGTTTTCAGCACCGAATAACGGGACCAAGATGAATGGGAAAAAGGTTTTGGCAAGTGTGAGCCAAGGAGAACTTGAAAGAAGATCCAAGTTGGTGACTAGCTTACAAGATGATTGTGAGAAGCTTTCTAAACTCACTGTCTTTGCTAGAACCCAAGCGGGTGTGGCATCACGTGGCCGAGTTGAAGTACCAATCGAAAACTCTGAGCAACGTAACGAATTATTAGGAGTAAATGGAACAGGAAGAGGACCACCTACAACAAGAGTATTAGGAGGAGGAGGAGGTCGAACAGGAGTAGCAGAAGAAACAGCTGTGACACGTGGATTAGATAATCGAGCTTTAATGGATTATCAAGTACATACAAAGATTGTAGAAGAACAAGATACGAAATTGAAATCCTTAACTGAAATCTTACAAAGACAAAAGATGATTGGTATGTTGATTAATAATGAGTTGATGGAACAAAATGAAATCTTGGATGAATTTGGAAATGAAATTGATTCTACTACTAAGAAATTGAATGAAGCTAAAAAGAAAATGAACAGATTAGGTGCATGATCAAATTGGTCTTTTATTCATCATGATGGAGTTTTTCTTTTATTGATTTTTATTGATTTTGGATATGCTTAATGATTGTAACTTTTTTTTATCTTTGATACTCTTTCTTTTTAATACTAATCGTAACTGCATATTGACCTGTTTCTTTTTTCAAGTTTTTGATTTAATTTTCACTTTTTACTTTTTATCATTTTGGAATATATCAATGTATCTATTCAAACTCTTTGATTATCTCTTATACATTAGATCTCTTTTTCAATTTGTTTTTTTTGGTAATGTACATTTTCATTTATTGAGTATTAATAGCATGAATCAAAATTGGACTAAAGTTTAGAGTTTGTATTAATGTGAATGATTGAAATGAAATTTGAATGATTTACAAGTTAAGGATTGGGTTGTAGTAGATATCTTATATAGATTTAATGCAAACTGCATATGAAAATAGTTGATAAGAAGAGAAAAATTCATGCAAGACTCCTGGCATGTGTTGTGAATGGCTGCCTGCAGGTATAATATACTTTGAGCTTCAGGACAGAGCTGGGTTGAGTTTAGTGTTGGGATCTTCAGTCTCAGAAGTCAGACACCCAGTTAGCTTAACAAAGCGCTCTTTGCACAGCCGCACCCATGCAGAAGGCCTTGCCACTAATTGTGAAAGTCTAGCAGGAGCACAAGATACCAAAGTTCTAAGTCAGTTAATCTCTCATGAGTCAGCAAGAGAACAGACCCAACTCTAGTGAAGGCTCTATAAGAGTTACAGATCCTTGATCAGCAATCCAGTAAGAGCGCCCACTATGTTGAGGGTGTTTTATTGTAAGTTTTGTGGTCCTGTCTGATTGCAAAATTTGATCACAGGGGTTATTGTTAAGTTGTTAACCGCATGAGATCCACTATGAAATGATGTAATGGTGTTTTAGAAAGTTCTAAGTAGGCAGCTATTATTGACATGCTAAGATTTTGAGGCTAGAGGGAAGATGTTGAGTGAAGAGTTGGATGTTGACTGATTTGATGAGCAAAAGGTCTACAATAAATCAAGTTTTAAGCTTGTGTAAATTTGAACAAGCTTGATACATTCATAGGGACCACAAGTCAAAAACAGAGTGGGTGTTCTAAAGATTCAAATAACAACCTGATAAGTATTATAGCGGCTGTACCAGTATGTCTTGGATCTGCATTAATTGTGGATCAAAAACCTCTAAGCAGGAATGAATAGTCTTCAATAGATGGATATCATAGGGAGCCTAAGACTTTTATCATGAGCTACCAAGGTTTTGTTGTGGGTTTTGCCATTGCAAGTGGACCAGGTTCAGGTGGAAAGCTGTACACTTTTAATGGTGCCAAGGTGCATATCCCACACAGACACGCAGGTACTTGTAATTGATTTTTGCAGCCACATATTCACAGGGATCTGTCTTGGTGAGACCAAAGGTGACCCAAGAGACAAGCCTATATTCTGAGAATTACTGATGTTGAAGGGTTTGTAGTCACTGATAAGCTCAATGTTTATCAACAAATTATCTTATGTGGTACTGTGCCAAATAACCTCTTGATAACTAGACCATTTCTGTTTTTTTGCTTTCTAAAAACTGTTTTGCCACTTCGTTTATCTGTTGTGGTTATAGAAAAAGGGATTAAAGCAGATATCATCTGTGCCAATTTTTTGAACAAGATGCTTCTGATTGATTCTTGTCACTCTTGGAGAGCGAAACTTTGAAGCTGCACTGTGCACACCCTTCCTTTCGCGCACATTGAGCCAAGGAATCAGCACATCTGCACGTGCAGACTGTGAAAAACAGCCGCGGTCCACTGTCTTCAAGGGGGTTCAAATTCCTGACAAGAATTTTTTCGTATTTGATGATTTATAGTTAGCTTTCAAACTAGCATTGGCGGGCTCGAGTGAGCTTAGCAATGGCATGTTGTGTGATTTTGGGTCTTCTAGCGATGTACACAAAAAAAGACTCAACCCAAACTTCCATTCCTCAGGTGGGACATTTTTGTGTTTCTTTGAAAAGAGTTTGGCTCTTTACGTGCGGTATTTTCCTGCAGTAAGCTCCTCTATTGTAAGACACCAAGATCCAGGTGTTGCGTTTGTAGATGGTGAGTGAGATTTAGGGGTTGGTGAAATATGATGATGATTGATTTGATTTGATCTGGTGAGGTGTGAAATGTGGAGAATTTGAAGTTACACATGAGTTTCACTGAGTTGAGATGTGGTGATCGAGTGTGGTACCCCTTCGATCCGATCGATTTTGAACTCCTCTGAACATTCTCGATCAAAAGATATCATTCAACTTCAACCATCAACCATCAACCATCAACTTATATCAACATTCTTTTCGATTCGAAGTTACCAATTCAAACCTTCAAACCACCATACCACAAAACAAAATCAATACCATTTCAAAAATGAATCACTTTTCAATTCACAATCAAAACATAGAAACCTTAATAAACAACCTATCAAAAACCCTACAACTAGACAACCTACCATACCATTTACCGATCATATTAAGTTCAACTTTAACATGTTTTGTTTTACAATCCATCTCACATCAAATCCTTTCACCTAAATGTTTTCCAAAACATTATCCTAATTTATCTTCCTTTACTAAATTCAATTGGGATACTCATTTTGTGGCTTGGGTTCATTCTTTTTTTGCTACTTTTATTGGTTGTTGGTTTTTATTGAATTATGATCGGTTTCAAGAATTACATGATGATAAGTTATTTGGGTATAATCCTTTTGCTGTGTAAGTTCATCATTTTTTTTTTGCTTCAATTTCGATTAAGTGATTTTTTTGGGTTTAAACATTGATTTGATGATCGTAGGAATCTTTTATCAATTTCAACCGGTTATTTTTTATGGTAAATCGAATCATGCATAAAACAATCATTTTTCAATCAATTGATGCGTTTGTGAACTTTTTGTTCAAATTTTGCAAACTATCGCGAATTCGAAACATTCATAATCGATCATAGGGATATAGCCGTTAGTACATTAATGGTCATCAAAGGGAATGGGATCGGTTTCTTTTTACATGCTGCAAGTTGTTTTATAGCTTTTCTTTATACAATCAAACCTTTTGGTGGTTATTATGGATTCGTGTTTCTCTTGGTAAGTGGTGATTTTTGTTTCTAACTTTAAGGAAGACAACTGACACTTCTTGATCTTTTTGAAATCAGTGGGAGTCATCTACTATCTTTTTAAATCCGCATTGGTATTTACAGCTCTGATCTCAAAAGACTATATATCATGATCTCTTTCTGATCTTAGTTGAATCGTTTGGTGTTCTATGTCAAGGTTTTTCGATAAGATAGGTATGACAGGATCTAAAGCCCAAATGTATAATGGAATTGCACTCTTGATAACATTTTTCCTATCAAGGTATATTGAAACCTCTTTTTCTAAAAGAAAATATGATGACTGAAATGTTTTGTTTTGTTTTGTTTTACATAGACTAGTTTTGGGTAATTATGTTTCTTATGAAATCTTTGTTAGTACTTCTCAACCTGGTGTTAGTGAAAGAGTTGGAAGGAAAACTTTAAATACGATTTTATCTTTAGATGTCTTATTGTCAGGTGTGTAATCTTGTGATATTTAAACTTGCTTTTCTTGAAGTTTTCTTTTGATGAGGATGATGTAAAAGCTGATCTTTTTATTTATCTTTCTGTTCTAGTTTTGAATGTTTACGTAAGTGTTTTGGTCTGAATTGTCATGAGGTGTATTTAGATAAAATAAATAACTAATGATTGATAAAATGGTGTCTTTTCATTTATATAAAAGTGGTTCTATCAAATGATTTCAAGTATAAAAAAGAGAATGAAATCAAAACCAAATCAAAAAAGGAAAAATCAATGAAAAAAAAACAACAACAAATTCATCAAAATGATTCTTTTTTTTGCTTTATTTATTATTTGATATATAATTTAAATTCTGTAAAGTTTTTTCCTCTTAGGATCACTCTCTTTTTTTGGTTTCTTGCATGATGTTTTTCAACTTCAAGATTATGTGATTGAAGAGTTTCTGATTATTTTCTTTCTACAGTTTTTTTTTCAAATAACTTTCTTTCTCTATGTTTCCTTAATTTTGTCAAAGAAAATCAAAACACTGGCAGTTTTTTTACAATGCATTGCAATTTATTTAGATTTTTTTCAGAATTATAGTATGTTGACAAAATCAATATCTTGTTGAATGGCAGCTGTTCAGGCATCAAGCTATCAAGGCCTGGGATAGAGAAATTGGTTATGTTTCTAGGTTGATATTTTTGTTAGATGCAAATGAAGTCAGGCAGCACATAGACTGTGGTTGATTAACTGCAAGGTATGTTATGTCACTCAAGTCTGAGTATGGACCATGTACTACTCAGACTCTCTGATCAGTGCACACACAGAATCTGAGTGGCAAATTGTCACATTGTTGATGCGTGACTTTGAATCACATTAATTGCCCCCTAGTCATGGGTTCTCATTTGTTGTTCAAGTTGTTTTCCTCCTCATATGGAGCTGCCTTACATAGGCCTTAGCAGACATTACTATCATATATGATCTGTAATACAGCCCCTTCAATCCATATGCTCAAAACTTACCTCAGTTCAAAGTTCAAACTGGTTCTGCATATGTAAGATGTTCTTATTGGTCTGTGTGTACCCTATGGAATATGAGTGTACCTTACTCAAGTTTTAATTGCCATACATATTTGATGTTGAAACATATTGGGAAAACAAGAGAGGGTGCATAGGCAAAGTCACAGATCTTGGAAACTGTAGTTTGGCAAACAAACTGCAGTTTATCTTGTGGTAAGTCGTTTTAACATCAAAACGGTTGAATGTGATGTTGAGAGCCCACCTAGAACCTGCATATGTGGAGCACCTGGCTCAAAATCTGGAGACTCTTGATGTCTCACCCCCAATGGTGTGAGGTCCGCTAGAGCAATTTTTGGCTATTTGATGCCCCACATCATCAAGAGCCTACACAATTTGGGGACCACTTTGGATGCTCTCATGTGCAAGCCTCTGTTTACCTTTGGCATCTTATTGTCTCATTCAAGAAAGATATTCCAAAGGTAAGGTATTATTTGTTTTCTTCTATCAACACTTTCAACTAAATAGCTATAAACATTTTGTTTCTCTGTTGTAATCTGTGCCAGTTTTTTTGTTAATCTTTGTCCAGGTCTGTTGAGTTTAGCACTGGAATATGTCTTGTCTTTTTACTTCAGCTGCACCCTGTCAACACAAAAGCTGAATAATGTGTTTTCACCTTTGTCAAGGTTTGTATGTGTGGTTGTATTTGCATCATTGAAGAAAAATATTTTAAAGTTTTTGTCTTACTCTTTGTTCAGGTCTGTTGAGTTTAGCACTTGCAACTGTCTTGTATTCTTACTTTAGCTGTGTCTTGTCAACACAAAAGCTGAATGATGTGTTTTCAACTTTGTCAAGGTTGTTCTGTTTGACTGGTGCTGTTGTCAAGATCTTACAGTTTACCAATAAGAGCATTTTGCTTATGCAGGACCAGTTTAAACTCTAAACTGAGGTAATTTAGGGCAGGTTTTGAGCATATAGAGGGTTTTTAGTACAGAGTTATGATAATAATATTAGGGCAGTTCAAGTTTGGGTTTTAAGGCACATTTTTACGTTTTAAGACATGCTCAATGTCCTTAAACCAAAACACATAATTTAAGACCACCGAGCCACCTCTCAAGGTGGCTCGGTGATTTATAAATTATAAGTTGACTTATAATTTATAAGTCTTTTGGCTCATAGACAAAAAAATCGGGTGAGAGCAGGTGAGAAACAGTTCAAAGACGTTCACCTGCCCTCTCCCTCTCCCATACCCTTTTCCACCGTCTCTTTCTCTCCCATACCCTGTCTCAACCGTCTCTTTCTCTGCCATACCCTGTCTCACTCTCCCATACCCTCTCCCGATCACCCCTTCCTTTCCAATTTCACTTTTCGATCACCTCATCCTCATTCACTTTTCGATCACCTCATCCTCACCTCATCCTCACCTCATCCTCCTTTGCTTATCGCGTTGTCCTCAAATCCAATCCTCATTTCACTCTACAAATCTCTATCAGCTTCAATTCATCATCCTCTTTGTACACAACTCTTTCAATTCAAACTCTTCAATCAGCTCATCTACACAACCAATCCCCAATCTCAATCAATCACCTTCTATCTCTATCGACTTCAATCTGAATCAGGATCTGACTTAATCAAATCAATCAAATTAATCAATTCAATTCAATTCAAATCGAATCGAATCAACTCAAATCATTTCAATTCAAATCAATTCAAATTGAATCAATCACCTTCTATCTCTATCGACTTCAATCTGAATCAGGATCTGACTTAATCAAATCAATCAAAATAATCAATTCAAATCAAATTGAATCGAATCAACTCAAATCATTTCAATTCAAATCAATTCAAATTGAATCATTTTAAATCATCTCAAATCATTTCAATTGAATCCAAACAAATCCTTTCAAATCTCAATTAATCAATTGAATCGAAACAACATTCTAAAGCACAATGGCCACATCGGAGCAACCTGCTAGTTCAGTAAGTCCTCTGTCTTCCCAAATCTCTGATACGCAGGAGCTGACATCAGAAATCTTGTCAGGTTGCCCGTACACCTCGCCGAACTAAAGCTCAGCTTGAGGCAGATCTTGCTGCAAGCGGACACACAGGCAAGGGTAAGCCTACACCTGCTGAACTTCGAAGATCACTCGTGGCCGCCAAAGCACGACATCAATCAGTTCAACCGATTTCTTCAGGATCAAAGGCTCAAAAACCTCGAACTCCTAGTGCGAAAGCTAAACCCCCTCCTAAATCAAAATCGAATCCCAGTTCAGCAGCACCTCCGTCCTCATCGTCGTACCAAGCCCCACCCCTTCAAAAACTTGACTACAAAGAAATTATTGCCAATCTAGATCGTCCTAATGTCCGAAATGCCCTGTTTGGTGGTGGTGGTGGCAAAACTAAGGTCACTGGACAATCAATGCTTCCACAAACGATTTTGAATGAATTAGCAAGAACTATTGAGAACAATTACAATATTCGAAACAAGACTACAAAAATGAGACTTACTGGGCGTTCACTCAAGCTGCAAATGGATTGGTGGAAAGGAAACTATATGAAAGCGAAACGTTTGAATGCAGATACCGGTTCTGGAACTAGCAAGAAGGACAACCAGCGTGGAATTTGGACTCTTGCCGAGAAGCACGAGTCTTTATGTCCTTGTTTCGAGCAGTTGAACGAGATCTTCAAAGATAAAGGAAATGTAAACGCATTTGGTATCATGGATAGCGGACTTATTGAAGATCAAGATGGTGAAGAAGAAGAATGTGATGAAGATGAGGAAGCGAAGATCAAGATGGTGAATGGGAAGAAGATGAAGAAGAATTTGGAGCTGGAAAGGAAATAGTTGTCTCGGATTCTGAAGACAATCAACAATCCCAAGACAATCAACGTCAAAAGGAGATAGTTGTCTCAGATTCTGAAGACAATCAAGTCGAACATCCAACCACCAAAAGCGACCATGACGATAGCTCTGATGATGGCCTTCCCCCCCTCTTACTCCCCGTTTGGATATGGACAATGATTTGGAAATTGGAAATATCAAAGGTAAAGGGCCTGCGCCAAAGAAGCGCACTAGAAGTGTAAGCTTTTTCTTTTGATCATTTTTCCAATTTTGATCATTACTGATCTTTTTATATCCTCTTCTTTGTTTTGTTCAATTCAATTTATCTAGGAAAAAGGTCTCACAGCATCTGAACTCGCACTTGACAACACGACCGATGACGAGATCACCGAAAGAAAAGTTGTACGGCCTGCGCCAAAGAAGCGCACTAGAAGTGTAAGCTTTTTCTTTTGATCATTTTTCCAATTTTGATCATACTGATCTTTTTATATCCTCTTCTTTGTTCAATTCAATTTATCTAGGAAAAAGGTCTCACAACATCTGAACTCGCACTTGACAACACGACTGATGACGAGATCACCGAAAGAAAAGTTGTACGGCCTGCGCCAAAGAGCCTGATTGGGGCCTCAACCTCAGCTTCAACCACTACCAAACGATCTCAAACTACGGGAGCAAAGGCTCAATCCACCAGCAAGGAAGTCAAGCCTAGGATTCGGGGTCAAACTTCCAACTCCGCCGCTTCGGGCCGCCACTCTAAGACTAAGACTTTGGCCAGTCGTGGCTTGGATCCTCTACCGTCAATCGATCCGGCCAATGTTTGAACCAAGGATTTCAAGCATCCTCTAGCATCAGCCCTTCAAAGTACAAGCGAGCAGAAGATGGAGGTCCTCAGGGAGAATTCGAATTGGCGACACGAGTTTGAGAACACAAAGTACAACGAAGCCAAACGTAAGGAAATTGATGCAAAAAAGGAGTTAAAAAGCGAATTGGACTGGAATAGAGAAAAGTATCACCTCGATCGCAAGGAGGCCAGGGAGAATGCTGCTGCAGAGGCCATTATCCGTGAACGACAGGAGAGAAATCAACTAGCAAAAGATCTTGCTATATCAGGCAAGACACCAACCGAAGTCCTAGATTTTTTGAATGTTGTCTTTCCCCCCAAGGCACAAGAAGATCGATAGGAAATTTTTATTCTTTTTATCAAGACTTCAACTCTCAGCCGTATTCAATCTTCAATTTTATTCATCAGTTCAATCTGTCAATCTTATTATCGTTATTACCGGTCTCAAGCAGTTGTTCAAGCAGTCAAGTTTTCTATTGTCTTTAAAAAAGTCAATCAGTCAATCATCAACCGGTTTCGTTTTTTAATCAATTCAAAACAACTCAGTCAATTTCAATTTCAACTCAATCACTCAATCAATCTTATTATTGTCTTTA